TCAGTCTGAAATAATGTCTTACGCCGAACGTCTCCTTGGCTATGGGTACATTAGAAAAAAAAGTAAAATAGTGAGCATTATTAAATATAAAGTATGATGCACGAAGCCATCAAACCAAAAGAAAAACAGATTGCGTTTACTGATTTTGTATGGTTTTGTGGTTTGTTAACGTATTTATGATTCCGCCTTCGATGTTAAAATTAACTATGTATCTACATGTACATTGTATTTATAACGCGTTTACACTTTCCACCGCTGGAGGGCGTACCCTCCGTCTGGGAGCTGCGAATTCGTTGTCGTGCCTTTTTGAGTAAAATTTTGATAAATCTGGTTAACACAGCTACAGTTAGCTACATCACCGATGTATATGCACATAAATGCACTAACCAGAAACCCTTGAAACTATAATATAGCAGGTACCCTCAAATAGCAGCTTGGCATCACTGTATAAATTAATGAACCCCAACAGTTACCATAAATATTTTTTTTCGATTGCGTAACAGTTATAGATAGTATATATATGCCTTAGTGATGGACGATGACCTCCCTAGCAAATAATGTATTATTTCTCCACTTTTGCTTTATATCTGTGAGATCCAACATGAGCATTGGATCGTCCGATTTGATAGTCATTGACCTCACACAGTCGGATATTAGCCTTGGCTCAAGACGCAATTCGATGTCGAGGTCATTGATGGTGCCCAGTGTACCGGCATTTTGCCTCGGATCTGGGGCCCGGGACAATTACATCATGCGGCAGCTAGTCTGTATGCTATATTTGCTTAACAAGAACAGCTCACCAGCCAAACGGTATATGCTTGTTACTGGTACCGAGCTTATTCGTATGATTATAATGCTTAGCACTCAAATTTGTTAAGCAAAATTTTCTACCAAAGCGGGCATGGAATTGGACCTTAGTGCAGTAGGGGATATCTAAAATCTGGTCTCGAACTAAGACTAGCTAGAACATCATACGATCATGGAGGCCTGCTGTGGCCAAATGTCGCCAGCCAATATTGTCGCTGCTATACGGGTCACTCAACCCGTGGCGCAAGGTGGTCTGATCCCGACCCTGGACACAAGCCTAGCAAAGCAGGGTCACGAGGGTGTGGTTGATCCATTCATCCACTGACACAAGGTTGTCTGACATCAACGCCGAAGTCATATTAGTACACGATACAAGGGTATATTTTTTGTCCGCATGGGCCTTTCCGGCAATTGACCATGATGATTATATAATCCCAGAAATCGTCAACTGACCGCATTTACCCTTGAGTATTTCTTTTCACCCATGGTCCGTTTTAGCTTAGCAAATTAGCTTACCAAATTAAGTGTACATTTTAGCATGTCCGATGAAACATGTCCCTGCAAGCCTGTTCCTAATATAACTGGAATCTGAAATAAAGTTTGCGTGCACGATGTGCAGGCTAATTTAGCAAGTTGCATGATTAATGTTATTGGTCAAACGAGCAGGGAGTGCGCGCGAACAGCCCACGCGCATGCGTTGTACCACCTCATTATGGCGTCCGTCTCTGTGATGCAAATTTGACTCCGACTGCGATCAAGTCTATAAATGCGTTCATCTGAGCAGCTGTTGTTCAACTTTTCAAGCGCAGCCGTGGGCTACCAGTACCACCTGTTACAACATCCGCACTGACGTCATAAAGACGTCATAACTCTTGTTTTTTTGGAAAGTTTTTGTCAACACGGTATTATTGTTCAATAAATTACACGAACGATTTATTATGTGCAACTAAAATGTGGCTACGGGCCGCGCCACGTGCGGCGCCCAAACGCCACCACACCCTCACAATAATGTGTATGATTAATATTTCAACAGAGGACGCTGTTTACAATAAGATGGATGTATTTAATCGGGTTGTGTGATTCAACCAAATGTTAATTAATAATTAACATCGTTAATAGTGACATTTTGATACCGCGATAATATGGTTTCCTGGCCAATATGTGCATGGGTTTTATTTATAAACAATCTATAATCAGCATCGGAAGTTAGTCAGATAGCGAGTTAAAATTAAATTCCGGCTATTGGTCTTTTGCGTTATGAGTTCTATTAAACCTTTCTTCTCGATTGGGATACTATTTGATAAACGCCGGATATTTGAAACCCGGCCATGAACTATGCCACGTGGTATTGATATTGAGAATTCAGTGTAAACGGAGTTTATTTATTAATTATATGTGTGCTGTTCTAAAGCTTTCGAGTTATTTTTTTTTGCGGGAAGAGTTTCAAAGGCCATTTTTATCCATTTATTGTACGCAATACAGCCTGCCAATTATAACATTCCTAAACAATTATTCCTAGACAAAATTAACTGGGGCGGGGCTCGAACTTGCGACGTTCGAAACACCATAGGCTACAGAAGTGTTGCCAATTTAGTTTAAGCATTTTTTTTTGGTTTATATGAAAAATAGATGATTCGTAATACAAAGTACAAGTGTAATTTGGCCTTCCTCCAAATTTATTTTTCTTCAAACTCTGTGGTTGGCAGCGGACCAAAGTTGTATTTTCGCACGGCAATTTGTATCAATAATCCTTAAATAAATGGGCAAATTTATGTTAATTGGTTCTACTGTTTGTTCTGCTAATGGGTATCTAGAAAAATCGGCCCTCGTAAGCCGCACTCCAATCAGTGTCAACTGATATGGTAGCCAGAATATTGTACATGAAAAAAAAAAATAATCCCATAATTTGTGTAAGGGATTTCCGATAAGTAAGTTTGTCACCGTTTTAAAATGCGATTATTTTAAGACACGGCCCTTTTAAAAGATACCGACAGATAACAATGATATTTACTCTTCCCGATTTAGTGAACGGTTTGTTTTGTAAACAAATTATAAGTGTTTGTATTTTGATGGACGACTTAATAATGGGGGCACCACTCCCGGAAAAGTTCAGTAGATAACTTGGAATATAAATATTATGAACAAAAACCCAACATAACTCGGCCGGGGCAATGCACTTTGTGAACATTGCTCTTCTTTATGTGTTCTAGTACTAGGCTATCATTTATGACATTTAATATAAGAATTCGTAATATCCTCTATTTCAACTTGAGATAAGCCTAATTTCACCATGGAGGTAGAATTACATACCTTTTGGTTTGAAGATGTCCCTTTGTGGCGTTCGTCGAAAGTCCTTGTCACTTTCCAAACAGTTCAATTCAACTCGGGTCTGTTCTTGCTGACGAAATTGCAACAACGAACATGGCGGCTCCGTCTTCACAACACACTAGAATTCCAGAGATTTTTTTTCCAATTTCATGGGATTAATTTTCAACCATTCCATTATTTCAGAGGTGCACATGATGGTAGTTTGTGGTTCTCATAGGTGGAGGGAACACACTTGCAAAATGTACCGCCAAACATGACGCCCTAAAGGCATAACACTACAGGATTGAAGTTTTTTCGTGTCAGGACATTTTTTTGAATCATTCAAAAATTCAAACAGGCAGGGTTCAAACTACGGTGGCCTATACATGACTTGGGGAGCGATTTTTAAGTAAACATTTTATCAACAAATTGATGGATTGGAATTTGAAAACAAACATAACACATGAATTTTCTTTATAAGTTGCTACAATACATCTTTATTACGCAAACGAACCATTGTAATGACATTATGTTCAGATTTTGTAAGTAGCTGCAGCACAATGTTCATAATATTTAACATCATTTTACATTAAACTAAAATTGGTTCTTGTTGTTACCCAATTAACATTTTAATTATGTAAAATAAACAAATAAAAGAAAGAAAATGGAATGTTTTTGATTGGAGTATTTTGACCACAAAAGTACTGGCCTCGCATACGTATACAATTAACTTTAAACAAAAAGTCAAATTTGATCTGAATACATTCCCGGCTTGAAGACAAATGTAGTGGCTTTTTATGACCCTTGGAAATTTGAAAAATTCTTCTTGAAACTCAGAAACCTTTCATGTTTTTTTAAAGAGTGTTTTTTTTTGGGGGGGGGTAGGCGCGTGGTACTATACAGACTTTTTAGAGACAACGGCATGTCATCGCGATGAAAGTACAGGCAAACGACCTTTTTGGAGGTCATTGTTGTTTTACTCCCAAACCACATATAATATTGCACAATTTGGATTTTATTTGGCGTCACAAGCTCCTAGAAAGCACAGGTATACACTGTTAGTGTTCGGAGAAGAAAATCCTGTTAAACGGTTAAGAATCATACGTACGTGTCTTCAAGTGACTGCAAAAAAAAAAAGAACCAGACAAAAGTAACACGACACAATAAAAAAAAAATGACATCTGCTAACAGCAAATGACAAAACTTATCAATATTACCTTCTTAATATTAAGAATTTGGAGGAAAAATTTACGGTATTTACATATTTGGAATAGGAATACACTAGGGTTTTCCCCAATTAATACTGATTAATATATAATTATACACCGTTAATAAGTCAGTGCCATAATGTCCAATTCAAAAATTTGAGTTAGTGAAAGTTACGGTCTCCCAAACCCCAGAGTGACATTACTTCGTCTCAGGCCTATAACTACTTACAAAGAACCAAATTTGTACAATTGAATCATCTGTACAAAATTTCATCATTGTTTTAACGTCTGGTTTTATTGCTCTAAATAAATACTAGTGGTGCCGAACAAACATATATATGAAGTGGTGTGTAAATACTAATAATAAACAACTTATTAAAAAAAATCTCCACTTCCCAATACAAACTAAAGATAAAATATCTGTAATAAATTAAAATAGAATTCTTCAACAACAACTACCATTTGAACACACTTTCTTTGTGTTAACCAGTTCACGTCAGATGATGTGCATACACACAAAGATTTTGCAGTATTCGGAACGGATGATGGATAAACACACAACGAGCAAGGCCAGAAAATATCTGTCAGCGACCCGCTCGCAGCGAGTGAGGCCGGAAATATCAGGGTGTGCTACCCGCAGATGCAGCCTGAACCCGTCTGGCATCGAGGTTCGTGAAAACAACCCCCGCCTGGGTCCGGTCAATGTCAAAATAAGCCTGGCGCAAACTGGTTGAGGACTTCTGAAATTTTTCTATTAATTTCAACGTGCAGTAAAAAAACAAGGAATTTCAAATCCCAAAGAAATATCGAGCCTGATTTGATCCAGCATGGATGTTTCCTAAACATATTTATAACTTCAAAAACATTCCCATGACTTTCACAATTCTTAAAAAAAAAAAAATTCCCACATGGGTCCTATAACTTGGGGTCCACATTTTGTCCTGTCCCTACATCTGACTTCTATGATTTTATAATTCTGATGACCTCCCTAACCCTAACCTCCCCAACTCCATCAAAATCGAGGACAGGAAAAAATGTCACACTTTGGACCCTGAATTTCGAGAATGATCCGTACGTTCATTTCTTTACAGCTAACATTAGTTTGCACTAAATCCCTTTTTGCTAGGAATCCTCCAAAATCATCCAATACGGAGGAAGCAATTGACTAATTCTTTGCACTTCACATGCAGCAGACATCAAGCATTTACACTGGGCTCCGTGCCCGAACAAGAGAGGGGGCGCTTGTTGCCACTTTCTCAGCCCAGATGGGTCAACCCAGTGGTTTCCCCCAACTCTCCCTTTCTTACCATTGAGGGGGTACTTCAATCCAAGGACACAATATATGGCCAGCAGCTGGATTCGGACCCCTGCCCCTCGGATAATGAGTCACAGACCCCAACCACTTGGCCTCGCTCCTCACCCGCCTTTTAAACATCATCAAATATTCCCTTCGCCCCTCTAGGTTTGCCCAAGCCCATGCTGCGCCCGATGGCCGTGTCTGATGAGTACCCGCTGGTGCTACGACCGCTGCTTGTCCTTCTGCTGCTGTAGTCCGGTAGGCTGTCCGTGAATTCTGCTGCACTCTCTTCGTTGTAGTCAATGGGCTCGCTGTCGCGGAGTAACTCCACACGGGAATCTTCTGGCTCTCGACGACTATACTTGGCTGTAAGGTTGTTTATATGGTTAATTAGTCTCAAATCCTTATAAGAATATCCATTAGCCCTTTTGAGATATGGTGGACACAATATAGGGCAAATTTATAACATTTTACCAAAACCAAACACATGTACTACTCTCCTACTCGACTATCTAAATGACTCATGATATATTTTACAAACACACCATGAAGGAAAACTGACTAATTGCATATTATAATAGTTTTTCAAAGTTGAACAAAGAAATTGTCTGGAGGGGGGTTTGAACCTGCGCCCTCCGGATTGGTAGAGCACTGGAACAGCAATCTGGAGGTCGCAGGTTCAAACCCAGCTCCAATCAAATTTCCATGATCAACTTTGAAAACTTAGACTCATGATATAGTTAACTTCAAATCAGAAGTGAGTAATGCAATGTTATAATGTCAAATGCAGCTCTATTTCATGGAACTGCCAATCAGGAGATATTGCAAATTTATGTTTTGAGCAAAAATCAGCTGGTAACCAAATCAGAAGCCATACACATTGCTTGGAATTTCAGCTGGTAACACATTTTCTGGTAAGCAAATGTTTTACTCGCTTAGCGGATTTCTGAGGGGGTTAAAAGTACATGTAGTCCCATCAACAGTGCTGTAGTCAAGGAACATGTGATGGATCATTCAAGTCATCCAGTCTAATGTTGAGACACAAGCTATAGACCTTTCTCAGGGTAAGCCATCTTGAAAACCAAAGCGAGGCATACAATGCAAACAAACATGGCGGCGTAAATAGTGCAAGTGATGAACGAGTGACTCTTGCAAAGGGGCGGCAGATTGGCAATTTTATTAATGGAGGGATAGCTCAAATTCCCCCAAACAGCAAACAACATTCTAGGTACATGTAGGTCACATCTCCCTGTACTTTTAAGAAGGATCTCATAAATATACAGCCCAAAACCAGTATTTTCGCCGCCATGTTTGTTTGCATATGCCTTGCTTTGGTTTTCAAAATGGCGTACCCTGAGAAAGGTCTATAGTTGAAATAAGCTTTGACAAAGGCATTTCTTTGTTATTGTTCCTCCCCTGTTACTTGTGACTGGACTTGTGATCGATCACAAGTACCACAACAACCAAGTCTGCTTACCTTTGGTACTGAATGAGCCAGTGCTGTGCCTGCTAGTGTCGCTATCACTGCCCCGTGGTTTAGGGCCGAAGCGACTCCCGCTGACCGGTGCTGATCCGTTCTCCCGAGATGGAAACTGCTCCCGGAAATTCTTCCTTCTGAGTTCACCATCAATCTGTCGTTGTCTGTTTCTCCTTTCTGAAAAGGAATTTTTTTCAATGATTCAAGAAATGTAAGAGTTTAAAGATGTATTGGTTCATACATAAAACTATTGGGAGTGCCCAAAGTTTATTGAAACTTTTAATAGTTTTGAGAAAGATTCAGCCTTTAGGAACGATCTTACTAGTTTTGAAGCAGGAAGCCCTTCTGATTTTTATCATCTTTTATTTCAAGTCAATCCAGTCGGTAAGTAGTTTGTGGCAGTCTTTTAACTACCTGGGTTTCCAGGAACCATCTCACATTTAATAAATATGACAACCTGGACACTGAAAAGTATTAACATGATTAAGGCAGAAAAATCTGAAGTATTTAATGTTGAGACCTCAGATTATTTTATGCTTCAATTTTCTAAATTTATGTCAATTGTTTCTGGTAATGAAACTCCAAAAAGCGCACAGGCACTATAGCTCAGACTGCTTTTGAAATCCAGAATGAGGAAACACCTGGTATGATATTACAAGAGTAAGAAAGGGACTCAATACCAAATCTGGGTGGGATCGAACCTGGGTCACAGAGAGATATGCCAATGCCCAAAAAATGTCCTCATCTCCTTCTTAGGAAAAAAAGATTCTACCTCTCTTGACGAGTTGTAAACCTTCATTCATGAGATCGGTCGTCATGTCCTCATCCCCCACAAACTGCTGAAAGCCAAGGAAGGACAGACACCGACTACCGAGATGGAAGTAAGTCGCGATGCAGAGAAGCACCACGGTGATTGGGTAGTAGATGTAGAAACCCGCCTCCATGAAGGGCAAGACGTCTATATGACGACCCATGATCTGTGAATAGAAGAGATAATGGAACAAGTTACTCCAAAATATGAACAGAAGATCTGCTTCATTTACCCAATAGCAACTGTGCTGCATGGTACTACATTGATAACATGTCTGCACTAGTAGCCAGGAGCAGTGATGTAGTCGAGTACATCACAAGTCCAGTCACAAGTAGATCACAGGTCCAGTCACAAGTAGATCACAAGTCCAGTCACAAGTAAATCACAAGTCCAGTCACAAGAACCAGTGGATGAACAATAACAAAGAATTTTGCTTCGTGGTGATGTAAATCAAATAAGGTTTTGCCCTTCACCAACATTTAAACGTCGGTGAAGGGCAAAACCTTATTTGATTTACATCACCATGAAGAAAAATTCCATCTATAGTTAATGCGGTACCCGCTGCTGTGTACATCAGACTCAAACCAGCCAACCGATCCCTTTAGCTCGGTGGTCGAGTGGTAAGACATCTGCACTAGAAAGCAGGAGGTCGTGGGTTCGAGTCCCACCCGAGTGATTTTTTCCAACTTTCACTCGGGAGGTAACACACTGAGTATACAGTGTTTAAACGTCGGTGAAGGGCAAAACCTTATTTGAATAACAAAGAAATGTCTTTGTCAAAGCTCATTTGAATAGCTTGTGAGTTGAATTGGGACTGGAGGACTTGCAGGGACTTGAGATGGACTTGACAACATCCTTGAGCAGGTCATGGGTTGAAGTCCCATCTCATAGCTTTTTCCCCCGCAAACCCTTAAAAAAACACTTAGTATGCAGTCCCTATGAAAAATTATTTTGGTGCAGGGTAAAACCTAAGATAGAGGATGAAATATAATTTTCTTGACTCACTGAAGTGTATGATGTCTCAATCATGTCTTCTTTTCCGGTCACATGACCATCCAGATGGATGAGACCAAGGAAGTTGAGGCAGAGAGACGGAGTGAGACGGCACAACATCCTATGGAAAAATACCGGAAAAAAAAAAAAGGAAAAATCTTTCTCAGTCAGAAGTCTAGTTTGGTTATTCTTAAATCGTTTGGTATTGTTGACAGAATTCAAATCTGACTGATGATACTATGTTATAGCCTCTTTGAAACTAAAAAAAGATAAGTGAGCTCATATATATTTTGATAAATTCACTAAGCTGTTAAGCATGTAAATCTGCTTATCACAAGAACATTTTGCTTAGATTTTTAAATGGTTCTTTGACAAATTGTACTTAGCAGAGAGAAGATAAGTCCATCGGCAAAATTGCTGCTTTGCATTATTTCTGACTTTGATGAAATTGGAAATTTTATTCAATATAAGAGGATCAGTTCAACTGATGTATGGTAACCAGACTCACGTGCCACAGAAGAGGAGGCTGTTTTCATCAGTTTGGTGGTGAGGAGCCAGGTAGTAATAATTGAAGACCCGGACTTTGAAGACGGTGTAGTAAGCACACCAGCAGAGATAGGCGATGATGATACAAGATAGGAGCTGAGAAGAAATATACAATGGCCATCAATAATGGCAAGCCAATACTGCGATCCGCTTTATTCCACTAGGGCAAATTGCAATCCTTTGCTATGACTTTTTGATGGTTTTGGTTATTAAAACAAATTATGCCACAAACTTGATTAACAGGAAAGCATACTAAGCCATTTTCTGTTGATATCAGCTACAATAAACAAACGTTAAAGGTGAATTTGATATTGCAACACTTTCAATGGTTGAGACAGAATTTCGGATCGACACATGAAAAATCCAAATTTTTGAAGGTGAGGTTTGAGTGCCTACTCCAGATTAGTAAAAAACTTGTTCAACAAAATTAGCACAATGTTGGCATAGAAAAGCGCTTGACAGATCAAATTCCAGCAACGTCTCACAAATTGAATGCATGTGCGGAATGCCACTAAAAACATGTAATGTAAAAAGTTTTTAAAATGAGCTCGAGAAACACGCATGTTTATGTTAAAACATTGAAGACATAACTATCAATTTGCAAAGGAAAGGAGTACAGACCTCGATGCAGAGATAGTTGTAATCTCTTGCAGCAGCATCGATGACGATTGCGAATAAGGAGAGTTCCGGCTCGATGCTGAAGAAGGTGACTTCCGACCAGACGACCACCAGAGAGAAAAGAAGAAGGAGAATGGCGACAACTTTAAGCACGGTGGGCATCAACCAGACGTACCAGTACCACTCCACGGTGGGGGAGCAGATGTAGCTGGGTAGGAAGGAGTAGTTGGGGTCAAAGGAATGCTTGAACTTCCTGTAAGGAGTGGAGAAATAATAAAAATATTCATTACGATTATTTTAATTTTTTTAACAAATTCCCCAGAGTTTCCCCAGTGCATCAGGCCATGAGATAAATTCTGATGCAGCAGCTCAAGATCAGCGCAATCTGGTCTCTACCCTCACAGGTATTCCTGGGTGAATAGGGGCAATTGTAGTAAAGTGTCTTGCCCATGAACACAAGCCCCACACACAGGCAGACACTGTAACTGAAGGACCAAGATTTAGGAAGGTAGAACTCGGAAGCCTTAACCTGGGGCTTGATCCCTCTCGATAGTTTAAAACAAAATAATAGGTCGTTGGCTTGCCAGACAGTGCAGGATTTCGAAAAGAAATCAGGATGGTTCCTAGCAAAATTTCTAAGGAGATATATAGGGTAACAACATTTCCCCAGTAGGGGTGGGAGTGGGGTTGGGATAGGAATGGAGGTGGGGATGGGTCAGGGATGGTGGGGTGGGGTCAGGGATGGTGGGGTTAGGGTCAGGGATGGTGGGGGTGGGGTCATGGTTAATGGGGTGGAGTCGGAGATGGTGGGGTGGGGTCAGGGATGGTGGGTGGGGTCAGGGAAGGTGGGGTGGGGTCAGGGAAGGTGGGGTGGGGTCAGGGATGGTGGGGTGGGGTCAGGGATGGTGGGGTAGGGTCAGGGATAATGGGGTGGGGTTGGAGATGGTGGGGTGGGGTCAGGGATGGTGTGGTGGGGTAAGGGATACTGAGGGTCAAGTCAGGGATGGTGAGGGTGGGGTCAGGGATGGTGGGGTGGGGTCAGGGATGGTGGGGTGGGGTCAGGGATAGTGAGGGTCAAGTCAGGGATGGTGAGGGTGGGGTCAAAGATGGTGGGGTCAGGGATGGTGGGGTGGGGTCAGGAATGGTGTGGCTGAGGTTGGGGTGTGGGTGGGGGAGACAGGTTTTGGGGTTGGATTGGGGAGTATCTCTCTGACCTTGTGTGATTATTCTCGTTGATCTGTATGTCTTCCAAGTGTAGTGCTTTCTCTATCAGCACGTCCCACTGTGCGTCAGTCCTCCGCTTTGCCAACGAGGCAAAGATGAGTTTCTGATGTAAACGGACCAACTCTTTCTCTGTAGGAATCTAAGAGAATCAAAAATGACACATATTGAACCAGGCACCATTCTTGAATGAAAATTTCAGTATGCAACACAGTGTCCGCTAAAAAAAAAGAAGTTATTCATGAACCATTAAAAAAAATGTATTTACCCGAGGTCTATTGTCAGAATAGTCCTTGAAGTCATCCAGATGTTTGGAGAGCGATTCCTGGAAGTTCTCAGGACATTTACTGATGATGGTGTTGACGTGTTTTCTGATTGGTTGATTGTAGCGTACCGAGTCCGAGGCTCGCCGAATATCCTAACAAAAATTAAAATCAAGAAATATTCATCTCTGCCCATCTCAAACAATCAGACAAAACATAATTGAAAACTAATGTTTTAGTTCACAATTCTTATTTTTTCCCATGTTTAAATTTCACAGGGAAGATGATATATTTCTAATTAGAATGGCAGTGCTCTGAGTGGAATGGTCCAAACTTTCCACATGTTCTGATATTCCTTTCTAAATATTGTCCCTGACACCACAAACTTACACCCTACAAACTGTTGTGTGCATAATTTTTATTAGTGTACGATCTTCATGCACAAGAAATCAAGAGGTCATTGGTTCGAGTCCAAACCGAGGAAGCTTGTAAATTTTTCACATAAGGTCTTGGACAACACTATTTGCAAAGTGAAAACAAATGAAGACAGCCGGACGTTGTAACTTGAGAAAATCTTCCTCAGAGGCAACAATGCAACGTGAGCTGCGTTAATTATTTTTATTTATATATTTAAGGTCAAGAGGCAGTTTGCAGCCATTTCATTCATTTTAACAATTGCTTATCAACTGATAGTAGTGAAGGGGAAAAGTTGCAAAATCTGAATTAACCTCTAAAAGATCTTCCAGTTCTTCAGTAGCTTCGGACCGCTCAGTGCTCAGCTTAGCGAGCTGGAAGTAAGTATAGTTGAGGAGGTAACCCTTGCGAGATTGCGCCCAGAACTGACGAGGGACTTCCACCAGGCCGTAGCCTAGAAGCAGGACTAGGAGGAACAGACCCCAGGTGTTGCTGGCTGTGATACCGATCACTTGTAAATTGTCACTGAGGGAGGAACATGATTTCAAGAATTCTTCAGCATCAATAGTTACTATTTACTCAAAGATGCATGCCCCATACCCTTAAAAAAATTCTTCCTCTTACATATTTTCAGTGTACATGCATATGATTTTGTTTTACCCAACAGTAATTTTTTCTTCCGATTTTGAGTGTCTGCAACTCTCTCTGTCGGGACAGAAACATTCAAATTATGTAGAGAAATAATTCAATAACTAAACGATGGCGGATTTTTTGTTTGATGTTGAAAAAGCATGGGCAATACATCTGCAAACTGTGTAATGTAATAAAGAGATTCGAACCAGCTAGCCAACCTAAGAAAGCTTTGTGATCGAGTGGTAAGACATAGATCTACACTTAGCATGTGATTTTTCCTCGCAAATTCTCAACTGTTCTGAATATACAGTGCTTTTCAGGGGGAAAAACAATCAAATATTGAAATAGCCCAATGTCCCTGGGACTCAACAGCACATTCTTTGCAAGTATCAAAGTAAGTGGCACAACAGCCTTGCGCCATCTCAGGTATGCCTTTCCATTGTTGTAGCATTTGTCCAGACCAAGGTCGGGTTCTGTAATGGCTAAACCTGATGATTTGGTTGAAGAACACTTACCCATCCAGCTGCAAGTTTGGGTTAGCGGCGACGTAAATCAGTAGCACACCGAAGATGAGCAGGTAGCTACCGTACCAAATGGCATTCTGTATGATAGCCGACTTGAGCTTACCGCTTATGGTGAAGTCGCCGGCATTGGCGTAGGACTTCATAAGCGGCATGATGATCCTGAAAAAAGAAGAAGAAAATATGAGTAAAATTCAAGTAGATGAAACTTTGGGAATGACTGTATTACCTGCAGTAACACTTCTTGAAGATTTCCTAGTAAACTTCAGAAATCACTATGAAAACTACAAATTTGTCAAATTTAAGCAAGTCCATCACAAGTCATCCAGTCCAAATCAATACACAAGCTATTCAAATGAACTGTGGCAATTTTGTCCACAAACTCACCATGTCAGAATGAAGGTCGTCCAATAGACGATCAGCCAGATATCGGGTAAGATGTTCTCTGGAATATAACTCCACGGTTTCTCACAAGGCACGTCATTCTGAGCCTCGCGTATTGTACGTGAGGCTGTGGCGTTCCTTATAGGCAGACTCTTGGTCGCGTTCACTACCGCGGCTGCCGTCGTGTTCACCGAGTGCGACAACGCATCTGTGCTTACGGTCGTTGTTTGGAATGTGGTCAGGGGTATGCGGGTGTGTTCATCTATACACTGCTTGTAAAATGTCTGCGGATATAAAAATTACATTCATGCATTTATAAGGGGAAAAATAGTAAAGTATTATTTTCTAACACAATTCATATATGTCTGTACATGTTTCCTTATATTGTAGGACCGTTTATGCATGAAATGGAATAAATTGTGCATAATTTATGCCCATTATGATAATACATGTCTATCAATGTAAACAGTTAATAAATTTAATCTGCAATCTAAATTTCAACAATGTTTTCAACTGCAAAGACTTATTAGACACCTGTAAGAATGTTTTGATTTACACCCTGTACTAACATGATTATGCATGTGTACCAGGGAATATAACGTACATGCTGCATGGTTAATGTACATGTACATTGGTACATGTATTATGTAAATCAGAATCTGCACGAGTATATGAAATTACGAGAACCATACAGGGTGTGAAGGAATTCTGTATATTCCCTTAATTAAGAAGCCTTACAGAAAACTGCATGACACCTGTTTGTAATTAAAGATCGCTGACATTAATTTTGGATTAATATTTCAGAAGAGAGGAACTATTAAAACCCTCTTTATTCAAATTTGTTTTAAATTTTCATATCAAACTCAGTTCCTCATACATAATTCCTACAAGTCTGACCACAAGACAACATCAAGTCTTCTTTTCTTTCCGACGTTTCTCGTTGAAGATGTCAAATCTGCCACTTGACAGTCTAGCAATCTTAAGTATTCTTATATCGCTGCGGGGATTCATAAACCCACAGACACTGCCGGTTAGATGAAGGAAAATGGGCAGAAATTATTCAGAGACTTTCAGACGTGTTATGCTTAGGTCACAAGTAGGGTTGAGCAATAGCGAATGTCTTGCAGATGACAGATTTGCAAGAATTGCAATTTTTCCTCAGGCTGTGGCATTATAAAAAAAATGTGTGTTTGCTGTCTGCATATAAAGGGCCAAACACTATCGAGTCTGCATATGAGTATCTGTAAGAGGGGTAACATTTTCTTGTGGTTTTAATTGAGTCTGTTGATTTTTGTGGTGCAGGAAAGTGCAGGACACGAATGGTGACAATCTAATGAATTATAAATCTCAGACAAATTATTTGTGAGCAACATTTCGTCTCCAAGAATAAATCAACCTCATTTGTTCATTATTTGTTCTAGATGGAGTTTGTTCCGAGGGATTTGGCCAACATAACTTTTAAAATTTATTTATTTAAGAAACCCAAATGAAGCTAAACATACCAGTCTTCATTTGATGAAAACAATTCTTCAAGAAAATTCTTAACGACCACTTTAAATTAAACTCCATGTGTTCCATATTTGTTCTAGATGGAATCTTTTTTTTTTTTTTTTTTTAGAGGACATGTATGGCCAAGATACAATAATTATTTCAGAAACTTAATGACCCAGTCTTTAGTTGCAGAAAAAAAATTTCTTTCAAACCTCCAGATTCCTGTAAATATATTTTTTTAAATCAATTGAAAATTATAACAGTAAGTATTGTTTGGTTCTTTTAAGGTTTGGCTGAGCTTAATTTTCTGTGCATTGAAAAATATTCTGCATTCGCATCACGTGTGCCTGGGGCAGTCCAGTCACTTATTCATGTTTACAATGCACAATTTATTCCCCTAATCATGTCCGGGGAGCTTGGTGAGTTGTTTACCGTTACGCCACGTCAGTGTCCTCCCTCGGGGCATTCATTAAACAGTCTCAGCAGCTGGGATTGCTGGCTAGAACACTTTGCATGCATCTACATTGTAGTACACATTTAGCATGGCTGTCTTCTTGAAATTCAATTTATTATAGCCGGTTCAGACTTAACCCAATGCGACATATTTATATTTTCATAATTTGTGGTTTTTCTTATAGAACTTCAATCAAATTTTGAAATGGGGCAATTTTAATCACCTAGCTCCAAAAGTATTTTTTTAATAGTGAAATATCAAGTGAAGCGGTTTGTTGAGTGCTGGTTACAAATTTTTTTTTTTAATTAACAAGTAAAGACGTTATAGCACAAATTTAAAATAACAAAATGATTATAATTTGAATAAATCTTCATTAAAAAAAGTTTTATGGCGAAAAAAACCTGGAAATAACATGTCCAATTTTGCAGCCAAATGGCAAAAAAAAATTGAGTCATGTTTCAAAAGGTAAAACAGGTCTTCAAAGTGTTAGGCTAAGTGCGACATTTGGGACTCTCGATACTGTGTATGAGAGTCCCAAATGTTAAGGTATAAAAAACATGCAATACAAGAAAATAGACTGGCACACGAAACAACCAGTCCAATACCCCTTTAGTACTGCTTCAATCAACTGTGTCAATAGAAACATCTGGTACCTAGTCTCTATTCTACACATCTCTCCATAGTCATGCCACCATGGCCAGCAGACTTCTGAATGGTCAATTGTTTAAAACAGTTGGACATGTACCAGTCTAGTCTTAGGCTTCAAATTGAAATCATGTGGCTTCACTCTCAGGTGCAAAATGTTGAAAAAAGTTTCCTTTAAAAAATGAAATTAAGACTTCAAACTTGGCTGGTGAAATACTGAGGACCTTGTCTTTGCCTCATGAAAATTGTGGAGAATTTTGTCTGTTGAGTGAGTAAAGTTGGCCTGAAGGAAAGATTTCCATATACGAAGTTCACTCAACACCTGTGTACAAACCCTATGAGATTGGACTGAAAAATTCTAAGTGTTTTCTAAGAAAATGCTTGTATTTTTTCACTGCTCAAATTGACTTTGATGACATGAAATTGCTATCTGGGGGCTTGTTAGTAAATACAGAGGAAAAAATAGTGAACTTGTATATGGAAATCTTTCTGGCCTGAAATTTCAAGGTCACAGTCTAGGTCAAGCCTATGATGTAACATACATACATTTTTTTGTACCACAAAAACCAACAGATTGTGATGCCTATGTTATGTCCCAACTAGACCACAGGTCCCAACTTAAGATGGGACTATCCCAACTAAGTGTTCCATAACTATAGTTGGGCCAATGGTCTAATTGGGACTTAACCATGCTCTCTAGCACATTAGCAAATATTTAACAGATTGATCGATAGAAAAACAATGATACCAACCGAGGTTACATCGAGGGGGATCATAAAGATGATGATGAAGGAGAAATACCATGAGACGAACGTCGTCACGGTAACCAGGACATGTTGCTTGCGCCAGTCTCCGTACTTGTGGAGCAAGTAGACGGAGAGCAGAAAGACGCAGGCGATCTCGCCGATGAGGGGCCCGACGCTCATGATGGTCTGTGTCAGTGACTTAGAAATCTCCTCAAGAAATCCTTGGTATTTTGAAAACCAATATGGTTTACATCACATAATAGGACAGGATTTCTGCAGTGATGTAGAATATGTGCAGAAAGCGTCCTGCAGTAGAACTAGGAGCCAAACTTGGGCAGATGATCAACCATGGTCAACATCGTGCTTGGTGATCGTGAAAGCTGATTTTTTAGCAGACTGCAGGATCAGGTTGGGCAGGCAACGAATCAAAGCATCAAGCAATCAAGAGTCAACGGCCCATCAGCGGCTATTTGAAGGAAAGAAACTGCAGGACAAATAGAAAGGAATGAACTTGGTTAAAAACCACTAACATTTAACAACCAATTCTCATATTAGTTTCATTTGTAAACAAGTTCTTCAATAAAGAAGAAAAAGAAATGTCGACAGCAGGATCCCATTATTAAAGATATCATGACCGAGCTTACTGTGACTTAAAAAGGATCATTAAGATTGAGGAATGTGTCTTTTGGCTTTGAATCCTCTTTTAACACTCCTCAGTCCTCACTGACGCAAAAATAGGTAGGGAAAAAGGAAAGATTCCCATATCTGGCCATCATTAATTTTTCCCTTAAATGACCTATCAGCCATCAGAGAGTGATAATATGCCCTAAAAAGTCAAAATAAGCAAGGACAAATTTTGGATTTTTACTGAGAAAACACTTTAAAATTTTCAGACCAGTCCCATAATTTATAGGGTCTGTGCACAGGGTGACAAGTGATGGACAGATATGGGAATCTTTCCGGGAAAAAAGGCAGTCTGAGGATCATTGACATGAAAAATCACCTTTTTTTAAACATTGGCATTTTTAACCAGGTCACATTCAAATACTTCAAATAATAATAGACTTTGAAGAGTGCACATTTTAGGAAAAGGGGCGGGGCAATTTTTTGGGGGGAGGGTCTTGGAAATGACTCAGAACTGGAAGCCAAAAAATTGGGTGTTCATTTCAAATTTCAATGCAGAGTTAATCTCAAATAAAATAAAAAAATCATAGGAAAATTGAATCAGGATTCCAACAAAAGTGTATTCTTTGCAAAAATCACTATTTTCCCCAGATTTAATTGACAATGAGTTGAATGACTGTTCACAGTTCAGCAGAAAATAAACATGACGAGATAGCTTGACAATTAATGACGTGGAACCGGCCGGCCAGCTCCGAAAAAATAATAATAAAATTTCGACACAAGTTTCTGCGAGAAAAGAAGGGTAAAAAATACGCTGTACTTGCAACAAATTGCCTAGCAACACGTACAATTAAATAGATTTCCGAATAATTAAATGAAAAATGTATAATTACCTCCTAATTCGGATGAAAAATGATTGAAATCTGTTCGTTCTCGTCACGACTTGCCTGGCCGAAATGCAACATATGCGCAGTATTGGAAAATGAATATTCATTACCACGTAAAGCTTACGTATAGATGGCAACAATGAACAATAAACTTGTCTTAGATTTTTTGGTTATATTTCGTGAAAAGAGAATAAAATGATTAAAATCAAGTTAAAAATTTCAAAATGTATTTGAAAAGATGTGATTCAAAGTTCAGATTATTAACAAACCCTAATTAAACCTGTTTTCTGAATAATGAAGGAAAGGATTTGCCAGAATTGTTCTAAATTTTATTTTTGCACACCATCATCAAATGCGAGGTCGAAGGTCAACATGGAAAACACATGTAGTCTGGTCCCGTTTACTCTTGATAAAATTATCAGCGTATGTGTATTTAAAATTTGGAAACCAGACTCCTCCACATGTCATGTTCAAAACAGCAATCTCGCACTTTTCCCCTTACTTTCCTACCCTCAGAAATGTATATCAAAGATCTATAGCAAAGGGTTTCCTAACAGAAGCAGGGAGGAGACACATGTGCGACGGCGGGACGAACGGAATGGCTCTTGATCGGAAGAATGATATGAAAAAGCGACTGGTTTGGGTCGATCTTGAGATGACCGGTTTGGACCTGGAGACTTGTCACATATTGGAGATGGCTTGCCTTGTGACCGACAGCGACCTCAACGTTGTGGCCGAAGTGCGATTCTTCAAATAAATATGGATTTTATTTTCCTTTTAAAGTCCAATTTGGATTGCAAACTAAGGATTACTTGGCTATGTCTGTTTTGAATCTGACATAAAACCCAAAATCTTGTAATTTGTTTATAATTTATTATGAATGAGGCATTAATAAATAGTCATACACTTGTCCAGAGTAATTTAATTATATTGTTTTGAAAAGTGGATAGCACGTACGTATCAAATATTTCCCAGAAAATTAAAGATTTATATTTTGACGCAATATTTTCTTCCTGGACAGATTTTGTTGAATGGAAGCTTACCCTTGATTTAACTTCCTGAAAAAAATCCCCGTAAAACAAGTGCAAAATGTCAACAAATATAAGGGAAGAATTCCATACAACATGGACATCACTAAATCTTTCCTGCAGTGACCTATCATCCATCAGAAAGCAATAACATGTCTTTAAAAAGTCAAATGTAGCAGGGCAAATATTGAAGCATTTTACTGTGAAAACACTTGGAATTTTTCAGACTGGTTTCATAGGGTTTGTGCACTGGATGTCAAGTGATGTCCAGGTATGGAACTCTTTCCAAATGTTCTCGATCTCTGATTACATCTGAACTGAGAGATTTGTGTTAAAATTCAGTTCTTGTTTACATTGCTTTCTTTGTAGGCTCCTAATCTCATCATACACCAGCCAGAAGAGACATTAAAAGCTATGAATGAATGGTGTGTCGAACATCATACCAAATCTGGCCTAGTTGATGCAGTTAGAGCCAGCAAGGTAACTTGTTCAACAAATGTTCAGTTTCTTTCCTTCTAATTAGTTTTTAAACATATTATTTGTATCTTTTAATTTAAGAAATATTAAAATTTATAAAATGTGAGTATCCCTCCCCCCCCCCCAAAAAATCTTGTATTGAAGTGAAACTCCGCAGATATTGGGTAGAAAATCCTAGTTGAAATATTAGGTTTTTGAAACTTGTTATATTTCCTGTAACAGTGGTAAAGATAATCGTTTGTGTGTATTTTATAGTGTGGCAAAATCTTGCAACTGTTGCTCAGAAAATAAATTAAAAGTTCCGTCTATGTAATTTCATATTCAGGTCTCCATTCAGCAAGCCGAGTACGAGATGTTGGCCTTCATTCGCAAGCACACTCTGCCTAAAATCTGTCCTCTGGCTGGCAACACTGTGCATGTAGACAAGGAGTTCCTGGCTAAGTACATGCCTCAGTTCATGGATCATCTGCACTATAGGATCGTGGATGTCAGTACTGTCAAGGAACTTTGCAGGTATGTTAACCCCGCCCACTTTGGGGCGTAAACCTCCAATGGACTGTTCCAAATCTGGTTTTAACTCCACCCACTTTGGGGCGTAAACCTCCAATTGACTGTTCCAAATCTGGTTTTAACTCCATCCACTTTGGGGCGTAAACCTCCAATTGACTGTTCCAAATCTGGTTTTAACTCCACCCACTTTGGGGCGTAAACCTCCAATGGACTGTTCCAAATCTGATTTTAACTCCACCCACTTTGGGGCGTAAACCTCCAATGGACTGTTCCAAATCTGGTTTTAACTCCACCCACTTTGGGGCGTAAACCTCCAATTGACTGTTCCAAATCTGGTTTTAACTCCACCCACTTTGGGGCGTAAACCTCCAATGGACTGTTCCAAATCTGGTTTTAACCCCACCCACTTTGGGGCGTAAACCTCCAATGGACTGTTCCAAATTTGGTCATAACCCCGCCCACTTTGGTTTGTGAACATTTCTCACAGTGCTCGTGACTGATTTTGACTGGGCTACTATGGTCACCTGATCAAAAGTCAGAGTCTAATTGGTCAGTGCGCACTGTGTTTGACAAGCAGGAAGAGTTCATTTCTTTTTCCTCTGTCAGTGATGCTGATATAATATCCTTACTGATAGTAACAAAATTACAAAGGCTTAAATTCTGTCAAGTAGTTCTCAGAAGACTGAAACACTTTCATTTTGTAATTTGCTTTTTCACTTAGACGCTGGTACCCAGATGAATTCAAAAACGCCCCTCTGAAGAAATTGACACATCGAGCTTTGGACGACATCACCGAAAGCATCAAAGAACTGAAATACTACAAGAAAACAATCTTTCAATGAATCCATGAAAGTATTGAGAGCAAAAAACTCTTTAAATACTTTTAGGAAGATTTTGCGAGGTTAACAGTTTGACTTTTTGGAAGTGTTTTCTTTTATTTTCCTTTTTACACCTCCAACATTAGTTTTCTCAGTATAGGAAAGAAATTAAAAATTGAGCTATTAAACTCACCGTGACCGCTAAATGGTTTAGCTTTTTCTGGGGAAAATATGCTTTGAACAAATAAATGCCATTCGCCAAAGCTTTACCATGCAAATTGAACTGTTTTGCAGTGGTTTCAGTCAATTTACTATTAAAGATTTGCATTTCTACATTCATTAATATTCACTCATGACTGTAAGAAACACGGAAAACAAGCAGAATCATACAATTTGAACACTGTTAACTTTAATTTGTTAAAAAGGGATTTATAAAAAGCAGTTACACTCGATAATTTTTTACAGTTGAAATGAGTTGTGATTTTGTAACAAACCAGAGCGATACATCAATTGGAAAAAGAATTCATGTGGTACTAGTTGCTGCAAGCGAGATTTAGTACTAGGGCAACAAAGACCAACAGGGGTACATACTGATAGAATTAGAAACTTTAGCAATGTATAAGCTTATGTATTATGCATATTGCCTTAAATGTTTGCATAGAAAGAAGTCACAATATGTAACAATTGAAAAGTATCGCTGTTGTATGCTAAATGTATTAAAAATGTACTACATACAATTTGTATTGCAAGCATAAAAGGTTATAAAATGAAAAACAAAATTGAATGAAACATTGGATGAACATTTTGGGAGAACAATATCACATCAGAATGAGCTTTAATAATAAACTTTGTTCCAGAGGAAATATTTGATATTGTGGTTTAGTAGAGTTATAAATTGACCTATCGCGGTAGAATCGCGTTAGAATTGCGTCAATGCAGCTTGTGAAATATTGTCCAATGACATGATATACAAATGGACGCAGAACGCGCAGAATCTGAGACAAACAAAACCTAGTGTACAAACAATCCATAGGGTTGTCTAAGGGGCGTGGCTAACTCGCAAACGGCGATAGGTCAATTGAGACAAACTTAAATATTTTCTTTGAATAAGAAATTATATTACTTCACACTAGTTCCCTGTTGATTTTTGCAAAGTGAATGCATAGATCAGCCGAATGTAATCGGGCACCAGTCGTGAGTTCGAAATAAATGTCTGCATATCTGTGAAAGGCACTGTTAATAATGTGAAATGTTCACTCATTTAGTTGTACATACATATACTGTCTGGGAACCAGACTGCAGCAGAAAGGACTAGATCACATCCTTTAGCAGGTGATATCAATCACCCTGTCAGGCAAATCCTCATTGAGATCCATAATAAACATCCTTTTTCAGATCCATTCTGTTGTAAACTTGACCCACCATGGACTAAACTGAAACCTGTCATTAGAGGGCGCACTTCATTTACTGAATAACTTCATACAATATAACCTCTTTAAAATCTGATATAAGGCACTGTAGTAGTCTTTTTCAAGAGTTTTTCTATCTGCGTTTTCAAATCCAAAACGACAAATACTCGAGATGGAAGAAAGTGGTTGATAACTTTTTGAAAGAAAAACTCACTCGTAGCACATAATTTCCCATATATTGCTGCGTTTTTTGGTGGTCGTTGGTCTCGCGATGGCCGAGAAGAGATAGATGTTGATCTTGACTCCCGGAAGGAGTTCCTTCATAGATTCCAGCATCTCGGATTCCTGCACCAAGCCGAAGACATCAATCGCTCGTAGCTGCTTCAGGGAGCCAAGTTGCCTGTTACAGAGAGAAATCGAAAAGACATTTTTTTTTTAATCTTCTGATGCAAAATCAGTCACTATTGTTTTTGTTTTTTTGGCAACATGACCAAGACTTTGTTGAAAATGCATAGGCGCTGTAGTTTTCAAGGCTGCAGTAACCTAAAGAGAGCAAATTTTTAGAAAATGTTTAGTTTTAGTGTCTGAAAGAAAACTATCAAATGAGTTTCCAGGGAAAACCTACAGAATATGACAGAGACGGAAAACCTGTTTTGGACCGGGCGGGATTCGAACCCGGGCCACAGTGGTGGATGGAGAGGAAAGTATCCCTGCACCAACTCCACTCTCCTTCTTTCGAAACAGAAAAAGAGGAATTTATTTCCTTTTCTGATATAATTTTGGTAGTTGTTGATTAGAAATACTCACACGAATGATAATCTGGGAATGCTGTAGCAACGACTCAATGCAATATGCTGTAGTTGGGTCATTTGTTCCGTGATGCTGTCGATGGCTGCAAAATCGATCGCTGTGGCGTCGCTAAGGTCCAACTCCTTCATGGTCGGGCATCTACACGCCAGTAAAACAACATCTGAACAAAAAAACCCAAAAATTGAAGAATTTAAAAAATGTTTCTCGGCTTGGCAGCGGCTTAAGCCCTTTCCCATAGACATGTGTGTTACTGCTAGCCGTAGCCTACCACAGCGACTGTCCCCTTCCTTACCCACAGATCTCAGCATCTGTCTGCAGCCACTCAGGTTGAGTTTCTCCAGACTCTTTGGCACGTTCTCCACGAAGACGTCCATCTCTTTACGGGACAGGTTGGCCCAGCCAAGATTTAACGACTGTAATCTGCAAGTAAAAATGACACAGTAAGGAAGATGGACCATATATCAGTTAGCAACTTAAGAGAAAACATTTGTTGGTTTTTAAGTTTCAAAACTTCCTGAACTTCCAAATTCCACCAAATTTCATGTTCTTTGCACTCAAACTTGGTTGGGGTATCGACTCCTGTAGTAACAGTGGCCAGGTTCTACATTCCTAAAACTTTCTAACTCCTACAAAATCATCTTATGGATTTTGATGGATTTGGGGGTGAGTCTAGAAACAAGGAAGAAAAAGTATTTTTGAGTAAAATTACGTTAACGATGAGTAATATAATCTTGTTTCAATTGCCTGCATGCTTTCACAATGGTAACAAAAATATTGGAAATTGATTATTTTACTCATTTTTAAAAACTTGACTTACTTTGTGCAGTTCTTCAGCACTGCTTTTAGCCCCGCCTCTTTAAGGCCGCTAACCATACACAGGTTGAGTTCCTCTAGGCTCCGCCCATGCTTAGCAACCAACTTCATGACGTCATCGCTCACGGTGCAACTCTCCAGACTCAGTTTCTTGATCTGGTTGCCAGGGCAACGGTCGAGAATCTCCACCAATTGTTCTGGTCTGGTGTCGGCTGCTGTGAGATCGATGTATTGCAGATGGAGGGTAGGCTTCAATGACGATTCAACTTGGCTTTTTGAACTTTTTGGGGGGGAAAAAAATTAAGTATGTCTCATAAGTTACACGGCATTATTCGTCCTTCCTGAGCACTTAACATACAATCATGGAATTGCTTTGTGGAAATGTTGCTTAGAAATCTTTTTGCCAAGTAAAGATCAGCTGGGAACCAGTCATATGTAATAAACATTACATGACATTTTGGTTGGCAACCGGTTTCAGCTAAGCAAATAGATTTCATGCTTAGGTTTCTGTGCTTAACTGTTTCCCAAAATGTTTGGACTCTACAGTTTAGGACAAGCAAATAGGACTGCAGGCTCAATCAGTCTTTGTTAAGCAAGGGTGCAATTTGCAGCCAATAAACGCATCTGAAAAACTTGTTCCAAAACTTGTTTGCGAAGGGAAACTTAAGCTATCCTAGCGGTGGTAATGTTGGCCAATGTCATATGAAATTTGGACTCCTATGAAATCTGGTCGCTTTTACCTTATATGGACTGTAACCAGTGACCCGTCACTGCGCTAATTATCTTCACTAAAAAGATGTGCAATACAATCAAGGAGTCTATATCTCTTAGAGTCCAAATTTCACATTGGCCTAATTTTATACTGGCACTGCTAGCCCAACAGAGTGAGAGACAAATGAAACTGACATTTCATTTGTAAATTGACAAGACTAAAATCTTGATGAATTTTAACTTTACTAATTTTTGAAAGCTGATGATAACAAGATTTTTACTGTTTGGCTGCATTTGAAGTTGGTCTTGTGACTTTCAGCGGCAATTCTGTGACGACGTCATCAAACACTGGTCCCTGTATGGCGCACCGGGATAGCTTGGCAGCTGTAGTGCCTCTCTGAAGAATTTGCCCCAGAATCCCGGAGGCAAAACTCTTACTAGAGAGATCAATCCGTCTCCAAAGGCTGTCATCAAATCTATAACGGAAAAAAGGAAAAATGGATTATGATACACTACCAATCTAAATTTGTTCATTATAAAGCAACTATGAAATAAGGTTAGGTATCAAACGATTGTTAAATTTTACTTCAACTTACACAAGATGACTCCAGCGTTTACAAACTCTTGCGCAGCGGGCGAGCGTCGTCATCGGCAACCACTGGAAGATACCTAGCATAATCTCGTCTGACAGGCAGGAGAAAGGATCTGTGTAGCCAATGAGAGACAAGGGGCATTACATCATGATTTTATGACAAAAATGGCACTAGGGCATCAGTGCCTACCAGGATAAAGCAGGTTTTGTAATGCATTTACCATTTTTTAACCAAAATTTTAGCAAATTCTGTATTGTTTTTGAGACAGCTGACTAATAATTGACAGATTTTAAAGATGCAAATTAAGGCTTATATTCTTCACAGAAACTTTTAAATCAAGCGTTTAAAGTGGCCGTCAACAAATATTGTGTCATTTGACATCATGGACCTTTCTCGAGACAGCCCCCATTTTTTGTGATATTCGATTTTGGTAAACTGCTCTTCATACGTTCGGTGTGTGATAGAATATTTGGACATTATTATTCGGTACATTTTGCACAGCCCTACCATACCTGATGGTTTTTCAAGTTGTAGTTGTTTTTTACAGCTGCAGGAATGACCGTTGTGGATATGAGGCTGCTCGGGCTTGAACTGATCGGGCGAGACTAGGTGACCTTTAACCTCAGCAGAATTGGGATCCTGGAGAATGGGATAAGAAAAGAAAAAAATTACTAGTTTTATTTTGGATGAGACCAGGGCCAAACTTACTAAAGTAACACAACCATTTGTGTCGTGTTGTGTTTTGCTTACCACCGACCGGTTGCCAGCTGACATCTGCTGAGCAGAAAAAAAAGAGCTTCCTTAAATTCTAGCCACATGAAATTTTCATTTGAGGAAATTTTTTGTCTTTCCAATTTTCAATTTTTTAGCATCGAAATATGCCTTATTTTCTGATATTATCACCATCAGAAATATCTTGTATCCTAATATTTGTTTTCAACATGAATGTGGGTTGCCATTTTGAGGTGAAAAAGCTTAGAAAAAAGATGCTATGGCAATTTTGAGAAAACAGTCGTCTTGGAAAAGAAATTGCTTGAAAGCGGTGGATGTTTTGTAAAAAGACCATCCGCCATCTTGCGTCTGTTGCTTGTAAAAAAAAAAAAAAAAAAAAGGCCCACATCCGCCTTTTTTTCAAAATGTTTGGACAAGAAACAATATTTTTTATTAGGCCCAATTGTTCCTTTACTATGGCACGCACTCACCTTTATTTGTTTCTTTGTTCTTTTGCTATTTGCTCCCTTGTTTGCTATCAATTGTTGCCCATCAACAGTGCCCTCTACGTTTATTTCTTTCACCCCGAGGTCATTGTAGATGCCCTGCTTATGGACTTTGGGAATGTCCCACGTGAAGGTCGGGGTTATGAAGTCATGTGACTGACGCGAACCACTTTTAGATCTTTGAGAGGAAGTTTGAGACTCATTTGTTCTGCTGGGTTTGGTTCCGGGCTTGCTTGGGACCGATGCCAGACCTGTTGGAGCTGTGCCAGACCTTGTTCTGCGCCTGCTGGAAAAAAACAGGGCAGAAAATCACAAGCATTTCTTAAATAGGCCTAATTATAAAAACTTATTATGCTATATAACAAGCTCATGTTTTGAATACTTTCATCATATGAAATGGGACTGTGCTGGTATGTGACTACAGTGGCGTAGCCACGGGAGGGGGGGGGGCCAACAGCCCGCTGCCCCCCCATGAAACCTTGTCGCCCCCTAGTCCGAGTAACTTGGACCCAACTTATCGCCTTTTTTAACATTTTGGATATGGTCTGGCGATCGCCAGACCATATCCAAAATGTTAAAAAAGGCGATAAGTTGGGTCCAAGTTACTCAGACTAGTCGCCCCCCCAGTCGCCCCCCCCCACTGAGATTTTGAGTTTCTAAAAAAATTATTATTGATCTACATGACGCCCCCCATGAAATGTTCCAGCCCCCAGCGCCCCCCCCCCCACTGAAAAATTCCTGGCTACGCCACTGTGTGACTATAAATGTCAAATCACATTACATGTATGAGGTAGGCCATATGTATAAAAATGTATCAATTCATATAGGCCCAAACCTTCCGATGATTTAACGCGTCATGACACTCAGCTTAGTTATTAAAAATATTAACCATTGTTAACTTGAAAAACTCCATCCCAAATATCGAAACTCAACACCCAATATTATGAATAAATATGCCAACCTGTACTCAACTTAACTCGATGTACACTGTGTAACTAGGAAGGGTTTTGAGATTCTGAACAGTCAATAATCTGATAATATTCAAATTAAAAGCCCATTAAATAAATTCAAGGTGTAGTTTACATTTACATAATTACAAGTACAAAATCTAATAATATAAACATGATAATGATATAAAGTAGTGTAGTGACGTGACTGCACCACTGCTGCAAAACACTTTCTCAGCACAGCTTGATGTCAGCCAAAGTTGTGCACACAATTGCCATGATTGCCTGTCATTTTTAGTGTCAATGATTTGTGAATGAACTACTTACATCATTTTACAAATCACAGACCGCCTTTCGATCAAAACCCTAGGTCTAAATCTCTAAGAAGCATCTGACACGGCCCAAAGGTATAAACCCGATTTCTGGTGAAGATCGTGGGAAAATGCGTACAGCGTGCAACCTCCTCCTATGTTCTGTACATGTATTTCGCGTTTGGCGGTAAACTGTATCAACTAGCCAATCACGCGCCTCGAAACCCCGGAAGTACAAGGCAAGTTGGCGGAAGCGCTTGAATATATACGACTGTTTTATGATTTTAATACAAACATGCATAAAACAGTTAAAAATCTATGTTTACAACCGTGAATTCTGTGACTGTTGTATGACTTGCTAAATTAAGTCGCCAAACGGTCGTCGTATTATCTATTTATAGAACATATGTAATCGTAAAGGGAATTCCCATTGCACAATCGAATGGCAACTCAATGTTGATTGGATTGCCGGTCAATATATAAACCAGACTCGCCAACATTTTGTCATTTGAAGACTTTAGGACTAGGAGATATTGTGTTCAACATGCCTAAACACAAAACAAAACCAGAGACAAGTAAAACAGAGTCGTTGAAAAAGAAATCGAAAATGACTTCAAAACAAAGTGAAACGACGTCCCAATCTGGTGGTGCAACCGTTGGCGAGATTGAAGAGAAATACACATTTTTCTACACCACGAAATCGCCGTTCAGCCAGCACCATCCTTCAAATTTCACCGTAGACGGCGTCAACTATGTGCATGCAGAGCAGTACATGATGCACCAGAAAGCAGGTACGTACGTGGAGGTATACATTGAATTTGGTCATATTGCTAAAACTACAAGTACAGACAAGTATTCCATGATATGCTATAGCCTGGGTCATGGGGTATTTCCCCGCCCCGCGTTTTTAAGGGGGGGGGGTGAGGGAATTTTACATTTGTATGCTTTATACTACTACTAGTGTCATAATTTGATTTTATTTTTTAAATTTGACAACTTAACTTCAAAAGCTTGTTTGAATTAATTTGAAACAGACACTAGCAGAACTCAAAGGGTGATAGGAGAGGAGGGACCCCCCCCCCCCCCTGTGCCCCCCTAGTATTTTTGTGAAGGCAAACATGGGCTTTTCTATACTAAAAACCCTTTGAAAAAAAAAAAACACCCAAGATCTCGATCCTCCCCCCTCATATTGAATAAGCACATTTTATTCAGTGATTTTCATTTAATTTTTTTTCACAGTATTATTTGGAGATGGCCCGACAGCTGATCAGATTTTGCTAGAAACCGACCCTAAGGCAATCAAGAAACTCGGACGGCAGGTGAAGGATTTCGACGAGCAAATCTGGAAGGAAAACAGAAGCAAAATTGTCAAGAAGGGCAGTTATGCTAAGGTATGAGGCCTTCTAATAACTTATTTGTCAATAATTCTTTTAAAACTTATCTTGTCTCAATAATTCTTTTGTTTCTTCCTCTTCCGATCAATAATCTGATATGAAAGGTTTTTTTAAGAGTGCACAATAGTTTCTCATTAGTGCAGATATCTTTGCACCCTTTGAACATTTGCTCTTTGAAAAAAAAAACATGTGCAGCTGAACTTGATAATAAAAAAAAATCCTATTGGAAAACAAGTGTTGCACACTAGGTCACATCTGTGGTTGGGTTACAATTCTTTCACAAGCAATTTGAGAAACATTCACAAAAACAAACTTTGGCAAAGCTTATTGCCAAATCCGGAGAGATAATGCAACGGAATATGTTTCTTCAACAAATTCTCTAATTTATACCTTCTTTTATCCCTAGTTCTCCCAAAACCCAGACTTGAAGGAACAGCTCCTGTCAACAGAGGGCAGTATTCTGGTTGAAGCCAGCCCCAGAGATACTATCTGGGGGATTGGCATGGGGGCCAACAATCCCAAAGCAAAGACCAAGAAAACGTGGAGGGGGTCCAATTTGCTTGGGTACATCCTAACCGAAGTCCGAGACCAGTTGATACAAGAAAGCTCCACAAAGGAGGAAACAAAATAGTTGTATAGACTGTTTGCGTTAGCAGCCATCTTTGAGAAAAAAAAGAACACCCCTCAAAATGACTGAGTTGCAAAGTACCTATTACTTACCAACAAAAGATGTAAGGTTTGGAAAATTTTCTTGCATTGGCGTATAAATTATTTTAGGAATAATTTGTTGTGGATGAAACAATAGACTTTATGCGTAGCAGCCATATTAGAGGGCAATGCCTTTGTTGGATGTGATATGCTTGAGTGAACCTTTTGTGTATTCATTGCTACTGAATTAAAATAACAAAAGACGCCCTCTGAAATGGCCGATATGCAACATGTCTATTTGAGGCCACTTTTTAATGTGGCTGGGTGATTTTTTTTATGGGAATGCAATTTTCATCAGCTGAGGTAAATAATATTTGATAAACTGAACTTTTTAAGGTACAATAAATAAGTTAAGACGATGATTTAGTACAAGTACTTTTGTAACAATAGCCAGTTTAAACGAACTCTGGATTCAAGCTGATATAGGAGACTGCAGGGCATTCATTAATTTATTGGAGCACTGCAAATTAAAAGTGTAAAATACAACAAATCTTTTTGAGTTGACAAGTAAGGAAGTTTGTGTAAAGGACTGTACATTGCATCCAAAAGAAGCACACAGTTCATGCAAAAGAATCACACAAAATCCTGGAAGATCAAATATATTTAAAATTCCTAATGCAGTGTTTTCCAAAAAGAAATATTACCAGTTATTTTCCCTGATTACAAATAAAGATAACGAAACAATTATAACTACCTATCAATTATAAAAGAATACATCTAATTCATTTTTACCATATATATTTATTCATCTTTATGTAAAATTAGATACTTTTAGATTTGATGCAAAACTTAAGCCCTGTAACCTTAATGACTAGTTTTCCAAAACCAATTTTTTGACCCAAAATAAATTGTACTGAAACTAAGTGCAGCATAATGTGTGTGACTGAAAAGTTTACTGTTTAAATCTTGCAGTGCAAATACCTCATTTTTCTTTCAATTCATGACTGTTTGTGCCTCCAAATCAGAACACAAAAATCTGAATATTCATATTTCACAGATGACTAAAAAACAACTTGAACCTCTTGGAGTTTTATAAAATTAATAACAAATCAAAATATTTAGAATTTTGGTTGTGAAATTTCCTCAGAGTGAAATTGTCTTTGGTAAAAAAAAATGGCAGTAAATCTTGTCATCAGATTCCATATTTTGGACCTGTTTTCATATATTTTTCACATTGTAAAATGCTTTAATCAAATAAACAATTACATTTTTATATGCCCAGATAAATAAAATAATGCAATGATCTGTCAATTTACAAAATAAACAAATCTGATTTGTGAGTTTAAAAAGAAATTCAACCAGGAAGCCTACAAAACACAAACAGTACACACAAAATAAACGAACAGTTATATTGCTTTAGAAGGAAAGACTATATATACGTACTTGAGTATTTTGCGCATTATTTAAACTACATACAAAAGATAAATCTCTACAATTTAGATCTTTAATATAACACTATAGCATTTGAAGCAATATTCCAGTAACAATCCTTTTTTATAAACCTAATCAGACTTTTGCATTAAGAAGTCAATTTGCAACTGCATTCGAAACATTCAAGTTATTAACTACACATTCGTGAGTGGTACATAATTGATAGAATCTCTAAAAGGTAATCTATGTACAACCAAAGCTCCCACAGCAGAAACTTATCAATGACAATCCTACCTACATTCGCAGCTTTACTAAATCTTTCACTGTACTTACATGTATTTGTACTTAACTTTCTAGGGACATCAAGTTCCATGTAAAGATATAATCGCTGGGCAGCACCTTTCACAATCCTAGAAAATCCTTCAAAATTGCCAAGTGAGTTTTGCAGGATTTCTAGAAATTCTAGAGAATCCTTCAAAATGTCCAAGTGGGTTTTGAAGGATTTCTAGAAATCCTAGAAAATCCTTCAAAAATCATTAGTCCAACTGGGTTTTGAAGGATTTCTAGAAATCCTAGAAAATCCTTCAAAAATCATTAGTCCAACTGCGTTTTGAAGGATTTCTAGAAATCTTAGAAAATCCTTCAAAAATTCCAACTGGGTTTTGAAGGATTTCTAGAAATCCTAGAAAGTCCTTCAAAATTTCCAAGTGGGTTTTGAAGGATTTCAGAAGGTTAGGTATAGGGAAACACTGATCTTCAGAAAGCAAGGTTATTATCATTAATTTTACATACAATATTAATATCACAAAGTTATCAGGGGCAATCACTCTTATAAACGCTGCAGTCCAATTACGTGGACATTTCTTGTGTTCACAAAACCAACTCAAGAGTTGGAACTTGAGCCAAAACTTTCAACTCTGCTTCACAACTTGTGGTCACAAGCTATGAGACATTCCCACCACACGCCAGGAGTATTGAGGGTAAAAAAAAATTGTGAACGCCTAAAACATTACACCTTGGGGGGAAAAACCAACATAAAGGCAGTGATCAGTGGTTACTTTTACACACTTACTTCAACCCATCTACGTTTTTGAAAAGCTACGCCATGTACAGTATTTCATAAGCACCATTAATTAGACACAAGAGGAAGGAAAAAATATTTGCCTTCAGGATTAGACAATCTATTAAGAGTTTAGCCACCAGCTCATCACATACCAGTAGGCCTATACTTTCCTTTAACAGTGGCAATATTAGTCAAAACACATCTGTCAACAATTCGTTCAGTAAATTGATTAGTTATTTAAGCTTGTTATTTCAAGTTCTACCTCCAAACATTTGACACACCTCGCATGATTTTATTAAGATATTCTACAGTTTCTACATTCAAGGCTGATCTAAAAATTTATGTCTACGTGAGAGTCGACACTACAGAGGGGCCAGACGTAAGGTATTAATCTTTAATTTCTCTAATAACTGGACAGTATAAAGCATGAAGTATTTCGGAAACTTGTACTCGCTAGTAAGTTAGAGGTGACAAAAGCTGTGAATTGGCCAAATAAAAATGGACATATTTTTTTTATAAAATAATCGTGGCCTCCGTACGTAAACAACAGAGGGGGCTCAGTAACCTATAAACCTATCCCAACATTTGAACTATGCTGTTTAATGCATGCTGTTTATCATTTATAAAATCTATGGCTATGGCTGGCAGTAACGCACAAGTCTATGGGAAGTGGCTGCAGCCACTAGCCAGTGGCTTCCATAGGTGTTTGTTCAGGCCATGGCCATGTGATTAGGAAACGGCCTAAATTAGGGAGGAAGGGTAGTCTGGTTCCCAAGATCTGCATCATTCACTTATACAATGAATGCAGGCAGGAACCAGTCTAATGAGGCGGGTTTACCTAATTATTGACCGATCACGTCAGTATTGCAAAAAGATGGTCCTTCGCGCTTTTTTCTTTTTTACTGTTGCGGGGGTACTAGTATGCGCATTCCATCCTCAAGGTGACCTCATTTAGCTGTATCTTCTAGTAACTTGTCGCAGTCGTTCAAGACCTCCAGTATGCAGCCCATGGACCAGGCCTGAGTCGGGCAACCGTCCTTACAGAACTGACCGTCAGAGTTGGTCAGTTCCGGCAGACCCTTCCACAGGGATAGCTCGACCTCGGTGTGGTGTCGCGTCAGCGTCTGACGGACAAAGTTGACCGTGGATTGGAAGAGGTTGTCCTGAGGCTCCGCCCCCGATGGGGAGGGGTCAGGGGTCAAGCGACGGGCAAAGTGGAGTTTGGCGCGGAGGAAGTAGCCAATTGGCCAGACCCATTCCTGGAAGTCGGCAAAGATTAGGTGATTACGTTAACTGGGTATTAAGCTTCTGCCGTTTTGTCCCAAGTGACTGTGACAAAAAAGTCACAATCTACTCGGGTGGGACTCAAACCCACGACCTTCTGCTAACTAGTGCAGACGTCTTACCACACAACCACTGAGCTTGTCAGGGTCGGCTGGCTGGTTCAAATCTGATATAGCAGCAGGTACCGCAACCAAATTATTCGTAAGATGGAGTTTGCGTTGGGGTGATGTGAATTTTATTTTCAGGGACACCTTCTCAAATTGCAGGGAAAAATCAATAAAAAAAGAACAATATTTTGTTCACTTACCGGGCCTTGGTGATAGTTGAACCCTCTCGCTCTCTTAGTCTCATGTCCATCGTAGGAGTTGTCATAATCGCCCACATATCCCCAGTCCCTAGGATGAAACCCAACAGAATTCAATTTTGATGAAAAAAAAAATAAAATTGTCTTCTTTTTTCACAAACTTAAAACATGCCATGACACTGCTTGTTCCAACCAAACTGCACCATATTTCAAATGCTGCATTTCGAAAGGAACAGAGACTTTCCTTAACCAGTTTATACACGCAAAGATTTTGCGGTATTCGGAACGGATGATGGATAAACACACAACGAGCGAGACCAGAAATATCTGTCTGCGACACGCTCGCAGTGAGCGAGGCCAGAAATATCAGGGTGTGCTACCCGCAGATCACTGCCTGAACCCGTCTGGCATCGAGGTTCGTAAAAACAAAATCCCGCGCTTGGGTCCGGTCAATGTCAAAATAATCCCGGCGCGAACAGGTTAATCGATTGGCTTCATTTTTGCTATATCAAGTGTTTGGGTGTCCTTAGCAATGTAAAGGGTATAAGTGTAACTTACGATGGATCCAGCGTTTTCATTCCCAGCGGCCCCAGCAGGAACTCCTCAGCCATTTCCAGTGCTGTCCAGGCTCTTGAGGGGGTAAACAACTCTGGTGCCTGTCAAGAAGGAAAAAGGAAACGAAAATGTCATCACAGTCTTAAAATATAACTAAATATACACAGAAATTGAGATACAAATATTTTGTGTCATGGGTTACCAACTCACCACCACCATTGCGATAGGGTAGTTTGGCCTTAGCTGGTAGTCCGCCCAGAACTGCGTGGCGCCTACTGAATCCTTGTAGATCCCCCGTCGGTTGATCAGCTCGTTGGTTTCTTTGTTGGCGTCGGGAGCGATCCAGAAGTTCTTTTCAAAGTTGGCCTGGAGTTTGGCATCCCATTCCTTGTAGCTCATCTGGGTTAGTTTGCCTGAAGGAGATAAGGATCCAACAGTTTTAGGAATGTTAGCTTCCCGCATCTTAGCCAGCCACCTTACCTCACATGAACTGCAAGATTACATAGCGCCCTCTATCGTGCACGCACAGAGCCATTAGGGTACGAACCAATCAAATCACTTACCATCCGGTCTTACAGTGACTCCACTGTGTGGGTAATGGCCAGCCTCATGCATCTTGGCCAGCCACCTCAACTCACATTGCAAGATTATATAGCGCCCTCTATGCTCATGCACAGAGCCATTTAGTACGAACCAATCAAATCACTCACCATCCAGTCTTACTGTAACTCCGCTGTGCGGGTAGTGACCAGCCTCGTGCATCTTGGCCAGCCACCTGACTGTCGCCTTGCAAAGTCCTACGATCTCAACAGCAGAACCATCTCTGTCAAATCAAACAAAAACGGATGTTTACGAAATCATGGCTTAGGCTCTGGCTTCATGACTTAAGTTTCCTGACTTCACAAACTTTGGAACACTACCCATCTATTTTCTGCCAAAGAGATACCAAATCCTGAGAAACAAGACAAATGGTTGATGTCGTTTGATTTGGATTTGAATGTACCGATACCATTATGAATCTTTGTTGTTATTGCGTACCTTGGGGTCGCCGGTGTTCCACGGTTCCCTGCAATATCCGACTCGCCCACTTTGTCCATCCACGTCCCACAATTCCACTTACTTCCTCCAAATGGGAACCCGGTCTCGTGGTCCACTCCGATGGTGACATTGAAACCTACAAGCCAGAAAAATATTGATTAAAGAAAAGAAATGACAGGGATGAAAGTCGTAGGACTTAAAAGATTTGTTGAAAGAATAAGTTGAGACACGAACCTTCGTGTGACATGTTCTGGTCGAGACCCTTTCCAGCATGCCTCTCTCGATATGAGATGCCCTCAACGTGACGCTGCATTGCTTCCTGGATGACGTCTGACAAAGGTTGATCCTGCAGACATAAAATCACAAAAAAACTTGTGTTTTGTATTATCACGATTGAAAACAAAGTGTAATTTACCCATGTTCGTGTTGCCCCTCCCCCCTCCACTAAGAGTCACTTTATTCTTTTGCCAATTTTTTTTCCGATCTCACAGAAACTCACCACGAATCCAGCAGGCTGGGGCTCATCCTCATCCCCAGGGAAGATCCTAGACACAGGGCATTCCAGTATGCTATATCCATCCTCCATCCCTTGGCAATAGAGTTGTATGCAGTATAACCACCACCAGACCGCGTCGCGGCAGTTGTAGCGGGCGTGGGAACCCCCGCCCAGGAGGTTAGGGATGACGCCATGGCGGAGTGTAGCGGCGTAGGCAAGGATCAGGTATCTGTGGCAGTAGAGAAAAAATGTTATGAGGATGTTTTTTTTTAACTGTCATGACGCGCTGAAGTTGTTTGCGTGTGTTCTGCTTGTGCGTTGCATGTAGAGTACACTTTCAAAATTCAATCCATCTAATTACATTATGTTCTACAAACACGCACATGAATTCAAAATGTCTGCGCCCAGGACGGCTTCAAAGCGTCTCCAGGCGCAAGAATGAGGAGTTAGCGCTGAAGTAATTTAATACAGCTCTATGGACAATCCTTACTTAGCATCATCCATTCTCCCCGTCACGATCAGCAATCCCGGAACCGCAATGAACGTGTCCCTCCCCCAGCTCCGCATGAACCCCCCAGAAAAGTGGGGCAGTCCGGCTGCCATGGTGACAGCGCACTGCTCCCTGCGGTTGGTCTCTTCGTCTGTCACCGTGGGAACGTCGGAGAGTTTAGGGGACAGCTCGGGCAGTGGGCACGTCTTGACGATGCCACACATCTGAACGGAGCCCAGGGCCAGAGCGCGGGTGAAAGACGATCCCTCAAAAACAAACCTGTAGTCAGGAGGAAATGGGAAAATCACTGACTAAAAACAAGCTTTTCTTCAGGATTTTGTTTAATAAGCCTGATCTTTATCCTTGATTCCAACATATTATTCTTAGGACTTGTGATCTTAGAAACATATCAAGATTTGGCAGAAAAAAGTTTCAGTGGCGGCAGGGTTCATTTCATCAAGTTTACACTTTAATTTATTTTCACCAGTTTTTGGACTCACATAAGTTTCAAGTCTACTTTCATGTTTTGGCCAGGAACAAAAAAGATTTGAATCCCCCAAAAAACCCAGCGTTAACTTGATAAATAAAGTGGCTCTTCAACTGACCATATGCAATAAGAATCTATCAGCTAACAATCATGTTGTAGTGTTGAATTTGGACTCTATGAAATGTTGACTCATCAATTGTGCTGCACCTGTCTTAGTGGACAGAATTAGAACAGGCAAATCTCTTGTGACGCTGAGAGTACATATTTGGTAAAACAGACCAGATTTCATAGGAGTGCAATTTTGTTTAGGACACCGGTACTGACTTGGACATGGACTGCCAGCAGAGGTCAAGCAAGGTCACGTAGGCTCCCACCAGGATGGCGTCAAAGTAACAAGGGATCAGGTAGCGCGGGATCAGGCTGAAGTTGGAGAAGGCTGCCTCGAACCACTGGCCAAGCTGGGGGAAATCAAAGAGATTATAATGTCAAAGTATCTTGCTTATGAACACAAAGAATGGGGTAATTCTTATAGAAGCAAAATATAGATTCAACAATGAAAGCAAGTAGATCTGAATAGTTTGTGTCTTTGTCAAATGCTGCCTATAAAAATCTGCCAATCTTTGAAAAATAAAAAGCAGTATTGTGTCAAAGTGCACTGCCTAGGGACACAAAAATTCTTTTTTTTCTCAGAGAAGCAAAATATGATAGATTCAACTATGAGAGCAAGTGGATCTGATAAAGTATTTTACATTGACAAATGCTGCCTACAAACATCTGCCAATTTCGGAAAAATTAACAGCAATATTGTGTCAAAGTGCATTGCTTATGGACACAAAATCGCTTGCTCCCATACACAAAAGTAGACGTGAACCCAAACGTGGTAGATGCAGCTTCATCAAGGCATTTTTTTTTCCTGGATGATTCCTGGCCAAAGAATACATTTCAAACAAACGACATGGCAAATAATGTTGTACTTTGTTAGAAATTCACAACTGAACATCACAACAGTCTCCCATAAAAAATGAAAAGTCTTGACGAATTCTTGAAAAAAAGAAAACTTCTCACTTGTCTGGTGCTGGCATGTAGCTTTAGTCTGTTCCCTACATACTGCGCCATCCAGTCTCCTTGACGTAGATTCTCACACAGTGAATGACCCAGGTCATTCTTGCTTCGAATTTTGTCCAGTGCCGACATAAAACCTGCAACAAGAAAGGTAGATTTGCACATCAGTGTTATGAAGTCCTGTTTGAATAGATATCTACAGCTATTGATGCAAGAAGTGCAACATCATTCTATCCATAATGCTCATTTCTATTTTTTTTTTCCATATAGGGAAAAACTTTCGCTAATGATCTTTGAGAATAAGTTCAGTGTGGAAATCAAGTCCATAACAAATCTGATCTTAATTTAATCACAAGTCCATTCACCAGTTGGATCACATGTAACAGAAGATAAACAATAACAAAGGTTTGCCTACGTCACAGTTCATTGGAATAGCTTGCGAGTTGACTCAGCACTGGCTGGCTTGTGACTGGCTTGTGACTGACTTGTGATGACTTGTGATCACTTGTGATCCACTATGATGACTTTTGATCCACTATGATGACTTGTGATCAATTCAAGATGACTTGTGATTCATCTGTGATGACTTGTGATCAATTCGTGATGACTTGTATCCATTTGTGATGACTTGTGATCTATTGGGATGACTTGTGATAAATTTGTGATGACTTGTGATCCATTTGTGATGACTTGTGATCCATTTGTGATGACTTGTGATCCATTTGTGATGACTTGTGATCCATTTGTGATGACTTGTGATTCTACTACAACACTGATCCAAATATTTTTTCCCTCCAAAAACCGAGTTGCTCAAGTTTTAACTTGTTTACCTTGCAAGCCGCAGTAGACCAGACTACCGTGCTGTGGGATATGATACCCCCCAGAGCCTTTGCCGTCATCGCGTTCCTCCACGTCGCAACGATACAGGACTCGATTCAGATCGGCCAGGGAGAGTTTCCTCGCGATGGTATGGAAGTTAGACGTGACTTGGTTCTGGTTGGGCGGGTTGCCGCTCAGAGTACGCACACGGTAACCAAACTGAGAGATGCAGGCTCGGAGCGCCGATAAGGCCTTGCGGGAGGCTGGGTTGAGAGTGACCCTGGAGTTTTTTATCAGAAAGAAAAATTAAGCAGACTTAATGAAGTTTTATACTTTGAAAATGTAATTTTCATGTTACTGATGATGAGATGAAACAACACACATGGGTCGGTGGTACATACATGAACAGATTAGTCGCTGTATTGCCCAAAACCGTCCTGCCTATAACTCCTAGAACCGCCCGAAACCACTTGAGCACTGATTTGATTAATTCTTCAGTGAATACAAATGTAATACACCTGGAAATGGGTAAAATACTCCTCCACCAATTAAAATCAAGGCTTCTATATTTGTTCTCAGATGAGATAGGACTTACTTGAAAGCAATGACGCTTCCTGGTGGGAAGTTAATGAAATCAATCTCCTGTACCGAGGACTGTTTCTCTGATCCGTGGTCAGCTAGCTCGACCATCTGACTGCTGTACAGCTGAATGTTGCTCTGCAGGTCCACGGTGAAGTGACCCAGACCGTTGATGTGGGTGTCACTCTTTGGGGGCGGGGCCTCTGCTTTCTGGACCATGCGGGCTTCCAGGATAATCTCTTCGACGACCCCTGTGGAGTTAGAAGAAGAAAACATGTGAAATATCTCAAAAGTTGGAATACTGTTAATGTTCCCAAAATATAGCTGTGTCTTCATATCAGGAATTTTTGCTGTGGATGTTGAATTTAAATTTCTGATGATGAGCCTTAAACTGGTTTAAATTCTAAACTGATTAATCAAATAAGGGAATTAACGTGTGCTCTGGAGGTTTTTATCACTCTGTTTAAGACCACTTAGAGTTTGGGTGCTGATAATTACCCCAGCCGGAGGCAAGGGTAATTATCAGCACCCAGACTCTAAGTGGTCTTAAACAGAGTGATAAATACCGACGGAGCACATATTTATTCCCATTCATAAATACCTTTTCGGTAAGAAAAAATCATATAATTCGTTCAAAACATCCTGATTTTGTTCAAGAAATTCACTTTATGCTTTCTGAAACATCCCTCTTGCAAAATAATGGAGTGTTCAGCTGGCGAGTAAGATGTAAACAACCCTTTTATGGAGATTGACGCGCGCGTATCGTGTTCTGCGCGATGTCGCGCAGAACGCACCTGGCGCGTTGCGTTTTGAATTTAGAACTATAAAATTCTGACTCCCTGGTAGTGTTGCGCATGCCTACGTGAGGATTGTGAACGTTCAACCAATGAAACGATAAGAGGCACTGGATTTTTAGGAGTCCACATTTTATTGTGACACTGGAAAAGTGTTTAAGACCAGCTAGCCATGTCTTTATCATCCGTTTAAGACCGGCCACGTGACGGGCTCTCGACCAATAGGAATAGCTAAACTGTCTGAGGTATTTATGAATGGCGGTTATAACCAGAGTAACATGGATTATATTTGCTACTGATGAAGATGCAAGACTGGAAAAGTAATTATAGCATGTACCAGGTTGAATGCTTAATTGGTACAGGGAGAAGTGGTATGTAACCAGCATAACTTGGATTAGTAGGATGACTAGTTGAGATTAATGAGTGTTCTCAACTGGTTTAAATCTTACCTGGTACAAAAAGAGTTACCAGTGTAACTCAGATTAGAGGGAAGTTTGAATGCTATGAGTGCAATGAGGATAACTGACTAGTTAAGTATTATTAAACTAGTTTAATATTTACCTGGTACACAGAGTGGTGGTATGTAACCAGTGTAACTCGGATTAGAGGGATGTTTAAAGGCCGTGCGTGCCATGAGGATAACTGACTGATGCGAGACAGGGTTGTGCCGAGTCACAGCTACGATATTCTCGTCGACTTGATCAACGTACACCTGCAAAACAAGACATTCAAGTGATTGGGTTTCTTGTGGCCATTAACAACTTTGTGTAGGGGCCGGTATGACTCTTCAATGACTCACTCTTAATCTAGGTGTATGCCGGACTGAAAACCTGGCTTGAAGCTTTGGTCCCTTTTTTGGGGGGGGAGGGGGGAGTTCGGGGGGGGGGGGGGGAGTGGGCAAGACCCAGTAATATTTTGTAAAAGCCTGTCAAGATCTGTTGGTTAATCACTCTCTGTTACTTAGGGCCTTAAAACTTCCAATTTAACTTGTAATTCACTTCACTCTCAAGTTTTATTTTCTAACCTGAGTGTAGCCTTTCGCTCCCAGTGTCTGATGCAGTTCGTTCAGGACTCGCTTGGCCTTGATGATTCCGTGGTTGTGACTGACTTCCTCAAGATGACAGACGTCTGCATCTTCTTTCCACGAGGTGTAGAGACGGTTCTCCTTGACCACGTGAATCTGAAGAAATGGAAACAAGATTTCTTTAACACATACTGGAGGTTTAAGATTTATACTGCATTCCAGGTTTAAGAATTATACTACTGTACATTCAAATTTCAAAATGAGTATTACTGAAATCTCAAAACACCTCTCTGCAGGAAGACATTTTTTGTCTTCAAATTAACTGTATTTCAATTAAAATAGCTGGTGTTATACTTACATGTTCTGGCACCAGTTCGTCATAGCCTCTACTGGAGCCGACAGCACAGCACGCCATGCAGACTAATGCAGCTGTAGGCAGTAGGTCATACACGGAGCGTGTCTAGATGACAAAAAACACCATTAAAATGCAGAGCATCATTTGCATTTTGTGTATTTTTTCTGTTTAAAGCAACAAAATTGCTCAAATCTTTAAGTAGGGTGCATAATAAATAATCTGTTGAAGTTTTAGCTCAGTAGCTACCGTACATTTTGAGAAACAGCAAAAACGTATTACGGGTCTCGTAACTGGGTTCCTTTCAAGGGCGGATCCAGAACACAATTTTGGGGGGGGGGCTAAAAAAAATGTTGGTCCCCCAAAAAAGTGGGTCAAAAAATTACGGCGTGGGGTTCGGGGCCCGCTTTAGGGCCCCGAAAAATTTTTGGATTCTAGATGCTCTGTGGTGCGATCTGAGGCAATTGCTGACCACTTTAACCAATGTTTTTTTGAGGAAAAGATGGTGGTGTACTCATTGCCTGCCTTTATTGCGATGTCACATAAAAAAAAAAAAAAATTGGTTTCGTTTTGGGGGGGGGCCATGGCCCCCTTTGGCCCCCCCCGGATCCGCCCTTGGTTCCTTTGCACCTAAAAAAGTGTGCCCGGTGGCACACGTTTTTAAAACCACCTTCAGTGAGTGTTTTCTTCCGAACTATATCATTTCAGGCAGAATACTTTCACAGGGTGTTTGGGATCAATCCTATCTTCACTTTCAGTAAGGTTTTTCCAAATTTTACTGGTACATCCGAATCCAGGTTATTACCAATGTTCCTATGTGTCTTTAAATACAAGAGTCTTGAGTACGTCACAAGCCATCACAATCCCTTAACAAGCCATCACAAGCAATCACAAGCCATCACAAGTCAGTCGCAAGTCATCCAGTGTCAAGTCTAGTCGTAGGCTAATGAACTAAGACAAAACTGACCAATCCAGCTTACCATGACGGGGCTCTGGTTGTCGTGGGTGACGTCCATCAGCAGGGCGTGGCTCATACTAGGGGTCAACGGCCTGACACGAGGTTGCAGGAAGGACCCGACCGCCTCCCCGCCAAACCGGTGAACGAGACGTCCCAGGTCGTGAGCATTGTAAGCATTCATTGCCTCTGCGGACAAGAAAAGACATCAAATAAAGCTGTAACGTTTAGTAAACAGGACGAGGCCTGGTAGATCTTGTCCCAGAATGCACCAAAATTCTAGTCAATTGATTCAAAATGGCAACTCACACAATTGACGTTATGAGGTAATCCTATATGATAGCACTGCCCGGCTCACAAGTGACAGACAGTCAATCAGTCAGTCAATCAGTGTGATAGGTGCAAAAAGGACACTAGACTGCCCCTTATCTGGGACCAGGGAATTCTCAAAATATTTCTGATTAACCTAACGGCCAGTTGGGGGAGACCCAGTCTGGTTCCCATTCCATCCACTGCTTAATTCAAATGATCCAAAGTTATTGGGAGGGGGGGCGGGGGAGACCATCGCAAGTTAATTTTCGAACGTATTTGCGCGCTGACGATGCCTGACGCTCACGCGAAGACGCTGTGGCTAATAGCTTTGGCATGTGCACATTCAGAAAGTCGCGCGTACTTCGCGCGCGAATCAGTACAGTACAGTATGCGCACGCTGTGTGTCTCATCCACTGGGCTCTCAAAAGTGGTAAAAACGCGCCCTCTTTTGTTGGCGCACGGAGCCCATACCGACACAGGATTCTTTTTTTAATTTGGGTTACAAGTGTTTTGTAGTCAATATTACGCTCCATATGGAAGGATTTTTTTCTTACCTCTAATAAGTGTGTTGATTCCAAGTCGATTGATGAACATGTTGTCTACGTGCTCTGACTGTGTGAACAACTCCGCTACGACCAAAAGGTCTGGACGTACCCTGCGTGCCTCATCAAGAAAGTACTAGATACAAAAATATTTTTCAAAACAAAAAGGAAATTCATAAATAACTTGAGACTAACACAAAAGTTTTGCTTGCAAGTTACAACCAACTGATATGAAGATTTATGTGAAGAAAATTTACGAAGTAAGACTGTCAAAAACTGGATAATTAGATTTTTTTTCAAAATTTTAAAATATAGGATTCAATTATTTCCTCACTTATTGTTTTTTATTTTTTATTGTTTTTTTTTTTTATAATATTATTATTATTTCTGAAAATTAAACCAAGAGTTCCCATGAAATCACATACCTCAGCAACGTGTACCGGAGTACTGTGGCAATTATCGATGCGTAATCCGTGAAACATACGCGCCATCGTCCGAGAGTATTCCAACATATGATTCCACAGGTAGGGGCAATCTTCCGGAGTCTCCCCGTACCGTAACTTGACTGAATCGCCCCAGACAATCAGCTCTCTGCGTAGGTAGACCTTGGATCCAGGCTCAGCAAAGTTCTTGAGAGGGTCGGCGTCCATGACCCAACCGTTGCCGATCTGGAGAAAGGGGGCTTTGTCGGAGTCCATGACCTTCTCCTCGGTGGTAGGGTCCGTATTTGGGCCGAGGTGGATGAAATACCTGTTTGTGAACACAAAAATGAGAAATTATTTGAACGATAATAATGTGGGGCTTATTTTATCTATTTATTTTATTTCTTTCTGGTAATGAAACCAAGGATTCCTCAAAAGTGGTAGGGACTGAAAACCCAATCCACATATTGGCCAGGGGGGATTTGAACCCGGGTCACAGCGGTGGAAGGCGAGGAAAGTACAGCTACGCCAACCTGACACCAAATGTAGAACTTTACACGCTGACAAAGTGTGACGTCACCTCCTCCCCAGGCTCATTTCCTCGACAAAGGTTCATGTGCATTCCATACCGACAAATTTCACATACGTTTAACAAACACGATCACCGACACAATTTTATGTCCAACTTTTATACAGCATTTTCACAAATTAGTACCAGAAAAGGGTTCACTGCCTTTCAGCAGATTGTCACCACACCAGTTACAACAACAGTGGTACTTATTTTCGCTTCAAAGAGGATCGAGCCAGTTATGAAACGGATTCACAACAGCCATGGCGAAACCACAGTGTTCACTAGGCTGTTACAGTGCGGGTGAACCAGTGATCACTGTTGCATTGAGTTGACCTCCGAGTGATGTCACAACGCATACAGAAGCGTTTTGCAATCGTTACCCCTGCTCATCAGGCCACAAGAATTATTTTCTGCAGCAGCTTCAAGATCAGTGCAATCTGGTCTCTACCCTCATAGGTAACCATTTAAACTCCTGGGTAGAGAGAGACAATTGTTGTAAAGTGCCTTGCCTAAGAACACAAACACAATGTGTCAATGGTAACAATGTGTCGCATAAGGGATCAAACAGCGCCCTCTATTGGTCCTACACTGAGTCCATTACAACGTTGGACTTACTTGGGTACAAGTGGATCGTTCTTGGTAACCTTCTCGCAGCGTGGCCCGTGTTCGTCCACGCGATGGTAGCGTACGTTGGCGCAGACATTGTGCAGCGCGTGGCGGATGTCTTCCGACATCTCATTGGCTGCCCGGTTGTTCCAGTACAGGAGGTGTTTCTTGAAAGCGTCGCAGGATTTCTGGAGTCTGTCTTCCTCATCTTCGGCATCTTTCCTGGGTTCCCAAGTTAACGATAGTCGTTAAAAATATATGATTTTTCCTTAGTGTAAAATTGTAGTTAAGTAAGCAAAGTCTGTCACGAGCCAGTGTGGCCCATCAGACAGGGAAATGTTTCAAAGAGACATTAGTTTCTGAAACCTTGTCTCTTCAATTTCAGAAAGCATTGGTCTATACCTCTGTATGTTGAAGCACTGTAGAGCTTTCTCCATATTCACTGAGCCACCTAATCTTCTAAACTTTGGATCTTTGATCAGCTTGACGTCATCTTCCTTGGAATCCTCAGCAGAGGAAACAGTCTTTGCAGCTGAAAAATTAAGAAAAGAAAAAAAATGTTAAAACATTTTTTAAAATTTATCATTTGGAAACAATTAAGGTTAAAGTCATCTGTAAATTAGGCGCAAAAACTGGAGGGACAAAAGTAATGGCACAGTTTTTATCCAGAAAACCATTTTTTCCAGACAGATTTGATAAAAATTTGGAAGTCGTCCAATATCAAATTTTAATTTCACCCTCTGGTGTATCTGTTTGAACAATGTACTGTACCCACATGCGTTGTTGTTTACCCTCATTTCTTTTGTTTTCCGAAATGATGTGAACAAAGTAAGGCCTTTTCTGTTTTGCGACAGGGTGAGGTGGAAATGTTGCTGGAAGAAATCATACCTTTAGCTGCCGTCTTGAACTTGTCTAGAGTCGCCGCTACATCTAGCTGGTAATATTCCTCCAGCTTGTACTTTGGTAGCACCTTGTCGACGAGAACACTGCGTATATTCTGCACAAAGATGTTGACAAGATGTTAAGGACTATTTGCACCTCTTTGTGCACCATTGACGATGCAATGCAAGACATCACAGTTGAAGGGAGACTTCAGATCAAGGAAAAAGGAATATTCTTTGCAAAAATGCATCAGTGGTTTTTTCAAACATCATAGTAAAAACACATACTGGCTAACGCATTTCACACTTTCAAGAAGTAGTTTAAAACGAGAAGTGATAAAAAAGGGGCGTGGCTTTACCTCAATATGTTCTTCAGATTTGATGATTGACGGTACGCCATGCTTCGTCCATTTCCCATCGATGACTTCCAGCGTGAAGTGCCACAGAACACGGTCCAAGACGTAGGCCGGCCGGAGATGCGGGGAGTTGTGGACGTTATAGGCGCACTCCGGGTGCTCGATGAGCCAGGGACTGTCAAACGAGGTGTGGTTCCAGACCACATCACACAGACTAAGCATGCCCCAGTCGTATTGGAGTTTGACCACCAGGGCTGAGATGTCGTCGTTGCTGACGGGTTGCTGGCCCTTGCTTGTGAAGAGGGGGTTGAGTTTATGCTGTAGAGTTGGAAAATTAGAAATGATGTATGCCATTACATTTTTGAGTCTTGGAGTTGTAAATTTGAATATTGGTTGTTTCTCATCGCCAATGAAATTTTACAGAACACGGTAAACTCAGAGCTGTTTGAGAGCTTGTAAGCATGGTGAGCAAGTTGTAAGGTCTGCACGAGTAACCAGGATGTCTTGAGTTCGAGTCCCTTCCAGGAGAACTTTTTCTTGCAAGCTCATAGAAAGCACCAAGATTCATTATTTTGTATGATGGAATTCCAAAATAGTAATTGATTGTATTTCCTTCTGCTGTATCAGATTCAAACCAGCCAGCCAAGAATGGCAAGCTCAGTGATCGAGTAGCAAGACGTCTGCACTAATAAGTAAGCAAGAGGTTATAAGTTTGGGTTCTACCAAGCAAGAATTTTTCTTGCACAGCTTCAGACTGCACACAGTAAGCAGTGCTTATCAATTTCCTTCAGTAAAGGGCACAGAACTACAGAGAAAGGTTTACAATCATCGTACCTGATCCCGAATAGAGTAGGAAGAATTGGAGGCTCCCAACTCCTGGATCGGAGTGAAGTGAAGGAAGTTGTAGCCAGTCTCCCTCGCTGTGGCTAAGCGCTGCTCCCATTCCGATAAGGGACCCAGACACTTCGTCAGTACGGTTTGTAAGGTAATGCAGTCCAGCTCCAAGATGTCTGTGTCGCTGGTTAACTTGAGGGTTGGGTCAACGACGAAATAGCCCGAACCCTGAGGTGCATTGCTAGGGAAAACAAAAAGAAGTTAGTCCTGTGGTGAGATGAAAATTGTTTTATCATGAAGAATTCTGATATTTACAATTACTGTTTACAAACGGTGGTGGACGAAAAGTGTGAACAAATTACATAATGTGGATCATCAAAGTGCTCCCATACTGCTCCCATGAGTACAACATACATACTGCCCTCTACAGTTCACGCACAAGCCTATTAACAATTTCTTTATCCAACAAATACCCATGTACCTCGTTCCGTGAGTGAAGTAATACTGAAACGCCCCAGCTAAGTGCAGACGCACTTCGCAGTACTGGTCCGACTTGTCCAAGCGCGAGCTGGACTCTGTCTTCCATTCCAACTCGTAGAACTCGCCGCGGTTGAAGGGGCGCTGCACGGGGGTGTGTCCAGGGGGATGGTTAGTGAAGACGTGAACCTGTTTGGATTGGAGGGACGGGCCCAGGACGAAATGTAGTTTCCATCCTGTACAGGGAGGTATGCCATGAACGCACATTAAAACCTGTTCATTGTACAAAGGTTATCGGTGTTATTCCAATGAAGGTACACTCAGCAGTCAATGCAAAAATGCAACTTTGAAATGACACACTTTCAATAATTTCTGTTAAGTAAATTTTCTGTAGCAACTAGACAGTTACAGATACACTGGATGGCTGCAGTGCAGGAATGTTTTGCAATGCATTGTGGGATATTTTGCGGTACAAATTGGAATTCTGTAAATTGCAGACTTTCCAACAATGCAGCATAACGTGCATATTCACCCACATTTCTGATCTGGCTGCTTTCCGTAAAACCTGGTTCTATGCCCACGCTCGATCATCAGCCCCAAATGAAAGTCTTGACCTTTGACCTTTGAAATCCTCGACCCCTGACCTACCTTTCTGAAGTCTGTGCAAGGTCGTATCTTTGTGTTCTTTGTCTCTCAGCGTCAGCTGACGAATCTCTTCCATCTTCACCTTTCATCAAATTTGAAATGCAAAGAAAACTCCAAAATTATTGGAAATATTTGTCCGTGGCAAATGTGCACAATGCTTTGAACATTTAAACATTTAAACCGGAAAGAATGCATGTTGGGAAAAAATGTTGCAACCTGGCACCACCTTTTTTCTTCATATATCATCTCAGTGAAGGTCAATCATTGCAAAAATGATGATAAGAAAACTGAGAAACCTTTCCAATTTTGAAAATACTTAGAACATGTTCTTGACTCTCCATAGCCCCATAAATGTGGCCTATTTACTGGACTGCCTCCGTAAACATAGGCCACACATCCACATGTACAAAAATCGTGTCGACTTTGCCAAATTTTGATTTTCACATTTAGGCTTACTTTGTAGGTTTTTTTGCTTTAGAAGCATTCTCACCCTCTATATAGGCTAATCAGAAAGTGCTGCCTTTTTCAGATGTATATTTTTCGTGAAATTTCCAGATTCATTTTTACACGTTTGCGTATCAAAATTTCAACATGAAATTTCACAAAAATTAGACATCTGAAAAAGGCAGCACTTTCTGATTAGCCTATATAGAGGGTGAGAATGCTTCTAAAGCGAAAAAACCTACAAAGTAAGCCTAAATGTGAAAATCAAAATTTGGCAAAGTCGACACGTTTTTGTACATGTGGATGTGTGGCCTATGTTTACGGAGGCAGTCCAGTAAATAGGCCACATTCATGGGGCTAGACTCTCCGTAGACTTTGTACACAACCGCTGAAGTGGCGTGCAGGTCATGAGGTTGCAACATTCTTTCCGGCCAATTTGAGTTTTCTGACTAACACCAAATCACGAATATATAGCTTGATGAAAAGGCTCATGACATAGGGAGATTCGCAAATAGACCTAGAAAGTGAAAACCGCATTCTAACTAAGTCATGTAAGCTGGTAAGTCGGCTGGATAATTCCAGCTCAGAGTCCAGTACTGCTGAGTGCTGTACAGTAAATTAATGGCGAATCTGCCCATTCCCGGCCATGACTCTGTCACGCCCCAACTATCGCATCGGTCCCAACTATAGTTGGGACTGTCCCAACTAAAGTGCGGCAGTTGGGTCGGCCCAACTATAGTTAGGACTGGAGTTGCGCCGGATGCTTCATGCTTGATAGATCTTGTTGGATTAAAATGTTCCGCGGCGCTGGCACCGTGTATTCGTCGTGCATGCATGCCGCAAGGCTGGCCGGTCACGTGGTACTGCCTAGTTGGATGAGTTGTCCAGCTGCTGGGTTTTATTATCCAGCAACATTTTGCAAAATTCAAAGATTGCCATGGCCGGCCAACTATAGATGGGCCCCACCCATAGCTAATGTCAAAGGTCCCAAGTCGGACATGTAAGCAGAGCTGTAGAGAATGTTTTATAGTCGTACATCAATGTAAACTATAGTTGGGACTGCCAAATAAAAATGTTGCGGTGGCCCAACTACAGATGGTCCCCACCCATAGATAATTTCATTGGTCCCCAGTAAAGTCAGATGTGTATTAGAGTTGTAGGGAATGTTTTATAATCGTACAACAATGTACACTATAGTTGGGACCGCAAAATAAAAAGATTGGGGTGGCCCAACTATAGATAATTCGCCCCATCAATAGCTAATTTCAGTGGTCCCCAGTAAAGTCAGACGTGTATCAGAGCTGTAGGGGACGTTTTATGGTTGTACATCAATGTAAACTATAGTTGGGACACCGCAAAATAAAAAGATCGGAGTGGCCCAACTATAGATGGGCCAGCCCAACAATGGAACTTACAGTTGGGACCGTCCCAACTATAGTTGGGACAGGCCCAACTATAGTTGGGCCAGCCCAACTGTGGAACAACAGTTGGGACAGGCCCAACTATAGTTGGGACAGGCCCAACTATAGTTGGGACCGATGCGATAGTTGGGGCGTGACAACTCCACATGCTCCATGAGCATTAAGCTTCCATTCCAAGCTAGAATTGTTTTCCTACCTCCATTGTCAAAACAAACGCATGCAAGTCGGCAAAATTACGAAAGCTGTTACTAAAAAAAATGTTAACCAATATCTGATATTTCCTATCTGTACTTGCCAGTGCAAGAATACGTACTTTTGGAGACAATTTCCGTCCGCTTTCACAGCAAAACAAGCTGCATAGCTTCCTCGACAGCTGATGAACCTAAATACGCGTGCGCACCAACACGGAAGGCGTGGCCACGCTATTTTCAGGATACTAGATAAAATACCCTAAACAAATTATATCCCGATCGAGGTATAATATGTAGCTTCGATGTACCACGGCTCCTGAAAATGAGATCGTTTGGGTGATATTCCTAATCGGAGTTTTTTTTTTATCGCGGCGTAGAGCAAGGACACACCTCCAGGATTGGCCAATCATAATTGATGTAAGAATTTTGCTTGTCATCTCACCCTGGATAGCACTTGATGAAATTAATATCACGTGAAGTCCAAATATTAATATTAAAATTACCTATTTAATAACTTTTACCTACCTTTTTAAAATTACATGAGGTAATTCGGGAGAGATTCCGTAAACAGCAATTGGGATACCAATAACGGAATTGATGTAATTTAACATATCAAAAATATCAACAAGAATTTTTATTACGAATGTATTTTTATTATTTATTTATTTATTTATTTTGGGGGGTGGGGCACTTTTCTTTATCGATAATATCAAAAGACAATTAAGACGCCCTCTATCGATAAGGATTGCATCAAATTTGTAACCATAAAAAAATATTGGGAAATATTTTGGAAGGGGAAAGTGTCATAGTGTCTGCTGAAAATATGGAAACTCTGAATTTCTGGCAAAGTCTGGCCACTTACCTCATATCCTATTTCCACACTTTTAAAACCAACCAGAAACTTTGTCCTTATTCATTATACCCAAAGCGATTTTTTTGCGAATTTTATTTTCACAAACAAAAATCCATGAACCATTGGATCCGCCACTGATCAAACCATGATTTTTTTTCATATTCTGACTCTTAGTAAAATTTAGAAAATAATTTGCGAAAGTTATTACCGGTAATATCAACACAAATGTGTAAATCGTTGTCAACTAATGGATAAAAAAAACATAGATCGGAATGAACAAGGTTTTACTGAATAGTTCATTACGGTTTAGAAAGTGTTTAACCCTAAAGGGGCCGGGGGCGGAATCCGCCCCCCCCCCCAACATTTTCCGTGATAGCCTCTAAAAAAAAATTTCGCGACCCGAGCTGTTATGACTTTTTAGCCTCGAGCTTTGCGCATCTTTTGATACCAAAAACATAAAAATCGGACCACGGGTTGCCGCGTAGCGAAAACTTTTCCGGCGCTACGCGCCGTAAAAACTGAATGTTGGCATATACGTCGTGTACACAGAGCAGAATTGCCATTCGTACATATGAATAATTAGTTAGCAATAATTCCAAAACCCTTTGACCTATAGTCATGAAATTTCTTGGGTATGTTTAGGAAGAGTTGCTCTATGCATGTGCCGAGTTTCAAAATTTTTCGTCACTCGATGGCCGAGATCTTAGGGGGGGGGCGGAACACCCCCCCCCCCCCTGAGAGATGGTCAAAATAACCCGGCCCCTTTAGGGTTAAAGCTTCAGAGTTTTATTTATGATCACCTGTTTTGAGATTTTTCAGACTCTGTAAAAGAAGACCGGGGTACTTAACCCAGCTGTTTTCATTGTAGGGGTATAACGCTCAAACTATTGTTCGTCACTAGTTTGTCACGTCGCATCGAGTAAAACAATTTTAACAATTTTCTAGCAGTACAAAGGAAAAAAAAAGGTCGGTATGCACTCGCAAGGATAATGTAGGAGTAACGGCATAAGCCGTCTGAGCCGGCATACCAAAATGTCATTGGGATTAAAATGTCATTGGGATTACAATAGGATTAAAATGGATTGGGCGCGATTGAGAGCCGATAAATGTGAAAACCATTGGAGAAAATTCCTTAGAACAGTAGTAGTACGGTGACGGCAAATGGAACGGCCGAGGTTAGGCTTCAGATGAGCCCATTTGGGCGCCTTTTCGTGACGCATTGTTGGTGCGCGTGGCCCAGCAATGTATTTAAACCCCTGCGCTACTGGCGGGAAAGCCTCTTTCACCGACGCCGTCTCTCTCCGGGGATCGTTGCCGCGAGCCACGCTTCAGACTCTAGCTGTAAATTCTGCCGAGTTGTGCACGCTTGGATCGTTCCTCACCAAACCTCGACAGGAAATTTTGCACTGGTTGAGGACCGAATCAGGTAAGATAAGCATGGTCGTTGATAGTGAAATGGGTGTGGTTGTGGGCGTGGTAATAACGATATATAATGGGAAAATTGAAGCTCTAGTTTTAAAGTTCCCTATTTTTTGGACGTTCATCCCAGAATTTCCAAGTTGTTTTTATCGTAAGTCAAGGTCTACCTTCAATTGGTGATTATAAAAGTATAATGTCTCGAGAACATGTTTGGAAAGGGTATCTCGTTTTTTCCCTTACAAGAAAAGAACCGTTATATTGGCATAAATTATGCACACGGCAATGAAAACAATTCGTATGAAGAGACCACAAGTTTCTTTTTTTTCGTTACATGTATTAAACTTTTCCCAAATTATTTATAGGAAGTAACCATGTCTCGGAAAGCCGACATCATCCTGTACGGAGGTGATATAATCACCATGGAGGAGCCTGCAGCCAGCCCGCCCAGCGGAGCCGATCCCCCGCCCAAGATCGAGGCCGTGGCTATCAGCGGAGATGCCATCCTGGCAGTGGGTACCATGGACTCGGTCTTCAGTCACGCTGGACCCAATACTGAAGTCGTCTTCCTGAACCAACAGACCCTAATGCCGGGCTTCATCGAGCCACACCAGCATGCTATCCAGTGCGCTCTCATGCGGAGCCAGTACATCAACATCAGTGCCATCAATTACAGGTATTTTAGGCAGTAAGAATGGAGGGTCAAGTGTCCAAAAAGTTAACTGCATGTCGTATTGGATTCTAAGATTACCACGACAAAGTTTAAGAAAGATTCCCATATCTGGCCATCACTAAGTTTCCCTTTAGTGACCTATCACAGTATCGGCCATCAGAAAGTGCTAATATGCCCTTAAAAAAAATCAAATTCCCAAATCTTTCCCTTTTCTGAACCACCTCAATCACTTTACATGTGCAAATTTATCAAGTTGTTTCACCTGCAGTTGACCTAGGGGTAACTTTGAATGTTGACTTTCTCTCCATGTCATATATTAACCAACATAGTACCAGTTTACTTTGTAGAACGTTGGTAAACATTTTGCCATCTTATTTATTTTCAAATTTTCAAATTATTTTTCAACCTTCTGTAATCCACAGATCCTACAATGATATCCGCACCGTCATGGTGAACAGGATGAGCGAGTTGGCCGCGAAGCCCGACAACAAAGACTGGGGCATCTTCTTCGGCTGGGACCCTGAGCTCATCTCCGACCTGCCAACTCTCAGCGCGGACTTCCTGGATGCCAACTTTTCCTCCACCATTCCGATTGTCGTGGTTGGCCAGAGCGGTCACGTGGCTTGGGCTAACCATCCAGCACTCAAGGCACCAAAACCAGAGGCAAGATTTTTAGAAGCTTTACTTTTCATGATTAAGAACTTGCTCTGGAAAAAGAAGTTCAAAATTGGTCAATTTTGAAACTTGGAATCACTTGTTAATGGAAAAGTCTGAAATAGATGGACAGTTAGTAGCAACTTTGCTTTACCCTTCCTTACAACTGTCCCAATTTCGTTTCTCAGATTGGCCCGAACTACCAGAGTCCATCCGGAGGTACCGTGGTCCTGGATGCCGAAGGCAAGCCCACCGGTCAACTCTTTGAGGAGCCGGCCATCATGCTGGTCGTGGGTCAAGCCCCACTGCCCAGTGAGGAGGCCATGGCCGAGTCATTCTATGAGCAGTGGAGAGCCTACGCCTCGGCTGGACTGACTACCGTGACTGACCTTGCTTACATGCCGACTCCCGAGATGGATGAGGTTCTCAAGAAGGCAGCTGATGCACCCGACTTCCCTGTTCGCCTTGGTGAGTTGATTTTCTCCAATCTCCAAAAGCATTCTGCACCCGGATTCTTCCAAAATTTCCCCCACAATCAAATCACTGTGCAGAAACTGCATCACATTTTTTTAACTTTTTAATTTTTTTAACTAACTGGGCTCTACCCTTTTCTTTGGTCTGTAGGTCTTTATAAAATGACCCATGCCGTAAAGGATGCCGACGTCAAAACCAAATCGGTTCCCACCACCCAACAAAAATGTATCAGCCAGCTAGCCCGCGTCCGACCCCAAAAGGAACAGCGCTCCAGCGAAGGCGGAGTTGGTAACCACAGCGCCCGTCTCTGGGAAGTTGGTCTGAAGCTGGTTGCCGACGGCTCCCCGCACTGCGGCACCTCTGCTGTCCGTGAGCCATACTTGTTTACCCCGCTGACCGAGACCCTGGGCTTCCCCAAGGCGCCCGGCTACGGCATCTTGAACATGGAGACGGATGCTCTCTTCGATACCGTCAAGAGACATCACCAGGAGGGGAAGCAGCTGGCAATTCACTGCCACGGGGAGCGGAGCTCTGAACAGGTCCTCAAGGTGTATGAACAGGTAAGCAATAGTTGAACTCTTGGTAGCCCTGCTGTTCACATTTGCTACTGGAGGTAGTCTTAAACTCTTCCTTTACTATAAAGACTTCCCTGAAGAACTTTTCCTTGAAGAAAAAAAATACCCTGTGTTTACTGACTGGCCAGAGGTGAGCAGCTACACTCCAAAGATCAAGTTAATCTTCCAACAAACAAAAAATGAGTGAGCATCACCTAAATCACTCCATTTCGAGTCGTTCCCAATTGGGATTTGTATCCAATACACGAAGCACGTTTGTGTACTTGGCTGACTGGCATACGAGTTAATAACCACTACAAAATAATCCTGAACATGCAATGCTTTATATTTTTCCGGTGAAAGCATTTTATAATTTGTAGAACGTCAAGCTAATGGAATAATTATTTTGATGTTGATACAGATCCAGACCCAGTTCCCGGACAAGAAGAACCGTCATCGTATGGAGCATCTTGGCCTGATGACAGTGGATCAGATCGCCCGTGCTGGCAAGATCAACCTGGCTCTCTCCTTCTTTGTGGACCATCTCCGTTTCTACGCCAAAGTCTACAAGACGGACATCTTTGGTGAGCGAGTCAACCGCTGGACTCCGCTATCTGAGGCAACCAAGAACGGGGTGACCTGGACAATACATCAGGTAAGCGGCAATATTATCTGGCCACACCCGCATTTGGCATATAAACTGTATTTGCTGTAACATATACAACTTCAAAACAAATTTCTAATTTTTTCTCTTAAAGGCACATGCCTTAAGAGACATTAATCTGACAAATTATATTGGCAGATACAGAAGATTGTAACAATGGGGAACTCATTATTTCAATTTCAATAGGATCATCCGACCTTCCCTGGAGAGGCCAACCCTTTTGCCAACATGAAGACGGCCATCACCCGCTGCACCAGGGACGATCCTACCACTCCCTACGGCCCAGAGTACCGCGTGACCATCCACGAGGCTCTCAAGTCCTACACCGTCAACGCGGCTTGGCAGCTCCACCTGGACCAGACGGTTGGAAGCATCAAGGTCGGCAAGAAGGCTGACCTGGTGGTGCTCTCTGCGAACCCGTACCACGTGGATCCGTTCGACTTGGAGAAGATCCGCGTCATTGAGACCTTCGTAGACGGGCGCCGCAACAACCTTGCCAACGTCAACGCCATTCCCAATGTCAACGTTAAGGTACTAGACCGGCCTGTGAAACAAGCAAAATCTGCCACCAAGTAAAACAAGATGACGTTTCTCTTCCAGTACCTAACCAGTTTCGTAAAAACAGTATTTTCAAACCAAGTGATTTAGACTGTACAAGTGATACAGAATGCAATTGTTTGTGACAAGCTATATTGAAATTAATTATGACAATTGTTTGTAACAAGCTATTTTGAAATTAATTATGACCAAAACAAAACTGAAGAAGTTCTTAAACAGGTTTATTTGCCAATTGATATTGCACTTGATTTGAAGATGGCATACGAGAACTATTAGATTTTTCATTTTCAAAGTAATATATTTCTTTGAAGGTTTGAAGTTTATCCTATTTAATAGGCCAAAATATATATATATTGGGCATTAAAATTTAATTTACCATGAGTTGAACAAAAAATTGAAAAAGGTTCAAATTAATATATTGGGATGACTTTTCACTGAAATCAAGTCGAAAGGATTTCAAATCCTGAAGCCTGCATATTTTTTCATCTTTAGAACTTGTTATTCTTTCGCGGTGTGGAAACTAATGAAAGGTTCGGCAAGATTACCATATGCGAAGTTCACTAATTTTCCTCTGTATTGACTAACAAGCCCCAAGATAGCAATTTCATGTCATCAAAGTCAATTTGAGCAGTGAAAAAATAAAAGCATTTTCTTAGAAAACACTTTGAATTTTTCAGTCCAATCTCATAGGGTTTGTACACGGGGTGTTGAGTGAACTTCGTATGGAAATCTTTCCACAGGATTTTCAAAGGAAGTGATTCAAACTGTACAAGTGATACAGATTGCAGTTGTTTGTAACAAGCTATTTTGAAATTAATTATGATCAAAAACAAAACTGAAGAAGTTCTTAAACAGGTTTATTTGCCAATTGATATTGCACTTAATTTGACGATGGCATACGAGAACTATTAGATATTTCATTTTCAAAGTACATGTGTAATATATTTATTTGAAGGTTTGGAGTTTATCCTATTTAATAGGCCAAAGTATATATATTGGGCATTAAAATTCAATTTACCATGAGTTGAACAAAAAGTTCAAATTAATATATTGGGATGACTATTCACTGAAATCGAAAGGATTTCAAATCCTGAAGCCTGCATATTTTTTTCATCATAGAACTTGTTATGCTTTCGTGGCGTGGAAATTAATGAAAGGTTTGGCAATTGAATAAAATTACAGTGCAAAAAGAACCCTTGGTTTTGCGTTTGTTTTCTTCTTGTCTGTCAATGGCACTAAGTGAAATGACTTATAATTTGTGGCAATAACTACATTTGAGTTACAATAATTACATTTAATATTTCAGTTTCCCCCATACCAGTATATATTCTAATTATAGAATAAAAATCCAACTGATGCATTTCATAAAGAGTTGTTTATAACAAACGTTGCCAGATAGATAAATATGAAAAAATACTTGGATTTTCCTCCCAACTTCTTCACCAAATGAGATTTCAACTTCTGTCTGCAGCATTGGTCTGAGCAGCTTGGCTTGAAGTGGAGCTGTCTAATGAATTCTGAGAATAATCATTGCATCTGGAAAAAAAAACATCAAATTTTTTTTTCACTTGTGTTATGTACACAATGTCGTTGGTGAAATATGCAACCAAACCTAAAATACAGTTGGCCGCTCACTGGGCTCTGTAAGCGTCTTTTTTTTTTCTTCACACCACATTTGCAATGGGCACATATCCAAGCATATCGAGTTGCAACTTGGGTTCTCGGACTTTATTTTCCCTTAAAAAACAAAATCCTCCAAACCACAAATCGGCAACAACAAAAAAGTTCCAAATGACTAAAAACCTTTTAAGAGTTAAAAAGAAGTAAAATAAAAAAAACGAAAAATCAGTGGGACTCGAACCTCTAACATATGGTCAACTCGTGAATATAGCCAATAGTCGCTAATGTGTGGTATGGAAAAAATAGGACGCCCTGTTACCTTGTGAGTTTAGACGAGTGGGCAAATAGTCCATGTTGCGGACTGCAGGTGAAATAGCGGACACTGCCTACTGAACCATCGTTCTTGCCTTCTGGTCGATCCAACTCGATGCCGTACCACCAACCTATGGTTATATCAAATGTGAAAGAAAATATTTCAGACTCAAATCGTAAGTTCAAATCGGCACCAATCAATTGATGACAATTGATCACTAACTAATTGATACTTTAAACCTTTGTGCTTTATTTCAACAGTTACATTTCTTTGAAAATTTTAGAAAAATCTACTAAAGTTGTGGGAAAGATTTCCATACCTGGACATCACTTGGCACCCTGTGCACAAACCCTAAGAGACTGGTCTGAAAATGTCTAAGTGTTTGCTCGGTTAATGCTTCAATATTTTCCCAGCTCAATTGGACTTTTTAGGACAACTTATCACTTTCTGATGGATGGCTGATAAGTCACTAAAGGGAAAAATTAGTGATGGCCAGGTATGGGAATCTTTCCAAGTTGTGCAAGTCAAATTTAATAAAATGAAACAATTTTGTTTGGATAGATTTGTCTTCGCATTTTTTCAAGTCTTGTACCTTGAGCAAACTGTGTTAACCCGCTATATCTCACGATGCCATGCCTGGGTACCTGACCAGCTATCGTTACCCTGTCACCAACAGATATATCCTCCTGCTTTATGCTGGCCACAGACAGTGTTCTTGATCGAAGCCCTACAGATGGGAAAATATAAATTCATGAAAAGTTGTTTCTGTTTTCAATTTCGGAATTAAAATTGCTGAAAATGAAGGTTCAAAGATGTTAATTCTTTAGGTTCAAAAGGGTTAATTCTTTACTTTTGTAAAATGTTGCAATTCCAAAGTTACATATCAAGTCAATTTATCAGCTTTGCAATTCATGGCTTACCCGTATCAACTTTGGGTGAGACATGAGAGACATCAATTTTGCCGTGAGACACCGCGATTGCACCTCCCCCAACAGACCTGGGTGTGCTTGGCCGAGGGCTCGTCACAAACTTGGACACTTTGGACAGAGGCGCAAAGATGCCTGTAGATTTGCAGAGAAATTGAATTTTGCTGAGAATAAGTTACGGAATTTTTTTTTTATAACATTCTTACTGTTTTAGGTGTCAGCTTTAAATATCACTCGTTTATATTTTGATTTTTATCTTAAATATGAAAAAGGTCCCCTAATTTCTTGACATTTTGTTTATGAAGTGCAAACCTTGGCAATTCCAAACTTAAGCACAGTTTTTATTTTTAAGCAACCTTCTTTCTCTCTCAATTTAGTGGGATATATCAACAAAAAGTTCACAAAACAATAATAAATATGGATCTTAAAAGTGGCATATAAGTACAACATGCCTACAAGCTGTTTTTTTTTTATTTAGAAACTCTACCCCCAAAAACTACCCAGAAAACAACTAGAAGGTTCTGTTAAAAGTATTAATCAAGGTGCTGCACTCTACTAATAGGCATATTTTGTACCATGATTTGGAGGGCACTTGAAGTACGCCACGTCCTCAACCGTTCCATCATGTTTCCCTATTGCTTCATCCAGCTCAATCCCCGCCCACACTCCGGGGGCAAACTGGGTGGTGCCGTAGAACCGCAAAGTTCCTGCCTGAAACAAGAAATTCAACAGATGAAATTTAGGGACTAGGAGAGGATGGAACTTTCACCCTGATTTTGGAACAGAGCATTTATCAAAATATTTGAGTCAAAGTGTCTGTTCATTTGCTAAAATTCCTAAAACTTTTTCAATGAAGATAAATTTAGATAACGCTTCAAAGTCGTGGAATATCAATTCAGTAAAGCAGCAGGTGTCTGTAAAACCTGGCCAAAAGTTTTCCACCCAGACAAAGCCGTGATCTTAGGGTATTAAACAAGAAAAGATTATCAAGAAAATGAAAGTAAAACGCAGAGGGCATCTTGAAATAAGTTGAATACCTTGGAGTCTCCAACGTACACCCTGTCTCCAAGTCCAAGTCCTAGGGAAGTTAGAAGAACCCTGCTGGGCACATCGTCGTAGTTCTGTGGCGAGTACCTGGGCCGTGTGAACTGTGAGTCTGGATGCAGCAACTGCCGGAGTTTGCCTGCTGTAACCTCCCAGCCGGACCGGGCGACATCGCTGGCGTCGGGCACGCAATGGAGTGGCATGCGGCCCTGCGCATCCCTGGCACGGCAGTTTGCTCCGAGTTGCAGGAGGCAGCGTGCCGATTCTAGGCAGCCGTTGCAGGCAGCGATGTGGAGCGGGGTGCCATTCTCAAACTCCCTGCAACTGGATTCCAGATCTGTTATACAAAAATTTAAATCAATGTTCTAAGGTGTTAAAATTCTCAAAGAGCAAGGGTTAAAGATCTATGATTTGACATACCAATGATTTAATTTATTCCTGTGAAGTTATCAGGGAAGGGAGTTGGGAGCAAGTTTAGACAACGTCCCCAAACTCAAAATTGCTTACCTTTAAACTGAGTTGCTTTCAAAAGGAGTCTGATCAACGGTACCACGTCAAAGAACACAGCGTAGTGGAGCACCGTCATGTCTGTCCATCGACTTCTCAGCTCCGGTGAGGCTCCACGCTCCAGGAGAAGTGATACAAGCTCGACGGCATCTGATCTCTCACCCACGCCCTCACAGCCGGCCTTGGAGGCGTAGTGAAGGAGGGTCATGTCTGTTAGGCCATCGCGGTCGTCAATGTGAAAGTCTCGTTGAAGTATCTGTGAAGCAGAATTTTTTTTTAGAAATATGAGGCAAGAATTTGACAAAGACAATTGCAAATCTGCAACACAGTTTTGCATGTTTTTTTGTTAATTGAAAATTGTAAGGACTGGGAGTCTTCAGTCCCAAGTCAAGTCACATGCTATTCAAATGAACTATGACAAAGGCACGTTTTGCTGTTTTTTGATTATGTTACTTTTGTCTGGACTTTATATCTGACATGATTTTTGTGTGATTGGACTTGTAGTGGACTAAACTACAAGACTTGTGAGTGATCTTAGTATATTCTCACCTCCTGGCCGATTGCCAGAACGCTGCGCTGTACCTGGGGCACCCATTGCCTCAAGACAGCAAACAGCTCCCCCACGGTGGTCCGTGGGTCCTGGGCCAGGGACCAACACCCTGGGCAGTGGGGGTCAAAGAAGGTCAGCCTGAGGTCCTTACACTGGGTGCAGAGGGGCGCGTCCCTGATTGGGTGGATTATGGGATGGGTGCGGCCAGAGGTACTACCAATGATGGGAGGTGACGGTGATGACACAGGATTCTTGTGTTCCAAATATTCAAAAGATTTGTCGTCTTCATCCATTTTCATGTGTACCTAGGGGATTTGAATCAGTTTAAAAAAAGTTGTAATTTTGATCACAATAATTCTTGAAGCACACATGGTGGAAAAAAGTGCCTCGCAAGTTGAGCACGTCATATGTTCATAAACGGTATAGTGATTGAAGCTTTTTTAGTAAAGTTTACGGATAGCCAGAAGACTGGAAATGTGCAATGATTATTTAAGATACAAGTCGCAGTTTGCACTGCACAAAATTCTCATTTTTAGCGCAAACTATCCCACAATGCAACGCAAAGTATCTTCATTGCTTCTAATCTTTCCCAAAAAAAGGTTGAGGGCCTAAGCCGGACTAACACACAGTAACACCATAGCTCCATGGTAACACTACCAACACCCCCCCCCCCCCCCAGCCAGAAGCATGAAATTTGTGGAAACAATTTTTTCTTTGACCAAATTATATTAAAATTCAATTATGCAAATCTTCAATACTCATATTCTTTCAACAATGTTCAAAAATGTAACTATTTAAATAACATTTTTTAAAACACATACCACCCATCTGTCAATATTCTACCCGACTGACCACACACAAAAATGCACAAACGCGCAGCAGCCAGCAACAATTTGTTATTATGAATAGCGCCACCAGCAGCCCAAAATGCGCCAGCTTATCTAAAAAATAATAATAGCGCCACCAATTGTTGAATAATTGCCAATGTTATTTACCCGAATGTCACGGATCGGATCGATCGGAGCGACTTGATTGCAAGACTTCAGCTTAGCGAAGTAGCCGCGTCTTGCATCTTTCTTGATCTGTGCAATCTCAAGGATGCTGCTCCTATGGACGGTTGCACTGAGTAACTGAGACTTGGGAGGACTTCTTGGTGTTTCGATCTCTGAGAATAGAGTGAGTTTACTTATCTCTTTGATGTCTTCGTGGATAGTCCGTTGATGCTCTTAAAACTTAATGAGTGTTTACAAAAGTTCTGTTGACCAGTTGTTTTCAGAGCGGAAATTTGTTCATTTGTTCATGTGGTGAAATTGAAAATTATTGCACATTATAAGTGTTGATGTAGGACTAAAAATTCAGTTTAAAAATAAAATAATTTAAATCGAAATTTTCAAATAAAAAAAAAAAAAAAATTGAACGCACAACACAAAAATTAAAATTGAGCTTTTTTTTAAATTTTTTATAAATAACATTTAGGCCTACATAGAATAGGTATGTGGCAACCCCATCACCCCTGCCCATGCATTGCCACTAATCTCTTCGGCCTTGGCCTCAATTTCGGGATCAATCGCAGTGGCGAAGACTGTGTAATTGTATCGCTTTGTTAGGTTTCACTAGAGGGCGTTTTTTTTGCTCAACCTAGGACTCTTTGTTCGATGACGTAGCTCAGGTATTCTTCCACCTCGTTTTCGAAATTTTTGTGAATTCGACAACTAGAATTTTAAAAATTTTTGTCTCGAATTTTGGTTCGTTCCTGCTCATCAAAACCATCGACAAGTTATACCCAAAGGTGATTAAAATACTTTACTAAATCACAATAATAATTTTTCTACATTTGTTTTCTAACTTTTGGCCAATTTTGATGGAGATTGGACGATTTGCAGACTTCATATTTTTTATAAAAATAAGATGCTTTCCTTTGTGGAATGAAAAAAAAAATATCGAAGTGAAAAAAGTTCAATTGTTAAAAAAAAAATTTTCTACCATCAAAATTTAATTTCTCTTTTCAGAATAATGAGCAAGAAAACCTGTGACTGACATTTAGTAACGGACGTCACCCCTACGATATCTTCCATGGAAGGCCTTCCTTCATCAAGCTCCAACAAGCAACAAGCCACAGACTCCAGAACGATGCTGTCCCAAGCCACGCCCCTTGGACCACACCCTTCCCCTTTCACCGCATCGACTAGTGCTCCGTTTTTCTCCACGCGGCGTGAACGTGAGCCGGCATTTGCCGTGGCTGCGTCAGAATTTGAGAAGCCCAACCTAAGGTCGTCGCACATTTTACAGGGTTTGGCGCGACTGGAAGGGGCGCGTGGTCACGTATCCGGAACGGGGGCCTTCCATCCTGTCCAACCGCATTCCGGCCAATGGAGCTCTGAACTGAACGGGAGCAATCACATGACTTCGATGGCCAATGGCAGCCATCCGTTTCCAAACCAGCACAGGACCATTGACGATTCGACAGAAGATAAGCGATTACCAAGACGTAAGTTACTTGATTCTATAATATACAAAAAATATCATTTTTGAAATATTCTGGCTTGTCTTATAATCTTGTTTTGGACATGATGGATTGCATTTATGTTTTTGAGAACCACCGCGTATAAAAACATGTGAAACTGAAAATTAAAAAAAAAACCAATGAAAATAAAGCGACTTTTCATTCATGTCATTCCATAACAGATTTCAAATGCTTGAAATGGTCAAACTCTTGCAAGATTTACCTGAGGCAAAAAAGAAAAAAAGTGTGAAAATAAATCTAAAATGTGTGAAGGTAAAAAAAATCCAAAAAGGACCCCCGTGTACCATCAGCGGCAGCATGAAAAGGACAAAAAAAAAAAAAAATCACCAGGATTTTAGAACAAATTTCACCCACCGACAAAAACACCACAAGCCGCAGGACAATTTCAGCTGGTCGTCGACCCTTAAACACAGAGAGAGAAACGTCTTGAATTAATGGCAGATTTTGTTTCACAAATATGTCCCCGTGGCCATATTGGACGAGCGGTGGTAAAACTGAGTTAGTTAAATGGTTAGCCTCTGGCAGTATTGTCTCATTTCTGCTGATGGTTTTTGTGTAGTTGTCTTGTTTTTTTATATGAATTTCGCTTCAGATTACAAGTTGTGTTTTTGATGTTGGTGTTGAAAGACGTGACTGTTAACTTCATTTTTACCACAATTGCCTGCTTTTTGGTTTATTTTCTGTTGACCTAACTTCCTAGGCATTTTGCTAGGATGCAACCTCAATCCTGCAAAATCCTCCAACTGCCTCTGTGTAAAAATTGCATACAGCCCCAAATTCTGCAAAGTTATCCGATATTTCTTGAATGTGGTCCTTGGAGGGGTGACCACTGCCTCAATCCTGCAAAATCCTCCAGCAATCACTGTCAATATGTTGAGGCAGAGCCAGTGACATCCTGAAGCAGTGCGGAGGATTTCAAGTATAATCCAGGCCTAACTTCGGCACAGCTGAGCATAAACAACACAAGGTCCGGCCCAAGACCTTGACACAGTGCATCCTCCAAAATCAACCACACATTTTTGCCACATAGCCTCAATCCTGTAAAATCCCCAATTTTGCAAAGAGGATTTTTTGAGGATTTTGGAAGGTTAGGGTTAATGTCTTACTTATGTGATAACTTGTTTAGATTTGCTAATCCGTACTTTGTCGTGGTTAAAAATATAACATCAATATGATTAGGACCAATCAGGTAAAATCCAAACAATTCCCCGATATTTAATTGAACCATATGTCATTTGATAAATGCAGTATCGAGTTTCCAACTTACATCTGATCCTAGTCGTGTTCTTCTTTTTTTCCCTAAAAAGCAGACTCATTTACCAAAAATCCTTCCGACAGCCAATTACCAGATCACAACCTGAGGGGGAGTAGCTTTCCTCTGGGGAATTTCACAATTACTGCCACTAACTTTGGGCCAGTAATTCCCCCTGGAAAAGCAGAAACAAACCCGTCATTTTTTCCTTACAAGTCGTACATCCCTTGAGGCATTCTGTTAGATGATATGTTCCTGCGTGGTGTAATTTGCATGTTAATCGGCTTGGAGTGTGTCGTTTCAAAGTGTGGATTTTGCGCTGTCGCGGTCACGTATTAAGTTTATTAACAGATCCAAGATGGTCTTGGACTTTGTGGTCATTTCGGAGCTAAAGTTGCTGCCAAAATGTTATGCAGGTTATTTTTGGCTGTAGGCTTAAAAACTGGAGAAAACCTCAATTGTAAATTGCCAATCGGACCTTTTAATGAATTACTAATGAAGAATTAAAAGCAAAAAAGTAGCAAAACACAAACCTTACTTCACTTAATAAAGTAATGATTGAAAGGAATTCAAGTACATAAAACTACTTCTTAGTTATAAATTGCCTAAGAGCTGATTGCAAATACTTCTATATTAATTCTGTTACTTAATTAAAAAAAAACACAAAGAAAATCAAATAGTTACAATTCCTCTTTCAAAATCCAGACGATTTTAGTCTTTATTATTTTACCCTGGGCTTGATGTACAATCGAATGTTTAATCTAAAGTGAAGCTTGAAAATATTGTAACCATTGAAGACCAAAGTTGTTACACATTTACCAGTCTAAATGGCTCAATTAACAAGCCCGCTTGCCCGGCCCCCCGTGGGTGCCGTTTACCAACCGAGCGGCTTTGTTGATGTTTCCGCGTTTCCTCTCGGAGTGAGCGAAGATGCATGGAAATGAAGTGTTGAATCTCGAGGGGGTGGAGGGGGAAAGATGCCCAATGAACTATTTTTTTTCTTGGTAATTTACTTTCCTCCCAGTGACATGTTCTGTAATGAAGATCGTTTCTCAAACCATTTTTAAAATGACGCCGCTGTGAATGTCTTTAACAACTTTTCACGAAAAGTCACGGTTGCTGGAATAGATTTCCTTTCGATGTCAAAATTCAATTTTCGGAAGTGTTGATCGGAAAAACTTCATGCAATGTATATTTTTTCGAACATCTTGATTTATTGATTTTAATAGTCAAGAAACGTGTAGTCGTTCTGTGTCATTGAGGCTGAGGTTTTGTTTCTACCCATAGATCTGTGCAGTGCTGTTCTCCACAACACTTTTCATTCTAACTTCCAAAAACCTTAATTTTTTTTTTTTAAGCCATATGACACTATTTTAATTTTTATATATGACAATTATTTGCTGAATAGTGCTTGAAAGAAGGTTTGAAATAATATGATAACTTAGACATCAACAAGTGTAAATTGCAAAGACATAAAGTGAGCGGAAGTTTCTTTTGTGACTTCTGAAAGAATTTTTTTTTTTGAAAATTGACATTTTCGGATAGTATACTCTACCTATCATCAGGACCAAATCTTATAAAACTTTGTCAATTGTAAATCCGTTTTCCATTTTTTGTCTCCTAAAAAATTGACATTTTCGGATAGTATACTCTACCTATCATCAGGACCAAATCTTATAAAACTTTGTCAATTGTAAATCCGTTTTCCATTTTTTGTCTCCTAACTAATGGAATAAACTCACTGTACCTCAAAACAAAAAAATCTTCGAAAAAGAACCAGGTAAATAGGTAATTATATTTTGTTAATTATTTTTAAAATTTTGTAGGAAAGCGTAAAGCCAGTAATCACGAAGGGTCAGTATGCACCATATGCGGAGTGACGGTTCGACCGGTAGAACTACCAGCTCACTACGAGATTGAAGTGGAGAGACTCAACAAGTTAACGAGGTCAGCCAAAATTTCAGAATAAAAGTTAAGGGGATTCTTAATTAAATACACGTACATGTACTTCAAAAGAAAAGTTGTCAGTTCAAGTAAAATTTTGTGCTGGTTTGGTTATTATTGACTCCATTTGTGAACATACGAGGGCGGTGTGCATCTGAATGTGGACGACACTTTTAAGTGAAGCTGGTTCGCATGCTGTGTTCACTGTTTTTATTATGTGCATAAGACAATGTATACCAGCGTGCGCAAGGCAAGATGGTCTTTAGTGTTGGTGCCAGTTCTTATTTTAATGGTTGACGGGATCGCTCACGAAGTTTTTTTTCTCATATTTTCCGTTTTCTCACCAGACCAGGAAAGACAAACCGAGAATCTTCCAGCCATTCCAAAAAGGTAAATATTGCAAATGTAAAACTTTATTGTTATTCATTTTTCTTTTTTACACTTTGGTAGCAATAAATAAACTATTTTGTATGTGCTTACTAGTTGGAATCCCATCTCACAAGATAATTAAGTCCTCTGTTTATGTTGTAGGTAACTCCGGCAACCTCCATCTCAAAGAGGAAGAAAGAGAATGAAGATGAGGGATTGGAGCATCGAGAAAGCCGACGAGAGGTAATCCAGTCAAACCCTTTACTTGGACATCCTTGTTCAGCAGCATGCTTGCTGCTTAACTCCTAACTCCTGATAATTATGCTCAAAACCCTCCTAAATTCTCCAAAGTTGATATCAACACCGAAAGAGAATAACCATACGCACAGATTCTTTAGAATTTCATCAGTGTTGAGATTTATTGTATTGAATATTTCTTTGTCAAATAATGGGAGAATCTTGGCTCTAGTAAAATTGTATTTTATTCACTTTTTTGTCATTTTCAGGAATACAGGAGAGTCAAGCGCAACAGGTTGGATAGATTAAATGGTGAGGATTTTCTCAAAGAATTCATTCTCCAGTGTAACTTTTAATACATTTTTCTTTATTTTCATGTCTTCATGAAAACGTGTTTGTTTCTTGGCTGTACCTTCCTCAAGCCTGCAAAATCCTCTTCAACTTCCTGTTAGATTTCAAGTGTGTGGTGGTTATAACCCTTCTATTGTTTGATCAGTCACAGAGAGTCAAAAATTTCTTCCAATTCCCCTGCCACGCATTTGTATACAGGCTAGTAAAAAACAATCAGATCAAATTCATGTTAACACTGTGACTAGTCAAATTCCATCAATAATAAGAAAAAAAAAATGACTTTGTTGCTTACATTTTTTTTTCAGCTCGCCTTGGTCGATGCCGTAAGGGTCTCAAGAAGCCGTCAGATGAGACGCCCAGCAGCGCCGCTCTCTGCCCCATCTGTCATGAGGTGTTGACTGGGTCTGTTGAGGAGAGGAACACGCATGCTGAAGCTTGCCTCAGAAAGGTGGATTTGGCTTTACTCATTGTAGACCTATCAGTGCTGTAGTACTCATACTCGAGTACATTTTTTTGTACTTCTACTCGTACTCATGAGAATGTACTCGTACTCTAGTACATTTTCTTGGCACTCATACTCGTACTCATTGAAAAAATTGCCTTGTACATGTACTCATACTCGTCATACAACTGACAAAGTACCAATACTCATAGCACCATCTCGTACTCACAAAAATGTACTCGACTAGTCCACTGTGACATATAGATCCTTCCTGTCTGTCAATCAAATGCACTGTTTGAATGACAGACTGCACATTAACCAATTAGATCACAACGTTTTGGTCAGGTGACCACGGTACCTTTGTCAAATTGGTCACAAGCATGTGAGAAATGGTTATAAAAACCCTTAACGGATAACATTGTCTGTTTTTTCTTTCGTTTTTTTTCTGGATAAAAAGGCGACCCCAAGTCAGGCCGACGTAGACGAGGACGTGAATGTGGACGGAGAAGACGAGGAATTTGAGGAGTACACCTGGTGTGGTCAGACCAGAATCCGAGCCACCTCAATGCTGGACTCCAGATTTAGAGGTAAGCACAGAAATCTGCTAAGCTGAGAAATATATGCTTAGCATAGCTAGGTTACCAGTGATTATGTTGTTGGATGGATGTTGATTGTGATGAGTTCTTGACTACAGACATGGACGAATCGGCGCAAGTGATACTGTACTCTCACGAGGTCCCCTTCAATGGAGAAACCATTGTGCATGCTATTGTACAAAGCAACTACCCCATGATTATCTGAACAATAGCTAGCACAATGCTTTCGCCATTGAAGGGGGCCTTCTTGAGGAAATTAATAGCTGCCCCGATTGATCTACAATATCTGTAATACTCGGAATTTAACTGCTCACTTTTTATCATCCTTGCCCTTTTTCAGAAGCTGGTTTTGAAGTTGCCCGTAAGGAGACCGAGTGTGACACAGAACTCAACGTTGACGATGACGACACAGCTGAATACGGCCCGGAGCAGTTCACCGAGGCAGATATAATACCCTGCCCGTCAGACGACTCGACGGAGGATAAACAGCGTCAGGCATTGCGGGATGCAGTCGTTGGGTAGGATGACTGGGATACTGACAAGAGAATCGAAGCAAATTGTTATCATTCCTGACAAGCAGGATATTAAAATTCTGTAATCATTTCAGCGACATTGTGTCCTTACTTGGTTCAGTGACAGCAGTTCAGTAAAAGAACTGAAAAATGCCTTTAAAAAAAAATTAAACGGCATTTTTAAAACACAAAGTCTTGGGGAAAAAACAAAGTTTCGCTTGGAACTCATAACTTGTTTTAATGGGAACACGCCTTGTTCTTAATTGGGAAAGTATGCTGTATTTGGAAATACGTTGGGGAACAAAATACTTGCTGTTCACCCCTTTGGACAATTTGCTGCCTAACGCAATGAATAATGTGAATCCGCAAAATTATTATTCAGATTTTTAAATTTTTTGTGTGCACAGGAACGATGAGAGAGCAAGCCCACCAGATTCAGTGCCAGGTAACTATTGGGAAAGACATTTTCTTTGGTTAAAATAGATTTGTGAAATGAAATAAATTGTAAAATCATTGAGGAATAGAATCACAGAAGTTCGTTTCTTTTTGCTCTGTCCTTTCAGATCCGTGGCTACCTTCCACAAGTCATGCACCAAGCGACACTAAGCAACCGAACAGGTAAGACTAACAACAATTATTTTTGTCTGTCATTTCAATTTTCGACAATCATACTTTTTTTTCCCAAATGCAAAAGTCTGTTAACACAGAATCTCTCCGAGTACTAGTACAGGAAAAATGGTACGCACAAAACATGTGCTGCTTGACTCCGAGAAATGAGTACGAGATTCCTTGACAATGGTGGTAGTTCACATGCTCCGTTACCAATGGCAATCAATGTAAAAGAAACGGGAAACTTTCAAACAATTTTCTTTTGTTTTTCTTTTTGGTAGGACTGAGGACGTTGCCCAAGTCAAGTCAGACACGGTCATGGAGTGTCTCAAGACGAGAGTACGAGAGTTACAGGAGCAACTCGACGCTGCTGCTGCAGTCCGAATCAAATGCCTTATATGCATGGTGAGTTAGTATTGTGGAAAGGAAGGGGGTGGGGGTGGGGGGAGCTTAAACCCCCTTTCACATTTGGGGAAAATTCCATTGAATGTAATTTCTGTGTCCATTACTTCATTAGACTTAAGTCAATGGATAAAACTATGCACTAGCAAGCAAGAGGTTGTGGGTTCGAGTCCCATCTGAGTAAGCTTGCAGTTTTTTCTCATCAGCACTTCGAAAAGCACTTGGCATACAGTACTTGTAATATAACAATTCTATCAACGTCCTAGGTTACGGAATCCTCTTATTGGATTCAATTCAACCAACTGACCCAAGCAAAGTCAGGGGTTGAGTGGGTTGTTAGACCTGATTAAGGAGGTGGTTGTTTCAAGTTGTTTAAATATCAACTAAAACTCTCTTTAACTTTCTACCGTTGACAGGAACCATTTAGTGTACCTCTGGTGTCCATCCAGTGTTGGCACGTCCACTGTCAACAATGCTGGCTCAGGACATTGGTAAGTTAAGATAAAATGTGGGCAAAACAGACCACTAAGTAATCCCCAAGATTCAGAATAATAAACATTACTAAAATCTTAAAAACAATCTTAAAAGTGTCAAATCATACTTGTAGAATAAAAATACAAATATTGGCTTAAGAATTTGAATTTTCCCATATTTTCTTTTACAAATAATATGTACATGTATATATTTACTTTTGATACACTGTCTTGTGTAATAATGATTCCTTACCATGTTTTCGTTTCGTCTTTATCCAGGGAGCCAAGAAGCTCTGCCCACAATGCAACATGATCACATCCCCAGGGCAACTGAGAAGAATCTATCTTTGAAGCCAGCATGAAAGAAGCCTTAACCCAACTAAGCTATCATGGTCACCTGACCAAGCCCAACTGAGCTATCATGATCACCTGACCATGGTCACCTGACCAAATGTCATGATCTGATTGGTCAAAAGACCCTGAAATAAGCTTTTTATTTGGTACAGCCTGAAACTCTGTGGAAATTTTATCTCTTGACATATTTTTCCTTGTGTAAAAATTGGCTACAAAAATTAGGGGTAGGTCAAAAACAAATAGATATATATAAGAGTTAGAATTAGAATTTCAGCCAGTAATATGTTCAGAATTTTTGTTATCCTGTATTTAGCAGTATCTGAACTCAGTTTTTTTTAATTTATCTACATTTCTGTCATTTTGCGAGAAATATGAATTTTCTTTTGGGTTAACTAACATTAAATAAAACAAAAAGCAATTGACCTATATACCATGAACACTTTTTGTACAAAGAATGTGAATATTTTGAGATCTGGGTAATAATTTGTTCGAATGAAATAAAACATTAAACAGATGCAGAGAAATTGTATCTTGATTTGAGGTGTTATACTTGTCATTTTAAATCGAATGCTCTCGTGAGAGTTTCACTTACAGGTGTAAGCTAATCGAAAGCACCCTATGCCGTCTTGGGATTTTACTCTTTTTTTTTACTTAACTGAGAATAGACAAGGGAAAAGGAAAATACTCTTATAGCCACCGCTGATAAAACTATTAGAAATCAAAACTAAACAAAAATTATTAAAAATGTTCCATTACAAGTCGGCAATTTAATATGTTACATGAAATTTAACTTTACATGATTTGAAAATACAACCATGAATTTACATGTCTCTATACGCTTCGTTCTATGTACATAGAGCACAGATTAGGTTTTTCATCCTTCATAATGCTGATACCAAAAATTTAACCGGCTGTCGAAATTTTAAGATAACACTTCTAATGATGATTTCCAAAATTTCGGGACTGTAACCTATTTTAGAATACATGTGATTAAATAAACATTTAAAATCCAGTTCAGTAAGAAATTAATTTCTAACCCCTTGCAATAGACAGACCACTTCCACAAAAAAAAAATTGAAAACAGAAAAAGGTACTTAAGGCCAGTAAAATACATTTTTAGGTTTATTAACGCCGCCTCGATTTTCACGCCCACTCCAAATTTTTAATTTTTTTTCCCTGAAAGTTTTTTTTTTCTCCAACGAGTCTTTTTCAGACAAAGTTCTCACCAAATCTATAGGCATGGTCCCGTTTACTTGCATGCAAACAGTGACACGCAATTTTTGATTTGGTGCACAAAATATGCAGGTAATGTTTGCTGCATCCTCTTCTAGGTTTAGTACTATATATCGGACTTTAGCTCTCTCAATTCACTTTGGACGTGAAGAAGTGGAATTTCCCCACCAATTTTGTTTTCAATGTGAGTGATGAAAATTTGAACATTAATTTTAACTGGCCTAAAGAAAAAAAAATAGTACCACTTTTTGAATGCAGGACCTTCAAATGTTAGTAAATAAGGGATAACAATTTGGATAAGGGTAATATTTCTGAGTTTTCAAAACAAAATCCCAGGAAAAGTTTTTTATACACAAAAGGGGCATCGTTTCGCAGCACTAGACGGAATATGAGTTTGGCCTTTCCCAATCCACTGAACTCCATCTTAACCAGGGTTCGACGACCTTAGCAGTAGTCTGCTCGCCAAATGCGAGTAAAAACAGCAGCAGACTAGTCAAAACCATTCCCTAAGTAGTCCGCCTGGCCAGTCAAAATTATTGTAAATAACATTGTTGTTTACGACATTCTGGTGCAAAAATTAAAAAAGTTCTTTTGCGGACTAGTGAAAAGGCCCGTGGACAAGATAAGAGTCTGTTTCACTAGTCCGGCCGGCTAGTGAACAAAAATTTAAGGGCGAACTCTGATCTTCACATAAATGAGATGGAATTTGTAGCCAATTACAAACTCCTTCTATCCGGGGAAACCTAAGGTAAAATATCAAATGATATGACATTTACAAAATAGTCTCCATCCAGAACACACACAAAGTAATCTATATCGCCCTGACAAAAAAAAAAAATTCAATATCGGCAACAGTATGAATATTAAAAGAGAATATAACATGTACACAGTAATTATATAGTACTGGATGGCTTGGAAAGGAATACAAGAATATATTGCACGAGCTACATGTGCCATATAACATTATTGCATGAGTCAAGGCCGAGTGCAATATTGTTATAGCGAGTGCAATATATTCTTGTATCCCTCGGAAAAATGCCATCCAATATTACTATTATTTATATCAGGCTGACTTCATCTCAAAGAAATACATTTCAGGACACTGTCTTTATTTTTCAAATTTCGTCTAATATTCTTCGCTTACTGAAGCAAATTTCGCGTCGCTCGAAGCTGCGATTGTGGTTGTTGACAACAGTATGCGTATACCCTGCTGCGCACTGCGTCCGCGTGCGGCGGCACTGCGCGCTAAACTCTGTTGATTGGTTGACTATTGTGAGTTTCTACACTCTTAACTGCAGGAACCAGCAAAACTTGTTAAAATGCCCAGATGAAGACAATATCAAAAGTAATATTGCAGTCATCCGGGAACTTCTTCCGATAACCATACAATACGCTGAATTATTTTAGTACGTGGAAGCCTGATATAAATAATAATAGCACACACATGGTAAACACAATATTACGCGAACATAGGAAAACCATTAGGTTGCTTAGGCATTCACCCCTAATGCTACTTGATTATTGCCACAACACAATATTTGATTTGTAAACATATTCAGACCACATAACTCCATGTGTTAACCTCATGATGGAAACCATGGCACTACATTACACCACAAGTTGTAATGTAGCAGAACGAAATTAGGCCGTGTGTCAGATTAATAGCGACAGAGAATTTTAACACCACAATTTACCACAGTTAACAGTTGTATTCAATGCTTAACACTCAAAAGTACTGTTATTTTTTTTAAATAAAAATTTGTTTGTTAATATTTTTACACATTATTACATAGTTATATACACAAGGAGGGACAAACCGTCTTGTTCAGTAACAGTGGGGACCACACACTTGTTGAGCGATAGTTATTATGGGAACCGAAGACGCTGTGGGGACAGCAGAAAGTCCCCATAACTTGGTCCTAATTTCCCTAACAATAAAAAACTACACCATAACGCGGTGCCGGCTCACCCATAAGCGTACAGTAACAGAGATACGGTACCTTTGAAGTTTGCATTGTACCAATAACTACTTGCATCTAGTAAGAACTGGACTAAACCAGTTGGATCCAGTTAGTAACACAATTTTGGAACCAATCCAAGAGGGACAACAGTCTGTACTCTAAAACTGGTTCTCACTAGTTGGAACCGGATCAAACCATTTGGAACCAATTACATTACTCCTTATAAACCAACTTAGACCACACATCATGAATATTCATACATCTAGGTACAAAAACACATATGATTGGTCAATGGAAGACTACATGAATACCTAATTACTAGTTTTTAAAAATTTATTGCCTACTTTCTAAACTGGCATTTTCTGGTTTGATGCAAACAAAAGACCCAAAGGAAGACGTACTCTAAATTGCATCATGACAAATTCCAGAAAGCAATTCTAAATTTGGGGTGAGCTCTTTTTTCTCTGAGCAAGACGAAATTTCAAGCTAATATATGTCTAAAATTTTATTCCAACAAATGGAACACGATCAACCTAACATCAAAAGTGAAACTCAAAGAACGGAAAACCGAGGATCACTCCACACGTTTACCATTGAATCTGCAGAGACCATTCTGAGCAAAGTATCGATCGATTTTACTACAGCCTATTGACAAGTCAATAGACATTGGATACCACTGGGATTAAGTCGTCCGAGAAAGTTTTTTCTTCCAGCAAAGTTGCTGACCTTGCAACTTCCTGAAATCGGCCACTTCCCAAAAAATCTAATTTTTCAACTAGTCTGAAGCAAAATCTAGTAGAGATTGTTCTATAACGCCAAACAATCTATTGACTTCTCAACTTCCTTTTTAAATCCTTCAGTTGGGACATTAGCACAAGTCCTTTTCTTAAATTGTGCCTAAAAATCAAAACTAATCCTGTTTTGTTTCTCCAATCCTTGAACACCGAACTGCATCCTTTCTTCTTCCAAAAAGCCAACATCTGCAGTTGTCCATCTTTGGAAATGCTTTGCTCCTTTCAAGAAAAGCTGGTCTGAGCATCTTGAGTCCCCTGTCCATATGTAAATAAATTACTACTAAACTGAAAATTATTTTATCTACCAGCAAGCACCAATTATTCTTCGGGGAATCCTAGGGCCGTCCTAAATTCAGCTAGATCCAGCTTATCGTCCTGGTTCTTGTCAAACTTCATCAGCTGGTCTTCTGGAGGTGTGGCGGGTCCAAGGAAATCACTTAGCTCGGAGTAAGTCAAGAAATCGTCGTTGTTTTCATCCATGCGAAAAAAATTCATTTCTACATCTGCCAAAACAAAATTAAAATTTGCAAATTATGGCAAGTGCCGTAAGGACATTAATTAACCAAACTTTCTCAACACAAGTTCAGATCTCAGTTATTCATCCAAGGCCAAGTTACTTACAATATTGATTTCTAAGTTGTCAACGAAATAAGGTTTATGGTTTCTGATTAGCGTCCCTTGAACAAAGCCAAAAGGGAGCCACCAGCATAGGGCTGGATAGCTCAGTTGGTAGAACACTGGAACGGCAATCCGGAGGTCATAGGTTCGAACCTCACTCTAGTCAATGCAAACTTTAAAATTACTGTAATGCACTTCATCAGCTTCCCTTTGTAACTTATTTGAAAAAAAATACTTGAAATATTGTTATCATCATGTCAAGTATTTCAAGCAATGAATACAGTGTTAGACCAAGTCTTGTAGACTATACTACAGTACCTTCTGCTTTCGATATCTCAGGTATTCTGACCGGCCGCTGTAAATCGCTGGTCATTTGCGTGGACGACTCTGATGTGGTGGTGTCTTCAAGTGAGCAACAAACACGGGAATTTCGATTAAAGAGCAATCTATTCTATTTAGGTTAACGCTAACCTGCCCAAATCCTCCAAAATGCTCTTTGCAAAATGGAGGATATTGCAGGATTGAGGCTATATGGCAAATCTGTGTGGTTGATTTAGGAAGGATGCACTGTGTCAAGGTCTTGGGCCGGACCTTGTGTTGTTTATGCTCAGCTGTGCATAAATTTAGGCCTATATTATATTTGAAATCCTCTGCACTGCTCGATGTCACTGGCTCTGTCTCAACATATTGACAGTGATTGCTGGAGGATTTTGCAGGATTGAGGCAGTAGTCACCCCTCCAAGGACCACATTCAAGAAATATTGGATAATTTTGCAGGATTGCGGCTGTGTGCAATTTTTACACAGAGGCAGTTGGAGGATTTTGCAGGATTGAGGTTAAAGCTTTTCCAACTCTCCACTGCGTTATACTACCATACTCAATTTTGATACAAAACATCTCTAAGCTTGCGTTTAAATCCACAGGATTTTTGCTGAGAACTTTCCATAATCATCAAAAAACCCATCAGTATGTAGAGACCAGTGGCAGCCAATTCGCAGCCAAGAAGAACAGTGGTTTTTATTAAAGTTGGGCTCTGTTATTAGTTTTAGCTAAAACTTTATAGCAACAACAAAAAATAAATTGAACAATTTCACACACCTGTCAAGTGGAAAGCAGTTGGCACATGTCCTAAAACAAAAAGACAAATACATGTATCAAAAAAAGGTAACTTCAAATGGCTTCAAAAAGCTAACTTATTCCAAAGAAACCGAGGTTATTTTTTAATGGCAATTGTCTATAGCAAGACTGAAATTCACTCAAGGTAAACAGGCTACGACGAAAGATGTAGAGGATAAACAGAAAATGGAAAGAAAACAAGAGAGTCACAGATTCGGAAGAAAATAATCATTATTTCTCTTGGAAGGAGACCAGATCACTTCTAGTATTATAGTCCTTCAGACGTGTGTCCTGCTGAGGTACCAGTCTAAGCCTATTCACTATTACAGTTACCTGTCTCATTCTCCAGGTCTTGTACCCTGACTTTCAAGGCATCGACCTCCTTCTGCAGTTCAGCAATATCGCTGTGCTGTTGATACACCCTGCCCCAGATGGCCTGATTGTCCTGTTTCAGGTCGTCCACCGATTTCAAGTTTTCTTTCTTGAAGATGGACAGCGACTGCTCTATCTGATGCTGAATGCCACGGGTCGTGTTGGGGTTCAGGAGATTGTTGTTGAGATCTTGTGGATTGAGCTAGAAAAGAAAGGGAAGAGACGTGATTTTAGGATTTTTTTTTAACGGTTATCACCAAAAAGTTAAGATTTACTCAAGGTTTGGTTAAACTTAATAGTTTTTAGACTTATTCAAAGTTAATTTGACTTGCCTGGTCTAATCGTTTCTGTATTGCTTGGATCTCGGATTCGATGTCATGTCTCCAGTCTGTCGGTGTGTCACTTTCTATGGGATTTGGTGTCTGTTGCCCCGTCTCTGGATCATGCGCCTGACTTTGAACGCTGCTCATCTGCACAAACAAGGCATATCAATAAAATTTTGTTTAAAAACCCCAACCTCAACGTAAGAAATTAAAGACCATTTTCACAAAGCGTGTCCATGAAATAATTCACCCAAGATCCACAGATCTGCACCTACCAAAGTGTTAACTTGTGACTGTAGTTGGTCTACTTTTTCGGCCAAGGCACTGTCGGACGGATCACTGGTGCGAGGCGTTGATTCTAGAGCTACTATCCGCGGCATAAGGGCTTGCTTCCAATGTCCAACAGAAACCAGTGTGCTGTTAAGCTTTGTGACGACAGAAAACGTTGCCTCTTGTTCCTAAATATGAAACATAATTTCAGAAATTCTTTCATTTAGCACCTTAACGTTAGAAATAGACTGTTCCCGATTTCATCTTAAGCCCTGCCCACTTTTGGTTTGAGGACATTCCTCAAAATGCTTGTGACTGAGTTTGATCATGGTCACCTGATCAAAGTCCTGATCTAATTGGTCAATGCACACTGTTTGACTGACAGCCGGGCCTCAAACCTGCTAAGATATCCATATGGTAAGGTCTACTTACCTGTTGTAGTGACTGGACTGCTGTTTCAATATTTGAGAGTCTACTAGGATTATTGGTGCCAGAAGCGGGATCGTTGGGTTCGGGCGTAGGCACTGAAGGTGCTTGCTGCAACTTGCCCACATTGCCTTGCAGATCTGTGAGGCTTGTCTGAAAGTACAAAAAAATAAGACAAATTGTCTGATTTGGCTCGATTGGATAAGTGCTTTTTGTGGATACAAGGGCCTACTGAAATATACTGAATCTATCATGCATTGTTAATTTTTTGGTGGCAGAAGTGGGATTAACTCTTAACTCTTGCTTCAAAGTAGGCAAATGGGACACGATTGGCATATACCTACTTGTCAGGTTCAACTGGTTGGGCCCAAACCAAAATTGAGGGATACACTGAAGACATTTTCTTTGCATAACTTCTGAGGCATTTTTTTTTGACAAGAAACTTCCCAAATTTGCCAAAATCTACCACTTTGCATGAAGCAAATGGCACACTCTTTGCACTTCAAATGTCAAGAGGCAAGCAGGCTTCCCACGGAAATCTTAAAATGAAGTTTGATGACTTGTCCATGACATTCCATGGTAGCTTTGATTCCAGGAACTACCAGGTTTTTTTCCTTGACTGTGGGGACCCTTATCAAGCCGTGTGTGAAGTAACAGTGCCTGGGCTCTACCTTCCTCAATCCCGCAAAACCCTTCAAAAGTTGATGGATTTTGTGGGATTTGGGATTAGTCTATGCCTCCTACCTGCAGCTGTTGAAGGGAAGTGGTGAGTGTGTCTATCTGCCCTGTGTGTTGGGTCTGTAGGCTCTGTACTCCCTGTAACGTACTGCCGATCTGTGCTGTTGACTGTGTGGAAAAAAAAAGTTACGAAGATGAGTGCTTCTAGTACGAAAGACAATGTTACAGAAATATCACAAAAGGGTTGCATTGAGCCTAGAACTTCATCCTAAAAGGTAAAAATAAAAACTGAGATTTTGCAAGACAGCTTGATATCTTGGCATGCAGTCAAATTTAAGATACAATTTTGGTCTTACTTTGCTCAGTTTGTGAACTGTAATTCATTGGTTTCGTGAAAAAGAACAAGAAACGTTGAAACTCTCAACATCAACATCAGACAGGTAATAGGAACACAATTTGGCATTGATATTTCATCATGCATTCTGCTAATGGGATACAGATTAAGTAAAAATGTATTTAGCTCCAACAATGCACGGTTGAAATTAACTGCACAATTCTGCTTTAGAAGCAATATTCTCTCGAATATTGCGCCTTCTTACCTGTTGTAAGGCTTGTAAGCTCTCACTACCGACAGCGGGTTGATTATCGATCTCGTTCTTGACTGCTTTCAATTTGGCCTGGAGCTGGCTATACGTTAAATTCAGGTAACCAATCTGAAATCAAATTCATAATTCAAACAGTCAAACTGAAGCAAAGTTTCAAAATCAACCTCTTTCCCAAAATCAACTTCTTAATAAGGGAATAAATATGTGCTTGGCCAGTTTCAAACGAGTATGTTTAAAACCGGCTTGGAGCCTGGAGGCCAATAAAGTTTAACACCAACCAAGAACGTATTTATTCCCATTTATAAATACCTTTCGGTCAAAAAGTCAAAACTTGTAAATTTCCAATGATTTTGTTCGACAGATTATTTTATGTTTTGTGAAATGCCCCTCTACATATGTAGCTATGTTCATGGTATTTGCCTCTCGCGAGTAGTACTAAAAATCCCCTTATATGGAGATTGGCGTGTGTGTGGTGCGTACTACGTGATGTGACACAGAACACTGCGGTGCGGAACACAGCGGTGCGAAACACAGCAGTGCCAGTGTAGTGTGAATTTACCTGATTAGTAATACTGCTTATCTGCACTGGGAGTCTTTGTAACTGTTCTATCTTCGATTGTAGCGTGCTTACTGTCGATGCTAGGTCCTTCGAGGTGTCCAATTCAGATTCCACTGAAACAACATACAAGAAAGACCAGTTATTCCTGGGCCCAACTTTACAAAGAGGCTAAGCAGATTAATTAATGTGCTAAGCACAAATCAGTGGGGTACCAGTCACAAGCAATGTTAATTCTAGGACACTTTGGCTGGTATCCTGTTCTGGCTAGGCAAATATTTTCTGCGCTTAGTAAATTTCTAACAGAGGCATCAATTTCACAGAGACCGCTGTCAGTACGGCAAAATCTGCGTTAAATGGTGATGTGACAACGGAAATCGACATACAGGTGTGATATGACATTCAATCCATTAGCCTATTTCATGGCGGACATTATAGGAGGGCGCTGTTTGATTTGGGTAAAGTCTTTCGTGTTTACCAAAACCAAATAGCGCACTCCTATTGTGTCCGCCATATCTCAAATAGGCTGATACAAGTTGGACTAAATTGTGCATCCACCTAATGTTTTTGCCATATGGCACTTAAACTAATACTGTCTGTACTTAATACAATGTAGCACATGTCAAGTTTAATCAAACAGTTTATCTTTTACCAAATGTAGCCACAACGCACAGTGTGTGAATTTGGCTTACACTGATGCCTCTTCAAAACTGATCATTTCCCTCAAGCTTATCATGGTATTAAAATTGACAGCAAAGATATCATGACATTATTTAGGCAGCTGCAGCTCTGTTGAATTTAGTACAACACAAATCCATGATCATGTAGACACAACAGATGTCATTAACTAGTCAATTATTTACAATTCGACAATCCAAATAATTTCGTATTTTTTTTAAAACATGCACACATATTAGAACACTTAGCATGAATAAATTTGATGAAAACAAATATACATGAATGTATACATTGTTATATACAAATGAACATGTCTTTGACTGAGCAGAGGTACAAAGTCCTTCTGTTTACATTGAAAAGCAACAACTGTATTAAAACTGCATCAAAACATTTTTATAAAATCATAACTCGCGATAGTAAAATTTTATAGACCCTGAAGTGCAGATATTAGACTTTGACTAAAACGAGACAGGTTCAAAAAATAGCCTGGTACCCGAGAATTTTCATTCATTTACATACAAAAACATATGTAGAGTATGCAATTTACATAAATCAACATAAGTTAGCATAAGGTCAAAGGTCAAACTGCTTCAGGTCTATAAATAGAACACTACAAAGCACATGTACAAAGGTTGAGAAGACACTTTTAACACGGACGCCCGAGGTCGCATACCACACTACATTTTTGGCTTGTGTCACACAGTGGCATAACATACATAGTACATACAATGCATTTACCCCATACAGTCATCTAACGACAAGGAAATTGGCACATTAGGCCACAAAAAAATTAAAAATAGTTCTGACATGGCATTTGAAAATCGGGTAGGTAGGAATTTTTTTGGGGGGGGGCACTTTTTTGTGTACAATCATATGGAGGTGTCCACGTGTAGTCAAGGGTAAAAGGTAGTAATTGATGATATTCAGGTTTTTTCCCTCGTTTCCCCCCCCCCCAAAAAAAAATTTAGGGTAGGGGCGGTCAAAATAGGGTAGGTAGGCTAACCGGAAGCAGAACTATTTTTTTTTTTTGGCCTTATGCTATCAGTTGTTGCAAGGTCATGTGGTATTATTACATAGTGGAAATTCAAAAGTAACCATGGAATTACGAGCAAAAAGGGTATTGTACAAAACACACGCAAACCAAGTCGTCGCTTAAACCATTGCTTAAACAAACAGCGTGGATAAACGTGACAAAGAATTACTGAATAATGTCTCATCGCATGCCTAATTTTCATGCATAATTTGTCAGTTTTTGGTATGATTTTCTCCACTCTAGAAAAAGACATTATGCACTTTTTGGGAATTTGTCTATCCGTTTTTGAACTTTCACAGCGATTTCCCCCTCTTACTGTAAGTTAAAATAAAATACTTGGAGGGTTAAGGTTGTTAAAAAAAATTGTCCCTATTGAACAAGATCACATAATGGACTTTTTCACAAGGATTAGGGGTCACCTTTTGCGATTCGCAATCTCAACTTGTCTAAGTCTTGCTTGAGATCAAGATGCATCCAGACCAGACCGCCGGTGACGACAATACAAGCCACCATGACAACAAAGACGCATAACTGGATACTGGTGGCACAGAAACGCCATCTAGGAGGTCTGAGGGGGAAAAAAAGTAAGAAAACAAAATTCATAAAAAGGAAATTTATTCCGGAAGAAAAATAATGTGTTGCACATGTATGGCAAATATATGTTATCAGCAATTTAATTTTGGAGAATAACTGGTTTGAGGTTTCTCGATTCACATAATGTCTTACTTTCTTATTGTTAGCCTTCTCGGTGGTGAAAAGAATTCGTCATTTTCCGTGGAGTTGGAGTCCCAGCTGTCCTCGTTACGCAGCAGTTCATGACCCTCCTTACCGCTGCCGGAACCCTTGCCGAGCTTCTTAACGTTCATGGTGTTCATGAGGAGGGCGTCTAGCTCCTTCCTCTTTTTCATCTTCTTAACGCCATTAGTCCGGCCCGGCACCAGGCCGGGGTTGGAATTCTGTAGCTCCAGTTTCGCGGAATGATGATACAGCCCTCGGTGCTGGAAAACCCCGACTTGTGCGGTTCACCTTGGAAATCTGGAGAATCCTGTCACATGATGCACCTAGTGGTTACAAAACATGTCATTAATGGAATGCCTCACCACATATGGACAAAAAAATTAAAAATTTAAAACAGACAGGCCTAAAATCCTAAATCAATGGCAAAATTATCTGAGTGACAGAAGATGGTTAATTAAATCAAATTTCATCGTTAGTTAAAAATTACTTTGTGTAGGTTTTGAGTGCTTAAGATGGTTAATTAAATCAAATTTCATCGATAGTTAAAATTACTTTGTGTAGGTTTTGAGTGCTTATAAAAGTCACCACACATTTTATGGAAAGAATGTAGTATTCAGAATCCACTTTGGTGGTAAGTTAAGGATATCAAGTCTAACTTTATGATGTGGGACTCACGAAAAATTGCACACACCCGTAAAAAAATGAAAAGTGAATAATGAATATGTTTCCTTGTCACAAATTAACATTCCTTCTTCTCGATATATATGCAATGACTGACCATTAATGTATTTAAATATGATGAACAAAGACGTCGCAATGGTGTTTTTTTTTCAGATTCATAATATTTTTCATGACGTCAACCAGTAGCCCCACTTGTGTGGCCTCCATATTGCTGCGCTGTACATTAGGCCACACATCTGGTTTCCCAATCTACTGAGGAGTTTAGTCCAAACACTGGCGCATATGGACTCCAGAAAGATGCTAAATTACTCGAAAAATTTGAAGAAAGATTACCTTATCTACCCGGAGGGCAAAAGATGAGAAATCATAGAATACAACCATCATGACCATACACTGGTATGTAAAAAATGCCAAAAGAAGGGTGCGCCAGTGTTTGGAATAAACTCCTCAGTAGAACTGGAGGACCTGGCATGTGGCCAGAGATACAGCGCAGCAATATCGCGGCCACACAAGTGGGTTAGTCAACCAGGTAATGACGTAAACATTACCATGTAGGTACATGACCTGCCCCTTCAATCACGTACAACCCCCCCCCCCCCCCCCCCCTAGCTGGAGTTACCCAGCCCTGAGTTTTATCACTGGGTTGTCATCTAGGGCTGGAGCGCATTTTTCTCAAAACTTGTAGTATTTGCAAAAAAAATTTGGAAAAATGTTCAATTTTGTCCCCGTTACACACTAATTGCAACTGCAACTCACCCCAAACTTGCCTGGAATAACCATTACACAGGTCCTTGAAGTAAAAAACGATCCACGATGAAGATTCAGCCTACAATTGCAGTGAAAACAGGAGGAATAACCGCTAACTTGACAACCTTGCTGGATTGGCCAGGACCGCTATTGGTTTGTGCACACAAAAAATTGTGTACAATGAATGGCGGTCGATTAACAGGCACAGAGAGCGATCGCTGTCAACTACTCGGTTTTGCCGGCTGCGCTGGCTGTTGGCGCGTGACGTCACGCGGAAGCGTAACACCCGATGACTGTTTCATGCACTATTGGTTGCGGTTCCAGTACCAAAGCTGTGATGCGAGTGGTAAACCTTATACTAGTGCATGAAACAGTCATCGGGTGTTACGCTTCCGCGTGACGTCACGCGCCAACAGCCAGCGCAGCCGGCAAAAACGAGTAGTTGACAGCGATCGCTCTCTGTGCCTGTTAATCGACCGCCATTCATTGTACACAATTTTTTTTGTGCACAAACCAATAGCGGTCCTGGCCAATCCAGCAAGGTTGTCAAGTTAGCGGTTATTCCTCCTGTTTTCACTGCAATTGTAGGCTGAATCTTCATCGTGGATCGTTTTTTACTTCAAGGACCTGTGTAATGGTTATTCCAGGCAAGTTTGGGGCGAGTTGCAGTTGCAATTAGTGTGTAACGGGGACAAAATTGAACATTTTCCAAATTTTTTTTGCAAATACTACAACAAGTTTTGAGAAAAATGCGCTCCAGCCCTAGATGACAACCCAATGATAAAACTCAGGGCTGGGTAACTCCAGCTACCCCCCCCCCCCCCCCCAAGATTTTAACTGGACTTCATGATCTAATTCAAACGCTCACTTTATCCAAAATTTTCGTTACAAATATGATCTTAAATCACCCCCATCATGCACATTAATTAGCAGCGTACAGCTTTTAATCACACATAATTTGACTCACCATCATTTTCAACAAGAAAATCGTGAAAATTGGCAGCGAAATTTTCCACAGCACAATCGATGGGTAAACTCCTCTGATGTCACATAGGCACCAATTATGACCGTACAGTTTGTGCTCCTTCAGGTGAAACGGCGCGCGAAATGCACGTAAAAATAACATTATCGCGATCATGGCGATCGAATCGACGACTGGTCGAATAAAATACCGCCCTCTGTCGATGGAATGAAGCCAAGCAAAACTTCACTAAAGTTCTGGTGGATAATTTTTTTTAGAGGATTGATTTTGTTCCTCTCCCCAAAACTAACAAAATAAAATTGAAGGAAACGAACTATTTTAATTGGTCCTGTTTTTTTTTTAAGGCAAGATATTTGGGAGCAGAAGGCAAGCATTTTTTATCAGGAAATGTAAGGTCATGAACAAAAGGAGGAAAAACTTGGAGAGATTTTTAGGGAGCCAAATTTGGTGCATATAATTCTTCTTTTTGTGCAAAGAAATTGTTGATAGATAATGCCAAAAAACAACAAAAAATACCCAAGGTTTATAAGAAGAAGGAAGGACTATGAATTTGATGGGAACCTTGAAAAAATAAAGTTTACACAAACACCTTACAATAAATTACACAAAAAAGCAACATTAAACATCTTTTATTTCATAATAGTAACATTGTATTTTACATACAATTGCACAAAACAGTTTAAACACAAGCATTAAAAAAAATCAATCAGTAAAATTATATTTTGATCAAAAATTAAAACACATGCAACACAATGAGTAGATAATAAACTGACTGTATAAAAGAATTGACTGCCATAGTATGTTCTCCATGTTGGCGCTAACAGCTAAGCATATCGCTAAGTAAGCCAAAAATACCATAGGATGTAGGGTGCCTGTGACTAAGGGCAAATAGTGCTTAGCACATGAGCAACATTTCTGCTAAGCCAGACCATAAAATAAGGGCCAAAACATCCACTTCAAGTTCAATTCATATCCAACTTTTTGAACCACAAAATTAATTTTTAAGTAAGTGTAGTTAAGGACACCTTTATTTTATTTTACTAGTTCCATTCAAAAAATGACTTTTTGCAAATGACTGTCAATTCCAAAATGACTTTGAAGCCTCAAGCAGTCGTATTTTTTTTTTTACAGTAACTCTAGGTTTTTAGATTTTTGGTCAGTACTTTTTGGGGAAAATGTGATTTTCTAGCCTGTTTTGGCCAATAGAGACGCGCAAGTCCAAGCATATGTGGAACAGGGTCCCAAACTACACCTTTGCATTAGTTTCATACTTACAACTTGTCACTCTTCCGTTTATGCTTTTGAGGTCTTCCTTCAGTTGAAAGACAAAATACCCGAGGGTCCCGCAGGCACAGCCCATGAGAAAGAGAAGACAGACCATCACCACGGACTTGCCACTACAGACACAGGTTTCCTGTGGTCTACGTACCCGAACCTTTCTCCTATGATCAAAAGGAATTTGGGGATAAACCACGATTAACTTCTTATAAAAACTGGAAATTTAGCAGAAAGTTAAAAATACCAAACTTGCTTTTTTGTGACAGATTTTCAGTCGATTCTCTGCCTTTGGAAATCATTTGGGAAACGATTCCTTTTGTTTCCCTCATTTGAGATCCTTGAAAGATGCTTTAAGTTTGAAGGAGGCAATATGAAGTAGGCAATAATTACAATAAGAAATAGAAGCATTTATCAAAGGGAAAAAAATGGAAATAGGAGAAAATAACCATTATTTTTCCTATTATTACACAGACGGCTTTGTAAGTAAATATAATTATTAAATTATTATTGTTCACATTTTAAAAGTGTTGACACATAGTTTTGCTAAAGACATAAGAAATACTCTGATACAATGGATTTTTAAGGGAGGTGAGTTGTGGGGTAGGGAGAGTTAAGGGATGGGGGGCAGGAAGGGGCGGGGGGGGGGGGGGAGAGAGAACTGGGTGGAATTTCTGGCCATTGTCTCCAGCAGACTTGCTACAATAACCTAGAGCAGATGTCAGCTTCATCTTTACCTTTTCTTTCCTGATGGCTTCGTCATCTGTGTCTGGGTGAGAGGATACTCCTCTCCATCCACCGAGTCGCTATCATCAATCACTAGCATCTTGGCAGCATCCTTCTCCAAACCTGACATCTTGGGAGGCAGCAAACAGATGGCAATGGGCACGATAGATGTTGGTATGCTCTATGAATTCCTCAAGTCACATGCTGCTGTCACATTCAGGCTAAGAAGAAAAAAAGAAGGAAAATGGCCAAATTTTTCTATAAGGTATTAGCCTCCGTTCAAGTGAATTTGAAAACACAAAGAATTTTCAATCGGAGCATCTATAGCAGTATGAGAGTCCCAAATTTGCAGATACTTTAGCCATGATTCCAGTAGCACTGGAATTCCATGTATTGTTATTATTTTAATAGGCCTACATGATATGCCGCCAAATGATAAAATGTTTATTAAATTTTTATCCCCATGCCATCACGGTCATGCATGGCAATTCGAATGACACTCGTTATCATTATGTGTATGATGATATGAATTTCAATACTTTTTATGACAAATTATAATTAACGTTAGAATAAATATAAAACAAAATATGCCAAGATCTGCGGGGGGGGGGTGAAATCCACGCCCCTCCCTGCCTCCCAGAACCAAAAAAAGTAAGCCTGCCTCTTTCAACTGTAATTCCAGCATGTTATTGGTTTAAAACTTGGCATTGGGTTTAGGGAACCAATAATGACATTGAATCTGAACTCGGCTCAGCCGGCTAGGGGCCCTACCTTCGTTGTTACAGACGCTCGCTCTGCATGCAACAAGTTTGTTTTCATGGTTTTCATGCATGAAAAATACGACTTCCGGGTCACCGTTAACTGGACATAGCGCCCTCTCGTGACTTCTTCCGCCTGGAATTATATTTTTTGTCTGAAACCCAAAGGTAATTATTTTGCAATATTATACTAATTTCGTCATCTGATGAAGGGGCCAGACTACTTGTTGGTTCCCCTCATTTACTCACTTGAAAGCGCATGAAAGGATACCAGTGTTCTTCCTCATTGGTTTTTTTTACCTGCAAACTGTTCCATTTCCTGCCTGAGAATAGGCAGTTTTTACACCTGAATTTACATTTTATTTGAGCTGACAGACCTGAAACGGAAGAAGAGAAGATGCAGGAGATGTCTGGAGGATCCTACTCTCCCGTTTGAACCGTTTCAGTGAATCTGATGAGTGGTATGTTTCATTGAACAAGTGTGATGATTTTTGTCCGAGCTGCTGTGCCGTGTACGTGTGCGGGGGCGCGCCGGGCCGGCTGTGCTGTGCATACGGTACGGCGCGCACCGCCAGCAGCGAGGGGATACCCCTTCAGACTTGAAGTTATCTTACTCTTTGCAGCTGATTTTTTGCATTGGGAAAATCGGCCAGTCTGTTGGAAAATTATGCGGAAAGATTCCCATACATGGCCATCACCATAAATGATCACTAATTTTTCTCTGCATTGCCATTGCATTGACCTTAAAATGTAGATAGTGGATATTTTGCCGGAGGTAATGACGGCAAACTAACGTTTCTAAAGGTTTGCCGGCGGCAATCCATATCAACAGAGGGCGCTGTACTCTTTAAGATAGGGCTGAATTATAAGATGTATTACATTCCCACCAAAAGTTGTGTAGCACGTTTGGTGTAGTGGTTAAGCAAAGGCTCTGGTAAGCGGGATGACTCGGGTTCGATTCCGACCGCAGCACATTTTTAAGTTTTTTTTTCTCATCCCCAAATAAATAAGAATATTCTTCTTTTATTATTTTAACATGTCTCAAACATTTTTTTGCAGAGTATTACATTTTCTTTTTCAGATTTGTGGCTCTGGAGGAATTTTTTTAAAAGGGAAATAAAGTCCGAAATTATAAAATGGTCTGAATCCCATCTTGTGAATACGAGGTTACAACGATAATTTTGGCATGGAGCCAGACTAAAATTTGTCACAGTTTAAGTACAAAAAACCAGTCACTGCGCATGTTCAGTGCATATCTGGCAAACTAACGTTTACTAAAGGTTTGCCGTCTCCGGCAAAATATACACTGCCTAAAATGTACTAAAAAATCAAATTTTTAGAAGGGAAAATAAGCGTTTCATTTAGATAGTGGATATATTGCTGGTGGCAATCCTTATCAACAGAGGGCGCTGTACTCTCTAAGATAGGGCTGAATTATATTAAATTACCACCAACGATTGTGTAGCACCTGTGGATAAGCAACGAACCTCATGAGCGGGAAGACCCGGGTTCGATCCCCGCTGGCGATATTTCTAAGGTTATTTTTTCCCATCCCCCCCAAAATAATAATATTCTTCTTTTATTATTTTAACATGTCTCAAACATTTTATTGCAGAGTATTACATTTTCTTTTTCAGATTTGTGGCTCTGGAGGATTTTTTTGGAAATGGAAATAAAGTCCGAAATTGTAAAATGGTCTGATCATGCTGATTCCCATCTTGTGAATACAAAGTAACAACGATAATGTTGGCATGGAGCCAGAAAAAAATTTGTCACCGGAAAATGTCTAAGTAAAAAAACCCAGTAACTGCGCATGTTCAGTGCATAGGCCTATGTGAATATTGTGAATCTATGACCTATATAACTGCCCATCCAACCAGAGCGCTGTAGCTCGATTGGTTAATGTTGGACTACCATGCCAAAGTTCCTGGGATCGATTCAACTCTGTAAAATAAAAAAATAAACAATTAATTTATAAAGCCTTTTTGCAAATTTTATGTTTCACAATTTTGTTTTGAGAGAACAACAAACTGCCACATACATGCAAAATCGTAGCTGGGTACCAATGAAATCTGTGACAAGTTCTTGTTTTGATTGAAGTCAATGCAAAATTTTGATATGTTTTGTGGCATTATGGTTCAAGATGTTTGTATGCTCCAACATACGTGCAAAAAGTTTTTTCATCTTCTTTTTGTTTAGATGAAACATTGCAGAATGCGGATTCAGTGACCACATTCCCCGGCATAGAATTGTGTGCATTCATCTGCTTTGTTTTATCTCCCGAAACTAACTCACCTGAAAGTATGACTCATATTGAATCTTATTTTTGTCAGAAGGTGAAAAAAGCTCTGTCGAAAACGATATGCAAATTTGATTAAGCTTGAACTGGGTCGTACTAAAATGAAGATTTACTTTTTCTTTTCTTTTTTCTTTCAGGAATACGCATGTAGCAAGAAAAACAGTTTGAAAAACACTAAAACTGCTTGACAGAATCAAGGCCTGGATAAGCACAACTTCTGTTCCTACTTCATCAATTTACCTGCTGTTGCATGGTGTAAAATTGTTTTACAGTACCCAAACCTGATAACATATATCAGTTGTTTGAGCCTTCATTTTTTTATGTACTTGTGTTGAACAAACCCCTTGGTTTGAAATACTGCACAAGAATCGTTTGTGCTTATTGAGAAATAAAGTAAGCAAAGTTTGCTGTGGGATTTACATGTACAAACTACACCGCCTCTGCATGTAGTGTCAAATTAACGTAACGGCAAGCCAAGATGGGCGAACGTGTGACCTACCAGGCGGTGTACGACTTCGAGAAGGCGGCCGCCCAGGACGTCGAGATGAGAGTTGGGGATATTATGAGTGTGGTCAACCCCACCAAGATGCCCTACTTCCAGGGGACACGAGAGGAACCCACGGGGTGGTTGGAAGGCATCAACGAACGCACGAAGGAAAGGGGCAGCTTTCCTGGCACTTTTGTCAAGTACAGGGACTCGAGGCATCCCCCTGGTTTGAATTATCTGCCAGCTCAGCCCACGCGAGAAGACGTCAGGACTTCGCCTCAAACAAGTAAGTCGACTCATCTTCTTTTACTCCAACTTATTCTTAAAAATCACCCACTCCAGGTACCTAAGCACTTGACAATCATGGAGGCCCCCAGTAATGGCGGAAGCATGGTGCCATTTACTGATCAGTACAACTGTCATGGAGAAGTTACTTGGTACAAGACCTGGTACAATGTTACCATCCTTACTGAGTGGCCCCATTGGTATAAGGTTTAAATTTATTGACACGATCACTCTTATCACTGTAATCATATTACTGTAATAATAATCACTATAATCATATGATGTTTTGACAACCTGGTTGAGAGGACCTGATATTTCAGTAGTCAGTAATCAAAACTGAAGACCATCGTATCCTTTTCAACTTACAAACTTCATATTCATGTACACTGTACCAAGTCAAATCTTAGGAAAAATTTTGATTGGTGCATGGATTTTGTATAATTTCCGACACACGGGACACCAAGCGCCTATGGACCAGTATTTTTGTTTGACCTTTAACCTTTGTACCTGTCCATGTTTAACCTAGGTCCCCTTCCCCGGAATATAAGGCAACAGCAGGAACCGGTTCACCAAAGTGTGTCCCACCGCCCCCCATCGTCCTCTGTGACTGGTCCGCCCCCTCCCCCTCGTAACAAACGATTATCGCGAGGAGGGCAACGGTTTCAAATGCAAGCCCAGTCATACATGACCTTCGCTGGTATTGTATACAAACCGTTACTCCGTGGTGTCATGGACAAACTAACTCTAAAAACAAAGTAGCAAGCAGTTTCCCTTGCTTTGCTTGTAATTTTCTTGCAACATTAATGCTATCCTTAACAACAACAAATAAACAACAACATCAACAAAAACAACAAACGACAGCAAAGCAACAGCAAGCAACAACAACAGATTCACGAAAAGCTGACATTTTATTCTGAAATAAAAACATGTGCTTAGTTTTTGGGGACACATAGCTGTTACAGTGGACATTTGCTTTTGTCCAAAACTTTTTCTAGATACATGCCTTTTTTCTGCAAAACTTGCAAACAGAAAAACCATGAAGAGCCACCAAGAAAAAGTATGAAAACACAAGTTTTCAAAACATTTTCATTTTCCATTTCTGCAGCGATTTTCCCTTTTGTGACTCAATTTCATCTCTGTTATTCCTTCTACTTTCACTACGTTTTAACAATAAGAACCTGGGTCGTACCCACTGCGGTGCTTTGAACGTAACAAAGAATCACCAATTAGCATAACAATGCCAGGCTTTACCATTTAGGCGGCTGTATTGTTAGGACTAGAAAAATAGCATACATGTACATGCATGTACAGTAGGGGTACATGTACATGTACATGTAGGGTTCATTATTCAGTATAAAGGGTGCAGGATTGAGCACTGCCAAAAAACATGTACAGTTACATGTACATGTACACGCAGACAATTTGAGAAACAAGAAATGTGTTTCAAACTGCAACATGTACTGAAGGTAGCACTTTTAAAGGGAACATACAACATTTGCAAACATCAAAAAACAAAAACAAATTATTACGAATACCTTACTGGACTGTTAGTGAATGACAGTCTAAAGCATCCTGTAAATCATGGCACCTAGTGTGCTAACATTTTCAAGAAAAGTGGTGTTTTTGTATCAATTTCCAATGCTGGTCGGCCGACAAGCGGTGGAAATATGGCTTTTTTAATATACTGCCCCCAATTTACCATATTTAGTTAGCTCAATTTTGTTTGCAATCAATTACACACCTATGAACGGGTACAAGCCAGCTAGACTGGTTCCCTGAACTTACAATTTCCCATTTCATCTTAAGTGGGGTCAGGGAACCAGTCTACAAGAACAGCATTATTTTCTTGGTTTTTTCAGCATCTACGAACACAAAACTTCAAACAAGTCAGTGTAACAATATTGAAATAAAATACTAGCCCCCAAATCCATCCATTTCTGAAAATTAAAGCAAAAGCAATTGTTATATATTTCCTTGAAAGATTAACTAAAATAAAGTTATGGCGTAAGCTTTCGTAGCTACAGCTTCATCAAACTGCAACATACATCATGTTCATGTGCAAACCATACTTCAGAAATGTTGAAATAGCTGAATTGTTTCATGGCTCATCTTCACCCAATAGTTGTGCTAAAAGTATCGGTACATGTTCTTTGCATTGAAAACCCAAATATTTTTGTTGGAATAAAATGAACCAAAAATATTGTGTAAACCCACAATTAGGAAGCTGTACAAAAAGCTTGGCATAAGAAACAATTCATATGACATACATTTTGTACAAAAATGCTTAATGGCATTATTTGAAATACACATGGGAAGGTGTTCGTACACTGTACATGTATGTCCACACAAATTTAGGTGCTCTTAAATGGCATATAGTGCTCTAAAGGGCATCATGTTTATATGCATATTTTGAAACCATACAAATTCTTGCTCAGTTTTTTAATTTAGATTATAGAGCAATTTATAGTTACATGTATGCTACTTTGTGACCTCAAAAACTGTTCATTATCTTGCAAATTATGCAAGTTACATCTTTCATAAATCTTGAAATAGTTTTTAAATCACTACATGTACAAGTCCATTTTCTTGGAACTTTTTGGCTGATTCTTTCGCTTTAGGCACTAGAAGATTTCACAATTTTCTTTGAATATTGTACGTTCCAAACATTGCATTTTTACAACATGCACTAGACCTATATTTCAGAAATAGGATACCCCTTAGCTTTTTAAACTAACAATTTATCTTTTAGTTTCCTTATGGATTTCCCTGTTTCTGAATGTAAAATGTAAACAAAACTCTTCGCCGGTACACATAAATGAAAAAAATATTGCTCATTATTTACATGTACATTATTTACATATATGTACTTTCTTTAATTTAATGAAACACATTGAATAGTTGAAGAATGAAATTAAGAAAGTAAGGCGTAGTATATACTGTACATGTACACTGGTAATTGTAAGCCTACGTGCATTGATCATATTGTGTACATGTACACGTACCTATTGACGTACGTATACCGTGCACGGACATTTGACACCTGTGTGTTAGTTTGCCTCGTGAGGAAGTCAACATGTATTTCACTTCCTGGTTGTGTCTTTAGAAACTTTGTAGAAACCCTCTTTTCAAAAACATGACCGCTAAAATGATGCTTCATATTTTTTGCCCAGAAGTAAAGCTAGGACCCAATTTGTTTAAATTTTTCATCATTTTGTCTGGAGCGATTGTTTCCATCGCATGCTTCCAATGTTGCATTTCAGTTTGAAGATACAACAGATGAAATTATTATCTTGACTAAGATCTTTAAATCGGTAGTATACTACGTGCCATGGCATCATTAAATTTACCCTTTTGACCTGTCAAGGAAATATTCTGTTGATGAGATTTTACAGTTCCGGCTTTTTTTTTTTATCCCTTTCAGACTTGTAAGCAGCTTTTGTTGAGGGATTTACAAAAAAATGTACCTTTTGATCGTAACTTCTAAAAAGATTCAGGAAATAAAATTTGACATTCTTTTTTGGTAAATTTTATTGAAAAGTCCTCATCTTTTAAACATTTCAAAAAAATTTCCTTGATTTTCCGGACAACTAAGGGCGCTTTTACTGTGATGTCATTTAAGGAAGACACTCTTCAGTGTTTTCTGTTCAAATTGTGAATCCCCAGCAAATGCTCATTGAGTACATTTGTGAGAAAAGTTTGACACAACAACGAATCACAAGAGAAAAGAAATTTTACAACAGCAAAATATCTGAAAATTCTGGAAACATTCAATGCTGAAATAGCTGTTACATTGAGTTTTCTGCATGAAATTACATCACAGTATTGCTTGAGAAAATGGAAATTTGGTTTAGCATAAAAACCAAAAAGGCACCAAAATACCCTTGAATGCCAAAAAGAAGATTGAAAACAAGGTTAAATGGGGCGCAAAGGTGCATTTTCACGGATTGCATTAAAAAATTACCTTGCATGGGACCTTTAACCCCACAATATTCAGTCCTTGGTTTTTCACTTTTTTGTTGGATTCAAGATTCAACCACTATCACCCTAGATGAACACTCACTAACTTCAATTGAGGTTTACCATGTAGCGTTCACATCCAACATTAGCATCGAAAACAAAGGTTGCAAGAAGAACATCTTTGGGACATCTTCACTAAAATGGATTATTATTTTTGACAATGATGAAGAGGATCCATAGTCATGGGTCTCATGTCTCATTGGAGTTAATTTCACCTAGTGTCATTCCCAGTTGGTCTGACTCATGTCCACCCTCGGATTGGGCCTTCAATGTCTGCCCAAGTAAGGCCACATCCAAATCATTTGTACGGCTAGAATTTACATTTGTTTATATTGTAGCTGTAGCCAAATAATTCGGATGTAGCTGGTTAACAGAACAGTTTTTGTTGCAACAACAGAATAGTTGATTCAGGCACAGCCTACAAAAATGTACGTACCCGGAGGTACATGTAGATGAGTTTTGAAAAACAGTTTTTCCTGGAAACTGTTGAAATCTGCTGTAAACAACATGTCTAGTTGGGAGAGAAATTGTTCCTGTTGTTGTTTTTGTGGGCGAACAAAGGAATATTTAACTCAAATTAGAAGAAAATGATTTGTGATATCTTGAGATTCGAGATTTGTATAATTTATAAAACAAAAATATCATGAAATGTGGTATTTATTTATTGCTTTAAGTTTAAACTCAATGTCTCAAAGTGCTGTCCCTGTTCATCAGGCCATGAGACCAGTTTTGCAGCAGCTCGAGACCAGCGCATTCTGGCCTCTACCCTCGCATGTACCCATTTATACTCCTCGGTGGAGAGAGGCAATTGGAGTAAAGTGTCTTGCCCAAGGTTCGAACCCACGTACCATGGCACGTGAGTCGAACACCGTAACTATTGGACCACAACACTCCACATGTCCCACGTACATGTACTTCTAATCCACAAACTTTCAAGAACTCAAAAATATATGAACCCAAAACTGGGTCCCTGATCAATGGACGTAACAACCTCCTAAACTATTGCATACTTATACGGAAACTATCGCTGCACTACAGAAATCCATTGAGAATAACAAGGAAATACCTTTGTCGCTATTCATAATGTATCCAGCACCGTGTTTATACAATGTACAATGTATGTGACCTGCATTCATGCTGTATTGATATTGGAAGCTAGTTGCTTTCCAAGCCCACAGGAAACTGCAACAAACCAGGAAACATCGCAGTCATACAGTCGCCGCACAAACTTTTCATCTAAAGTTCATTTTTCATTTTTCTCAGAAGAATATGTGGTGTGTGCTGCAACGCACGTCAAGCGCAGTTACAGCCAGTATTTTCCATTAGACCCTAGTCATTTTCCCTAGTCATTTTTGCTAGGATGCAACCTCAATCCTGTAAAATGCTCCATTGCCTCCATGTAAAAATTACATAGCCTTAAAGGGAAAATACAACATTTGCAAACATCAAAAAATAAAACTACCAAATCATTTTGAAATACCTTGCTGGACTGTTAGTGAATGACAGTGTAAAGCATCCTGTAAAATCATGGCACCTGGTATACTGTCATTTTCAAGAAAAGTGTTATTTTTGTATCAATTTCCAACACTGATCGGCCGATCAGCGTTGGAAAAAAACTGGCTTTTTTTCAAATACTGGCCCCAATTGACCATCGCACTTGTTTGCAATCGATTACACACCTATGAACGGGTGACAAGCCAGCTAGACTGGTTCCCTGACCTTACAATTCCCCAATGTATGTAAACTGCTCTGTTTCTTCTTATATGGAGTCAGGGAACCAGACTACAGGAAAATGATTGTTTTCTTGGTTTTTATAGCATTTTCGAACCCAAAACCTCAAAAAAGTCAGTGTAACTATATTTGCTATATATTTACAACCCCCCAATTCCATCCATTTCTGAAAATTACAGCAAAAGCAAATGATGTATATTCCCTTTAATCATCCAAAATCATCCATTATTTCTTGATTTTGGTCCTTGGAGGGGTGACCACTGCCTCAATCCTACAAAATCCTCCAGCAATCACTGTCAATATGTTGAGGCAGAGGCAGTGAGGCAGTGAGGCCTCATAAATCAGGCACACATTTTTGCCATAAAGCCTCAATCCTGCAAAATCCTCCATTTTGCAAAGAGGATTTTGGAGGATTTGGGACTTGCTTTGACTGTAGGTGATTGATAAGCCAGCTGTGCCTACTTCTTGCCCGCTTTTGTCTGTTGACTGAATTTGACTAGTCACAGTGCTTGCTTGAAATATGATCTGACTGTTGGTGACTAGCCTGTGTAAAAGGCATGGCAGGGGAAGAGGATTGTTTTTTGATTGTCCGTGACTGTTCAAACAGCAGGAGGGTTAAGATATTCATGCACATGTATTTTTAGAGGAAAAACAGCAACTGTAGGTTTCAAGTTCTTGTCATTTTTATGATACATGACTCTAGTTGTCATCCCCCAGTGAAGGTATACTCGCTTGATGGGCTTCGCTTGGTGGAGAGTCAATAACAATAAATTTAAAAGCACCAAACGTTACATTTTTTAGTTTTTTGAATCAGTTAGCCTTGATAGAAGTTGTTTTTCTGCTCACTTTTTGTTTCAGGTACAGGTACCTCTGAAGGTCATGAGCTCTCTGGGAAAGGTCTCGTAACACCCATGTTGTGCCAGCATTGTAAGTCCATTTTTTTCTTCATCGTTCGCAATATTTCTGGTGACCTTTTTTTTCTCAACATCGCAACACCATCTCGTCTGACAATTGCACCAAAAGCCCTCAATGGATGCATCGCTGCTCCAATCCTGCTACGGGTTTGAAATTGTGAACATTAAGAAGAAAATTTCGTGTGCACTTCATGCCATTCACGCATGCCACATGAGTCAGTGCCCGAAAGCATGTATGGACCAACCCAGGCGCGCTGCCGCTTGCACCACGAAGGCCCCCTTCAATGGCTGAAGCATTGTGCTAGCTATTGTTTACAAGATCCGTCATGGGTCAGAGACTTTGTCTTACAGTATGCGCAGCAGTTTTGCCATCGAAGAGGGTCTTGTGTATGTACGTTGATCGTGTGCCAAGATTCATCTACACGGAGCTCTCATATGTGGTCACGAGGAGTCATCTGTCGTTTATGAACTATGCTCAGAGTATTGCAATATCATCCTAAATTTTTGCTCAGAGACAAATGTTACTCTTTTTATATTTATCCATATTTTTTTACTTGTCTGGTAGGTAACGATTATGTATGGGGCTCCGGAAACATCGCGTTGCAGTGCCTAAACTGCAACTACGTGTATCACACGATGTGTGGGCCATACGCCGCAAACGTGGAATGCGATCAGCTAAGTGGCGGCTATATACAAACAACGAGGGATATGGTAAGGTCAAGGGTCATAGATGTGTTTTCTGTTTTGCGAAGGGGCGGACTTTGAATAAAAATTGGGAGGCGGAGTGGTTTTGGCTTTAATTATTGTAAATAATAAATAGGCTGCCAAGGATTTGAAGAGGTCAAAGTTTACAGAATTCTTTTCCATTAGCAAGGGGTGGGGTTTAAATCAAACTTGTGGGAGGGACGCAATTTGGGCTGTAAATAATGTTATAAATATTATGTTATACAATGGGAGGTTTTAGAGACTTCAGAAAATTTGACTTTTTTTTAAGTTTGAGCATTTTCTTCACTTTAAATGAAAGGGTTTGACAAAATGTTGAGGTTAAATCTGCCTTTTTAATTTTGTAAAAGTGAGAGCTGTATTTGCATGTTCTTATGCAAAAGATTGCTGAAGAAGTTTTGGTCACATCTGGGCATAATTCTACGTGAATTTACTTGAATATTTGCATTTTTCTGTCGCAGCCCGTCTCAAAATGGTCGGTGGAGGATGTCTTGAACTGGATGGCCGTCACGTATCTGTATCGTTACGCCGATCTCTTCAAGAAACATCAGATAGACGGACAGCAGCTGGTGAAAATCGATCAAGAAACGCTGGATGTAAGACGGATTCAAATAATTCTTATTCCTTATGATCATCGTAGGCATATTCCACAGTAACCTCAATTTACAGCAAAGCGAAAAACTTTTGCTTAGGACGTCTATTTGCTTAGCAGAAATCAGCCAAGTACCAGTCACAACCAGTATAAAGCACATGACATTCTAACTGGCAACCTGTTTTTCCTGAGCAGAATTCTTCCATGCTTAGCAAATAATGCACTTTGTAACTCAATTTGCCCTTTTTTAACATCAGATTCGAAAGCCTACAAATTTATGGAATTTTATTTGAAGAAATAAAGTGAAGAAAAACACCCCTAAAATAGTTGTCACACTTAGGCATTTTGGGCAAGCACTTTTTAACCCTAACCACCCCCAACCCATCAAAATCCAACTGAATGTTCTGTTGGAATCTGTTGGAGTGAGTACTGCATTAGTAAACTGATTATGCCTTACATGGGGTCAGGCATACCACCATAATCAGAGTCCAACAGTTTGGGTGATGAGTTTACCATATGGTGTTGGATTTTGCAAGAGTGAGGAAGGTTCCTAGTAAATCACTCAAGAGGTTAGGGTTAATGAAGACAAGTAAAAAGAAATGAAAGTTATTACACTGTAACACTTCTAAGTACAGGCATGAGCTTGTGAAATTATTAAATCCATCATGGCCTAAGATTCTTTATCCCCTTTCTTCGTTTATTACAAAATTCAAACTTTTTTCTCCTTACAGGCAATTGGAATCAAAGACGATTTCAACCAGCAGTGTATCCTTTACACAAAGAATGAGCTGGTACACGGAGACTCCAGGCAAAGGGGTTCGAGGCAGGAGCTGTCATTGCAAGAAGGTACTCAGTTTTTCTCTCGAAATATAAGAAAATTACTTTTTTGTCACAAATTTTGCACTGCTATGTCACATACATACGTACGAGGAATTTTGTGAGTGTCAGACTTTAGCTGCTCCAATTTCTTTGTAGCTATCTCACTGACTGACTGACTAGCTCCCTGAATCCCCCGTGTGAGTTAGACTAGCTGTAGACTGGTGAAGAGAGTCGGGCAGTGCTATCCTATAGGATTACCCATAACGCCAATAAATGGACTAAAACCAGCCCATTACGTAAACCAGATGCATGAAAAGACTTCCAGTGAATAGTCATTCTGAATCAATTGGATAGAATTTTAAGCGCTCTGCGCAGCGTAGTGTCCTCTTTGTATAAGTCTTGGTGGTTCTGAAAAAATGGCGGATGAACGCTCCAAGTTTCAATCAGTAAGCTGTAATCATCTTCAGAACTGAAGATGTTTAGTGTTTACCCAGTGTATGGGCTCCGTGCGCCAACGAGAGAGGGCGCCCTTTTACCTAGCAACGACGTCCCATGGGCAGGACATTTAGCTGGTTGACATGCACCGTTCCTTGTGTGTGACGCACGTACACCAGGGGATTTGTACTATGTACACGCAGTGGTACGGCCGCGTGTCGCAACCCCCAACTGTATTTTCTTTGCCGGTGAGGGGGTACTTGTGAACAGAGCGGATACCTACTCGGAACCATTTTCTTACCACTCACAAATATACCATGGGCAGAATCTTGCTTAAATTGATGTACATCTTATGCTTAAGGGTAAACTTCTTGGTTTATTTGAAAAGAAATTCCATCTTCGTGGTATTTGTTATGATTTATTGTTTCTTTACAGCCGTGTACCCTGCTAAAATGCACTCGCTACAAGAAGTCACGTTCTCGACGCTACAGTGGTGCGGCAAGTGCCTCAAATTCATGTACGGATTGACGCATCAAGGCTTACAGTGCAAAGGTACAACCAGTGCCATTTTTTGTGACTTTTAACTCTGTCGTTTTACTTCATTAGCCCTGCTATGCAAACATACATTCTATGCAAAATTGTCCTCTCAGTCAAAATCAATCAAGTGACTGTTTTTAACAGTTAAGAGCTCCCAGCCTACATAAAGCAGGATTGACTGGCTGTGACTGTTTATGTAACGTGTTACAGCTTTGCTTTGACTGTAGGTGATTGATAAGCGAGCTGTGCCTACCACTTGCCTGCGTTTGTCTGTTGACTGAATTTGACTAGTCACAGTGCTTACTTGAAATATGTTCTGACTGTTGGTGACTAGCCCGTGTAAAAGGCATGGCAGGGGAGAGGATTGATTTTTCTGACTGTCTGTGACTGTTCAGATAGCACAAGGGTTAAAAGTAGACATTTGACCACTCGGGCAGTTAGTGTAGCCTGGATCTTTGTGATTTGCCCTGAGCACATGACTGATCACATGACATAGTTTTTTTCCGTCCATTTATGAAACTAACTTAAGTTCTGTGATTTTTTCTTGCTTAGCCTGTGATCTGGTTTGCCATCGAACCTGTGCAGCTACGGGATTGCCCAAATGTAACGGAAACCAAAGAAAATCGAGTGTGGAATACTTGTCAATCAACGGTAAGCTTGAAACTAAGACTGAAGACACAGATTAGACTGGTTACCTGACCTCATATCACAAGCAAATATGAGGACAGGCAACGCCCTCGGCGATTCTGAAATCTGATTGGTTGCTATGGGCCTTTCCTGTAATGTGATTGGTCTACTTCTCCAGTACACTCCGTGTACCATGTCATGGAAAATGCAGTGCTCTATTCGTGTTGCTTGACTGTTTAAATTAAGTTGACGCCTAGGAAACCAGTCACTCTGTCAACGATGCGCTGACCATTCTCAGACTAAACACACAACCGTGAGAAATGTTGAGGCTGTGACCAGACCGGTGACGTCCCAAGTCCTCGGATTGCTTTGGTTACTATGCACTTTGCTAGTCCTTCCTTCCCTGTTGAAAATGGCAGCGATTTAAAAAAGATTCTGACATGATTTGATTGTTTTGCAGAGAGCGCCTTTGGCTCGGATTTACGTGAGCAGTTCCCCCTATCGCAACCAGCACCGACAATAGTCATCAAATGCATAGAAGCCATCGAACATCACGGTAAGTGCATTTGTAACTTTTTAATAATAATAATAATAAATGTGGCGCTTATATAGCGCTTTATACCAAAGGTCTTAAAGCGCTTTATTATCCCTGTTCATCAAACCATTTTTTTTTTGCAGCGGATCGAGATAATGCATTCTAGTCTCTACCTTCACAGGTATATGTTTATACTCCTGGGTGGAGAGAGGCAATTGTAGTAAAGTGTCTTGCCCAAGAAAACAAGCATCAGCGCAATCTGGTCTCCACCCTCACAGGTACCCATTTATACTCCTGGGTGGAGAGAGACAATTGTAGTAAAGTGTCTTGCCCAAGAACACAAGCATCAGCGCAATCTGGCCTCTGCCCTCACAGGTACCCATTTATACTCCTGGGTGGAGAGAGGCAATTGTAGTAAAGTGTCTTGCCCAGGAACACAAGTACAATGTTCCTGGTCAGGATTCGAACCCACGTACCACGGCACATGAGTCGAACACCATAACCATTGCACCACAGCGCTCCACTTTTTCAATCCCATTCTGGAAAATTAAAATCGAAATATTTTTTCACAGGAAATACCTGGGACCAATTTCTGATGGAAAAACATTTTTTCTAAGCAGGAAAATATTTGATTAGCCAAAACTGGTTACCAGCCGAAATGTCATGCATTGTTTACTGCCTTGCGACTGGTCCCCGGCTGATTTTAGCTCAGCATGAACATTTTTCAAGCAGAAATGTCTCAGCAAGTTAGGTTCAAGCCGCCTCGTTTTTACTTTCTTTCAGGTTTGGAGCTGCAGGGCTTGTATCGTCTCCCCTGCTCCATGGCCGAGATTAACGAAGTCAAGAACCAGTTTGTGGCCAATCCAGAAGCCGTTGACCTTTCCAGGGTCACCAACGTGCACTGCATCACCGGCGTACTAAAGCGGTACCTGCGAGAGCTGCCCAATCCGGTCATAGAGTTTGAGATGTACGACACCTTTATGTCGGCAAATCGTAAGTCGTGATCTTTTACTTTCAGCAGGTTTGCACTTTTAGATTTTCATAGAGATAAATTAGGGAAAAAGTGTGCTTCTCAGCTGTTGAGGCGAGTTTTCAAGAAATTTGGTCGAAAAACGTTTTGACCAATCACAGCCATGCATGTATGCGTGTCTTCATGTCCATGTGCAAAGTGGGTGTGGCTTATGGCCAAGTGTGGAACGAGAGCTTAAATTGCATTACTAAGTTACAAAAATGCGTAATGGAAATAAACATTTTTGTTTTTCTCAAACAGTTGAGCCGAAAGAAAGTTTGCGCATCACCAACTTACGGGAATGCGTGTCGCAGATGGAGTGCCACCATCACAGCACCCTGGCTTACATCATGGCGCACCTTTGTCGCATCTGCCAGCTGACGGCGGCCAATAACATCCACGCTAAACACCTAGCTTCAGTCTTCTGTCACATGCTATTACGACCGCCCCACAAAAAGATCATGTGAGTATTAAAAGTCATGTCACTGAATTGCAAACCCTAATAATTAAAATCAGTGAAGAGCAAAAGCCAACTTTAAAATTTCTTTAGAGGTTAGGTTGGGTTGGGTCGCACCTCAAATGGGTTGTGTTGGGTTGAGAGTGGGTTGTGTTGGGCTTGGGGTGGGTTGTGTTGGGTTTGGGGTGGGTTGTTTTGGGTTTGGGGTGGGTTGTTTTGGGTTAGGGGTGGGTTGTGTTGGGTTTGGGTTGGGTTGTTTTGGGTTTGGGGTGGGTTGTGTTGGGTTTAGGGTGGGTTGTGTTGGGTTTGGGGTGGGTTGTGTTGGGTTTGGGGTGGGTTGTGTTGGGTTTGGGGTGGGTTGTGTTGGGTTTGGGGTGGGTTGTGTTGGGTTAGGGGTGGGTTGTGTTGGGTTTGGGGTGGGTTGTTTTGGGTTTGGTGTGGGTTGTGTTGGGTTTAGGGTGGGTTGTGTTGGGTTTGGGGTGGGTTGTGTTGGGTTTGGGGTGGGTTGTGTTGGGTTTGGGGTGGGTTGTGTTGGGTTTGGAGTGGGTTGTGTTGGTTTGGGGTGGGATGTGTTGGGCTTGGGGTGGGTTGTGTTGGGTTTGCGGTGGGTTGTGTTGGGCTTGGGGTGGGTTGTGTTGGGCTTGGGGTTGGTTGTGTTGGGTTTGGGGTGGGTTGTTTTGGGTTTGGGGTGGGTTGTTTTGGGTTTGGAGTGGGTTGTGTTGGGTTTGGGGTGGGTTGTGTTGGGTTTGGGGTGGGTTGTGTTGGGTTTGGGGTGGGTTGTGTTGGGTTTGGGGTGGGTTGTGTTGGGTTTAGGGTGGGCTGTGTTGCAGTTTTTGATATTTGTAATTTTTCTCTGCAGGCATGTGATACATAATACAGAGGCTCAAAAGCGTCTACTAGCGACGTTAATAGAAGAGGGGGAATGGGGTGTGGATGATACTCGAAATGATGATAGCCCACCAGGTAGGAATGGGTTCAAATGGGTGGAGTTGGGTTGGGTTGAGTTTTGGGTTGGGTTGGGTTGGGTTGAGTTTGTTTCTGCATTCAATAGGGGACGTTGAATAATAGAGGACAATAGGGTACCCAATTCCTGAGAGGTCCCCAATTTGGATTTGTGTACAAAACATATAGGAGCTCTTCCTAAAAAGTTACAAACAAAAGGGGGACAATAGGGGGTCCCCGATTGCAGGCAAATACACACTTGCGTGGGTTGGGTTGGGTTGGGCTGGGCTGGGCTGGGCTTGGTTGGGTTTAGGAAGGGGATGGGCTGAGTTTGGGAAGGTGGGGTTGGTTTTTGGTTGTGCTGGGTTAGGATGGGTTTGATAAAGATGGGTTCATGGTCGGAGAACACAGTGTTTACCATGCCATATTTGGAAACTAATTTCCATTAAACACATTGATACATTCCTTGTTTTTTTGTTTTATCCCAATTTCTATCTAGAACCTCCACCTAGGCAACCAAGCAACGACTACGTGAATGAACCGAGAACAGTGGAAGAAGCAGACTGGTATTGGGGAGATATATCTAAGTAAGGTTTCATTCCAAATCACTTTATCATATTGGGAAATATCACCAAACATTAGTTTTAATTATTAGTCAATTTATTTTAATTCCTACACCAAAGGTTTGTACAAAAAAAAACATTTTTTAGTTGAAGGTGTTTGATGACTGTTTGTCTTGCTTTTAAAATATTTATATCCTCGATTCCCTTTCTTATTTTTTAGAGAGGACGTGAACGAGAAGATGAAGGACATGCCTGATGGAACGTTCCTCGTCCGAGACGCTTCTAACAAACAAGAGACGGGTGACTACACGCTAACACTCAGGTACTGAAACGAGGTCAATCAGAAGTCAAATCACAAGTCAATCGCAAGTCAATCACGAGTCAATCACGAGTCAATCACGAGTCAATCACGAATCAATCACGAGTCAGTCTCAAGTCAATCACAAGTCAATCACGAGTCAATCACAAGTAGATCACAAGTCAAACACAAGTCAAACACAAGTCCATCACAAGTCAACCTCAAGTCAATCACAAGTCAATCACGAGTCAATCACGAGTCAGTCACAAGTCAATCACAAGTCAATCACGAGTCAGTCACGAGTCAATCACAAGTCAATCACGAGTCAGTCACAATTCAATCACGAGTCAATCACGAGACAATCACGAGTCAATTAAGAGTCAATCGCAAGTCAATCGCAAGTCAATCACAAGTCAATCACAAGTCAATCACAGCTTAATCGCAAGTCAATCACAATTCAAATCACAAGTCAGTCACAAGTCAAATCACAAGTCGTCACGCCACACGTAGGACACTTTTTATCCCTCCAAGGAAAGCTTCAACTTCCAAAACACACAATTTTTTTGTTTTGTTTACAGGAAAGGTGGCAGTAACAAACTGATCAAGATCTGCCATCGCAGCGGTCTGTACGGTTTCTCGGAACCGCTGCGTTTCGCGTCCGTGGTGGAACTGATCAAACACTACCGGCACGTGCCGCTTGCTCAGTACAACGCTAAGCTGGATATCAAACTGACCATTCCCATCTCCAAGAAAGATGCGGTAAGTCAGCCAAATTTATTCATGATAAACAAATTTCAATCATAAATGCAAAATTCATTCATAATATGCAAATTAATTCATAATATGCAAATGTATTCATAATATTCATTATTCAACAAAGAAATTGCCTAGAGTGGGGTTTGAACCTGCGATCTCTGGAACACAGCACAGGTGTCACATAAACACATTCTGCTAAGCGTGAAAGAGATTTGCCTAGCAAAAACAGGTCACCAGCCAAAGTGCCATATCATTTATAGAACTATTAACTGGTACCCGGCTAAATTTTGCTTAGCACAAAAAATTGGTAAACAGTGTTGTCAGCTTAGTACTTTTGTGAAATTGGACCGTGGTGGTGAATCAGCTTAGCTTTCCGGCGCGTTGATGCAAACTTAGAAAAATGGCAGTCGGGGTCACTCAGAGAGGATGTGGTCTCTGCCACAAATCGTCAAACAAACCACAACAAGGAAACTGACTTAGGTTGGATGTTAATCACGGCACTCAGATTACCGAGGCCTATTCATGGATTTATACCGCTTCATTTTTGTATTTTCTTGTTCGAGATTCACGCACTCACTTTTTTTTTTACACTTTTCATATTTTTTTAATTGTATTTTAGTTTGTAGAAGACATGCCGGAAAGCAACATTGACATTGTCATCAACAAGCTGAAAGATAAGAACAAGGAATATCTGGAGAAGACCAAACAATATGACGAGCTATACGAAGAGTACAGTAAATCGCTGCAGGTATGTTACTCAGTCGGACTTGTATAGGGTGTGCGCTTGAACCATTGAGGGCAGTGTGTAACCTACATGCTGTACAGTACACTTGATTTTTAGACTGAATTGGCTCCATATCTCAGTAGACCAATGGCATGCTATCAATTCCATCACGATGGCCCCCTTCAATGGCGAATGCATTGTGCTAGCTATTGTTCAGATAATCCATCATGGGGCAGTTGCTTTGTACAATAGTGCACCCAATGGTTTCTCCATTGATGGGGGCCTCGTATGTGTACATTTATCATGTGCCCTGATTCGTCTACAGACAAACTGTACTACACGTCTGCAAAATCATTATTCTTATTTATTTTTAGGAATAACAATCTCTGGCAAATTTAAAAAGCATGACAGTTAAATTAGTGACCATGCTGTCCATTCAAGGTAGCATAAGTACCTGGTACTTGGTTGGTTCTTCTCCTAAGGACTTCCACAAGGGAGAATAACTAGGAGGCCAGAAACACCGGGGCAAACCCCTTCTCTTAGCGATAAGTGTTACTAGGTTCTTTTACGTGTGTTAGGCCTTATACAACACACGGGACCTCCGGCTTAACGTCCCATCCGAAGGACGAAGCAATAATGGTTAAGTACCTTGCTTAAGGGCACAAGTGTCTGGGCCCGGGCTCGAACCCATGCCACTGTTGCCTCTGAAACACCAGAGCATGAGTCCGGTGCTCTTAACCTGTAGGCCATGACAATCCACAAAGCAGTTTGAATTGGTTCCCATTGCTTATTGGTTAATTTTGTTCTCATTTCCCCCCCCCCCCCCACGACCCACCCACCTTCCAACAGAGCATCCAGCTACAGCGTCAAGCGCTCGAAGCCTTCAACGAAACCATCATCGTCTATACTGAGCAACAAGAGCTCCACGAGCGCTACCACAAGGACTGCCTCCCCCAGGAAAGGGAACAGCTCATGGAAAACTTCCGCTTGCTCCAGCAACGCCTCAGGGACATCGTCTCCAGGCGCAAGGCCCTCGAGGAGGAGCTCAAAGCAGAGGTGGATAAGAACCGGGAACGGGACCGGACTATGAACAGCATTAAACCTCTCATTCTTGACCTGCGCAAGCTGCGGGACCAATACGTCATGTGAGTGCCAAGAAACTTCTTCTTCCTTCTCCCTTTAGCGACAGACAGTCACCTCTAAATATCTTGTAGTTCTTTCGTGGTAGTAAAAAAGTAGTGCCCCTAGTAACTGTGACAGTTTATGTTTTCTGTGAATGAATGGAAGCAAGATTGCTTGCCCAACTGTTGCCCCAAAATGAAACTATTTTGCTATGGTACTCTTCACTACCCCCAAGCCACCCACAAATGAAATCCTCTTTCGTTAAAATATGAAACGGAGTCAGTAAATATATAATTATTTTGTAGGTTTCGATCATTGAGCTAACTAAGCTCCTTCCCTCCCTTCGAAAATGGTAGAAATGCGCAATTTCTTTGAAATATATCTTACATCAACATCTGATGCTTGTAGTACATTTGCTTGTTGCCCACATTTTTTGCACTACGCTATTAAATTTCTTTGTATACTCTGCGTCATACGGTAAGAGTAGTGTTACGCAAAAATGTGTTGTTATGACAACAGCTCAGATTACACAATGGGGGAAGGAGGGGGAATAGAGTTGGAGGATGTTAGGGAAAACGATTTGAAAGTTCTTGAGATACATTTTGCAGAAACCAATATTAAACTACCACACTTCTTTGTGTAATGTACAAAGTACTCTGTGTTTTATTTTGCAATTGTCAGGAGTTCCGTCCAGTTCTTTTCAGAACAACACATACTCACAACAGAGATTTACCACATGGTGCTACCGCAAACCACTTCGTATTTTAAAATTGTGTCGATGGCAAAGTACCAACATAGTGCGGAAGTGGGAACGCAGTGGCTAATTTTTTTAACATTTTTTTCGGTCCAAGTTTGACAGTTGCTTGGTATATCTGGCAAAATGAACATGCAGCATCCAGGGACGTCAAAAGTGCACAAGACCCCTTTCTGATTCAGTGTGTTCTCTTCTTTGAGGTTTGGCGTTGTCAAACCCAAACAAATATCTGACAAGTTTGTTTTGAATTGATTTCGGCACCGTTAGGATGGAATAGACCATTAAGGAATTTTATATACATGTAAACAAAAAAAGTAGAGAAAAACTAGGATGACAAATATATTACTATCCATAAAAATATAAAAAGATTTAAACAATGAAAAATACCATTTTACTATTAAATTATTCACAAGATACCACTACGCAAAATTAATATACATGTACATGTTTGCTAACAGTTTGGGAAACAAGTTAAAAACAAGGTTCGTGACCATGTGGGCAATGAAGTTAAATAAGCTTGCTTAAAAAAATGTGTTTTGAGCCCTGATTTTGCTGACACTCAACTTCTCCGAGGGTAAATATGAAGTTTATTCCACTCCTGTGGGGCAACCAATAAGAAGGCTCTGTTACTGCACATGGACAACTTAGTCATAGGACAGTGCAACCTCATTGTGTCTTGAGATTGGCGAGTGGTTCTGCGGGAAACATCTCTCGTTAGGCAAATGATTCCATTCAAGTAGTTAGGACACTGACAGTTGATACATTTATAAACCAACAAACATAGCTTACACATAATTCAGTACTTAACAGGAAGCCAGTGAATTTCCTTGAGCACTGGTGTAATGTGATCAAACTTCCTGCTACTTGTGAGAATCCTGATACATGTATCATCTTACAGGCTTATGGGTATAAATGCCCTTGAAACATTGATACCGACTTTTGCCAACTCATTGCCTCACATTACAACTGTTGGATTTGGTATTCGACCAGTATTCCTCTTCATTTCAACATCCAGATTCATAAAAAAAGATTGGAATTTGTCACGGTCTTTTTGGTCATTTGTTACTGCCAATTTTCATTTATTTTTAGACTAGGATATCAAGGCTTTTGCTTAATCCCCGCCACGATATCGCCACAGAGTACCAAGGACTAGGCAGTGGGCCAACACGTCCCCCCTCCCCTGTCTCTCTTGCCCCCTCCCCCTGGCTGTGACTCATTTTATCCCTTCAAGGTCCTTAGGCTGCTTCTGCTAAGCCTCAGCATAGTCCGGATATGTCAGGTGCTGCCGGTTTTAATACAGCGAATCGTTGTGGCCATTGGGCACGAGATTTACGCATGCTTAGATAACCCTCCAATTTGTGGTGACACCATTTGGCACACGTGCGCGAGTCACTGTCCAAACGTCACCTAGCTTCTTTGCAATCTTTATAAGCTTCACAAATTCCAGTGGCTAAACAAACGTATAAAAGGCGACAAATTGATGTGGTTTGGCAGTATTCCATTATCGAGTGGACTTCAAAGAACCGAGTTGAATGTGAACTTTGATTTGCTGTGTGTGTTCAATAATAGTTCCGTGAATAGTTGGAGTAAGGTTTAAATTGCTGTTTACTGATTCTGGAGAGTACCTGGAATTTCTAGAAATGGTTTTAAAAATGCATCTTTGGAAGAAGTGACTTGTGATGAGTACATGTAAGTTTCCATATTAGGCCATGGTAGGAAATGTGGACATTTTGCCTCATGTGGCTGTCCATACAGTTTTAATTTACATCACTATTGTCTGCATTACGTGTTTTGTGTGAGTTTCAATGTAATGGTTATGTACAATTTTTATTATCTGTACCCCGGTAGCTTATGTCATTTTTTAGGGGTGTTGTATTACTATGGATGGATTTACCATTTTTTTTCAGTTTTTAATATTGTTTAATCAACTGTTCGGTCATTAATTCAGAGAGCTTGAAATTCATCCCCCCCCCCCCATTTTCTGTGTTTTACATCTCTACAATACAATCTTTCCCGTTTGTGATGATAGAACACCGGTCTGGTATTGTGAAGGTTGGAGGTTCGAACTCCTCTTGTTATATTTGTCTCTGTTTTCATTGGTTAATCATGCAGGTGGCTAGGAGCTAAAGGCGTCAAACAAGAAAAGATCAATGCATGGCTCAGCATGGAGAACTTACAAAAGTGAGTACAGCTAACAAAAAACACCTGCAAAGTATGGCATGCAAAAATGTACAAAATACAAAATAGTATTTTTGTCTAGGTCTGGACAAAAAAATTGTTCCATATCTTGAGGAGTTGCCTAGAATACAGTGCCAAACCTTTTGTAAAACTGGAAGATACTAAACATATCATCACTTTATTTTCAAAAAAGCCCTGTTCCACATAAATGGACTGAAATATTTCAAGTATTTTTTTTAAAATTATGTTTATACTATTTATACATACTAAATATGTTATTTATTTGTGTTAGGACAAGGATGAGAGAAACTTGGCTCTAAATCCGCAAAGTAACCAAGTGAGCCAAGTTGTGTTAAGAATATTCACATATTACCAATTAGTTATCACAAGGATCACATCCAAATTAGCATTTTTCTTTTGTTACCAGATGTTTATTATTTTCTTTGCACTTATGTTCCTTCATTGTTCAACTAGAATTGTGAAGCTATGCACATTTTTGACCACCCCCTCCTTTCTGTGACTTGGGATAATTACCTAGGCTATTATTATTCTTTTTGAATTGTTGTCACAGTTTTTAACGAAAATCCATTTGGAAGTTTGCACTATTTGACCCAGCACTGTTGATACCATCTGCAATACAGCACTTTGGCCATTTGTAGAAAAGTTTAACATAATTTCTATGCCCCCCCCCAAAAAAAATGAAATTTAAAAGAATTGAGAAAAAATTAAAAAGGCAAATGTTGACCCAACTAACACTTCATACACACTCAACTCATTTTGAAGGCACTTTTGTATTCTTGTTCGTGAATTGTTATCAGTAGGGACTAGGACAGTAATAAATAACTGTTATTTAATAATACCAAGTCCGTCATGGGTTGAAGTTGCACTTTAGAAATATTGTAAACTCTTTATTGTAAACTCACAAGCTCTTTGACAGCTTTTAGTACTCACAAAACTTAAATTTGTTAAGAACAAAATAATGTTTCAAAATTATACTACAATTTGACTAAAGTTTGCTGTTATATTTTCGGTTTTCTCATCACAGTGAGCAGATGACAGATTCATCCTCCCTCCCACACCATAACGAGAATCTCTGGTTAACTCCATCAGTATCGAGAACAGAGGCTGAGAAGCTACTATGGGGTAAGGCCAAGGGAACGTTCCTGGTTCGTAACAGCAGTCATCCGGGCGACTGGGCATGCTCTATCGTGTAAGTACACGCGGAAATGAAATCTTGCATCGTTAATTTGGTGTTCTTTAGCTTAGTACCATACTGGGATATATAATTGAAGATAGGACTTGTACCAAATACCCTGTGAAATTGAAATTGTATCATTCATAAGAAAACAGTAATTGCAGGTCGTTTTTTTTTAAATTTGCCTGCGGGCACAGTTTTTGTTACATGTATTAGCAACGGAATAATACAAAACCCCAAAATGTATAGTAAAGCTGAAACTTCAACAAGTTAATTATACACCCTTAAAATAGAAAAAAATTGCGGGTAACACCATGTGGAAGAAATATCTTCTTGGAAGAAGTGTTGTTCTGAGGATGGGCAGAGCACACTGTCCGAAACGTCCAGTTCTACACTCAACCAACTGGTTCTTTTCAGAACCACATTTCTTCCAAGAAGAGATTTCTTTCCACATGGTGTTGCCCGCAATTTTTCTATTTTATCTCATCCGCCATGCAAAGCTTGAAGTCATATATAATTATACACCCTTCTTAAGATTTGGAGCAGTTTTGTTGCTTCATACGAAAAAAAAATGAACAAAAAGCATGATCCTATAGACCTTTAAGATTTTAATATTTGTTGCTAAAATTTTGTTTCCATTTCAAAGGCATTACAATTTAAGGACAAGTTTTACTTGTTATATTGTACAAAATGTGACAATTTTAAACATTTGTATTACGATGTTTTGTGATAAGTAATGGCAATTGGAAAAGAATACATATTAAGATTTTGAATTTATTAAGGGGTAGAAATAGGATCGCAACAGGAATATTTGAAGCTTTGGCCACATTTTGAGATTAAAATTTGTATGGATTTGTCTTTTTTTGTTTCCCTAGTGCTAAAGATCACGGCGAGGTTCGCCATTGCAAGATCAACCATACTCAGACCGGCTACGGCTTTGCTGAGCCGTACAATCTCTACAGTTCACTGAAGGAGCTAGTCCTAGCCTATCAGCAAAATCCGCTGACCCAACACAACGAAGAGCTGGACACGAAGCTATCATATCCGGTCCACGGTCCCCAACCCACGGACGTCCCACGGTGATGCTTAGAGGTCCAAGGGTAAAGGTTGTGATTTTTATTGATGTGCAAGAAAAATGTCGTGTAGTATCTGCCTGTTGTTATGTGTAAAGATCTTAAATTGGGGATAGGATGGAGTATCGGAGAACAGTGGTATATTACTTATTAGTGACCCAGAGAGGTGAACAATATGTTAATATTGTATGGCAATTTCTCCAAGCGTGATTTCTGTCAGATATAATGAATGAATTAGATTATTTCCAAATGTATTAAACTTTCTTTTTTATTCGAAGGAGCAACATAACCGGAACTTTTGGAAGAATATTACCAAATGTCCCTAAATATTCTGCTACGTCTAATGGGGGGAAAAAAAAACGGTTTTAAGTTGACAATCAGCCTAGAGTCTTGTGCCCAGACCCATTATCAGTTACCTAACACTCTCCACAATGGCTCTCCAGGTGCACTAGTCTTGAGGTCAATGCACTAGGCATACGCTGTAATTCGATAAAAGTGTTCAGTGCACATGTCCTCTATGATACACAGTAGTTCTCTGATTAGAGAAAAAAAATTATATGGACGCTAGCTTCAGCATACAGTTATCGCAGTTGTGTTGCACAACAATCAAGAATAGAGCGCCCCCTGGAATTAGCGCGCAGAGCAGAATCGCAGAATCCACCGGTTTTACTCTTCGACTGGTTTATTTAACGTTGCATATCTCTAACTATTGAGTTTTTGAAAGTCTTTCTTCGCCGTTTGGCACTTATTAGCCACATCTATAAGCTTGGTTTAGAGATGTAAAATCAATTTTGGGGGGATATTTATGTGTAAATGTTGAAGATGTTGTCAGAAGTTAGCTCAGCGGAAAAGAAAGAAAAAACCTGGTATTGAATTTTTATGAAAGAGTGCTTGGATCAACAGTGGAATGCCTTTGCAAAAAAAAAGACTTTAAAGGCAATTTGTAAATTGGAGTATATCTGAAGTTTTAACAGTTAATACTCCTGCAAAAACTTTGCATCAATGGCCAAATGTGTTTTCGTTTGAGGCAAAGTAAACCCCCTTTCAAAAACCTGGGGTTGGGGTATAATTATGAGATGGTGTTTACAGAAACGCAATTTTTTTTTGAAAGTGGAGTGATTGCAGCTTAAAAGCAGATTGGAGCTTAGGAGACTTGGCCAGTTGAAATTAAGGTCTTGTTTATTCTTTATTGTTTTGTGTTTTTTTTACAAAATGCCTCAGATTATCACCGTGCATTCCATACTGAGCGTACATGTACATGTAATTAAAAAAAAAGTTACGTAACAAAAATTCCAGGTTTTGTTTTGTAACTAAAACCTCTTGGATTGTATATAAAAGGGTAAAATTGATGATAATAATAGTCGTAAAAGTGTATATTTTTCTTGTCTTGCTCTGCAAGCCTTTATTGTTTTTTTTCGTAACCCCTGTCTTTGTTCCTGTCTGTATATTGCAATTGTAGTTAGAATTGTAAAAAGGTCTTCAAAATGAAATTTGGAAAAATTACAAAAAGAAGGTGCTCTTGATAACGTTAACAAATACTTCATATTATTCTAACGACCAAAAGTTGTGTATTTAAACGATCTGTTGGAGAAAATTCAACATTTGGTCCAGCTTATGTAGAAAATGTAGAGGGAAATAATATTTGTACCCAGTTGAAAAAAAAATTCTTTTTTTTCTAAAAATCTAAAAATGAAATGGCATATAATTTAAGGCTTACAAAAACCTTTACACTGGTTCCCCAATAGTGGCTGTAGAAAGCTTTTCAATTTGGCAGGGTACCAGTTTGCAAGTTTCTAAACAGAGACAAACCATTCAAACTTGTATTTGTACTTAGCTATTTTTTTGTGAGTGACTGTTCACAACTTTATTTTTGTATTTTCCCCAAAAGAGGTTATCTAATAACCAGACTTTAGGAGTTTGTACGAACAGTGTACTTTTTTAAAGGGATTTCTTTCAAACGTCCTATGGGCGGGCCGTCACTGTTTTATGGGGAAGCATTTTATTGTCAGGCCAGGGAACCAGACTAGCTGGCTTGCGCCCGTTCACGGATGTGTAACCAATTGCACAAAAAAAATGGGGACTCATTAAATTTGGTAAATTGGGGGCAGTATTTGATGTAAAAAAAGTCCACTTTTCTTGAAAATGACAGCACACCAGGTGCCATGATTTCACAGGATGCTTGAGATTATTATCACTTGCAGTCCTGTCAGATATTTCTTAATATTTATTCTTTTTTGATGTTTGCAAATGTCATTTACATGTATTATCTTTAAAACAAAAGAACAGAGTGTTTCCGTTCAGGAAATTACAAATTAACGCCAGCCTTGCTTTTCTAGGAAACCAAACATTAAAAAAAAAAAATTGAGAAATTGCAACTATCAGTTTTGGCAGTTGACCTCAACCGGGGAAGTTTGAACTGAACTGAAATATGCTAACCAGCATTTTGCTAAGTACATGTTTATAGAGATTTAATCAGCATTAACCGGTTACCAACCAAGAAGTGTAATTCACAACGCCTGCAACTGGTACTCGGTTGATCTTCAAAAAGCAAGTTGTTTTTTAAGCAGTATTTTCTATGTACAGATTTCACGATACTGCTGTTCGCACTAATCACGTTGAGCTCTTTGTTCTTAAGCAGCAGCTCATGTCATTAGTTTGTCAAGCTTTTCGTGTAACCACGTTTTTTGTACTTTATGGGGATAAGCATGCAAGCCCAACGTTTTAATCAATGTTCTGTCATCAGATACTCAGAAGACACATTCTTCTATGCAATTATTTTGTGCATAGTGTAATTTCGCAATGGTTGTCTGAAAATATCTTTTCAGAAGTGGTTTATTTTTGTGTGTATAAAAAAACTGACTGTATAAAAAAAATGTTTGTGATATTTAAAGATGAAGATCACATGCGCTAATAAAAAGGTTTGTGATATGTATATATTTTCCCCAGGGTCAGTGCGTGGTAAAAAGCTCGGAAAAGTCTTAGATTGTCTAGGTGTTTGCAGGAGTGCGAGAATTTTGTAGAAAAAAATCAAATGAAAATGTATGATTACAATGAAATCAGATATGAAATCAAATCGAATTATACTCACAAAAGTTGTAAAGACTCAAACTGAAAAGAATATTTTGAGGAACTTTTCAATTTTGAAATAAGAATCTTCATTCAGATGAATATCCAGTCATCTGTGGAGTTTAGATATTTAATTTATTTTGAATTCAGGTGATTAAAAAATATGAAATTTAAATGATCGATTGAAAAACTTGAAGATAAAAATTGTTTTAGTTGCATTAAATTTAGTATACTGGCAACTTGTCTATTTAACTTCATTGTTTGAAATGGGCAATTCCATAAATTTGGACGTACATGTCAGACACTTTAATGAGCTGCTGTTGGAAAAGTGAATGTGATACATCACTAATAATGTGACATCTAATTAGTAGAAAACAGTTACTAATCAAACTAAGGTACCACCACCTTAACGACCTTGTACATCATGTGGTCGGATGCATGCAGAGAATTGGATTTTACGGAATTGCCCAGATGTAAACTATGAATGGAAAGGGTTTTTAACCCGTCTTCTTTTCACTGACAAAATAAATCAGGCAAGAAGTTTCATGCTTTAAATTATTACAAATGTTATTTAAAAAATAAAATCAGTCCTAACAAAGAAATGCAAGAGAACCCCAAAAGTGTAAAAAAAAAAATGAAAGTTTTACAAGTCGTTTCTGCCAGCAATGGCCCGAAGTGTTAAATTAATATGTATAGTCATAGTGCTTAATATTCTGAATACAAACTATACTTTACTAATAAAAAAGTCCATGATTTCGTACAAATGTGGAGATGGCTGTGTTTCTTTTTGTAGTTTTTCTTGACTTTCTTTTTTAATTAAAAGTTTCTTGAAATAACATTCAAGTAACCGAGGCTAATTTATTGAAAGGCATTGAAACTATTTACTGGAGAGTCTTAAAAGTTCACGCACTGAGTCCAATTGCACTGTAGTCTGTTCTGGTGTTAAGGTCGTCAGTCTAGGGTGATATTACCCAAGTTGCCTTTTCGGAAGGATTTAATCATGTGCGCAGCCGCTGCGTTTATGTCGGGCCTTGGGACGACCGAACCTGTGAGAGCACAGAAAATGGGAAAACAAACATGATTATTTCTACCGGAATAAAGCTTGTCTCCTATTTATGTATCAAAAATCCTTTAGTGTTACACAGCTTTACTATATATCATCGAAGGATTCAATTAAGGAATATAGAAATCGATATCACCTTCGGCTGTTTTCATGCGGGTAATCTTGTTCAGTTTCTTAGCGATCTGTGTCAATACGTCCATGATGTCATCGCTTGGGCCTCCCAGCTCATAAAATTCTACGTATCTGCATGAAAAGCACACCACCATTTATAGCGAATAATTCAACAAGTCCAACTGTAGTTGGGAACACTGGAGCTGGGCACAATCTGTCACTGTAGACGGATCTCTGAGTGATCCCCATTTGCTATTTCCCAGGTTTGCAGCATTGCCAATGTTGCTAGCATCGTGACTTTGGGCGTGATCCCTGGCTACATGGCATATACAGGTTTATGGCTTCTGACTAGCACCCCTTGAACAAAGACATTGACAAAATGGGGAACCGCCAAAATAGGTCTGAAAAGCTCAGTGAGTAGAGCACTGGAATAGCAGTCCACAGGTCACAGGTTCAAACCCCACACCAGTCAAAGGGTGGTCAAAGTAGCCAACCTGATATGAATCGTACCTGTTGTGGTTGTATCTGTTGAGAACGTACAGCAGGTAGTCTGCAATGATGTCGGTTCCCACAGCGTGGTCTTGCAATGTTCCTATAGGAAAGGTACATACTTAACTCGTTATACCCTCCTTTTACAGACTAGTCAAAGACTTAATCACAGAAACAAACTCTTTGAAGTTGTTACTCAGGTAGCAAGCAATTATGTTCTTGCCAGATCAGCAATGTTTCCATCAAACTAAGTTTATGATTTTTTGGGGGGAGGGGAGAGGCGGAGTTTGGGGGAAATGGGGGGGGGACTATTTCATTGATTGATCTTACCACACAGTGCCAATTTCATGCCGACCTCAACGTCTTTGACAAACGGGGTCATGATCCCCGGCGTATCAAGCAACCAGATTTCTGGCCTTTCGCTTACCTTGAAGGAAATAGAGAAAAAACAGTCACTGCTTCAACAGATTAACTGTAATGTTACACACTTTCAAAAGTATGCAATTGCAATAATTATTGGCATTGGCAGTTGAACAAAACCTTGATACTTTAGTGGCACTAAAAATTCTGCTTTAAAGACTCATGACTTACTTTGATTTTGTGCATGACAGATCTAGTCACTCCAGGCCTTACGCCTACTGGTGTCGCTTTGCCTGTTGGTAAAAAAAAAAAAAAAGTCGAAAACAAATCAATTTTCTCGTTAACCCCTTTAGTCCCTGCACTGCACAAACTGTCCTGCCTGTTACTCCCTGTACCGCCCAAAACCGCCCAGCACCGTGTGGTTTTATGGATTCAACAAGGAATAAATACAATGTAATACAATGTAAAACAATGTAATACAATGTGATATAATGTAATACAATGTAATACAATGTAATACAATGTGATATAATGTAATACAATGTAATACAATGTAATACAATGTAATACAATGTAATACAATGTAATACAATGTATACAGTGTAATTCAGTGTAATACAATGTAATACAATGTAATACAATGTAACATTGTAGTACAATGTAATACAATTTAGTACAGGTGCTAATTGTTTTAAGGAATTAAGACAATTCATAACCACCTTTATTAAGGTATATCCTTCTCATAGCATTGATGAGGGAAGATTTTCCGACGTTAGGAATACCGATGACCATCACTGACAATTCCCTTTCCTCACAACGGTGATAACGATCGCTGCTTTCTATCAGTTCAATCACCCGGGGAACCACCTAGACCAGAACCCAATACAACAGCAGAATTAGAAGTGAGTCAACCAGGACTGGAGCCAGAGACCCGCAGAAATGGTGGCCAAGTGCTCCAGCAACTAAGAAATTATGTGTTCCATAGGTGGCTTTACTGGAAAACTTTGAACTTTTGAATGGCTACAACCTTAATGTTAGGTTGAATATAAAATAGTATTTCATACTTACATTTTTTACACTTGGGCTGCGTTGTCCAAGGCACTCCGTGTATAAGATATTTTCGACCCCCTCTTCTTTTAACCGGTTTCGAATTTCCTGAAGATGAAACAAACAATACAAGTCAAAAACTAGAACTTCTACAATTCAAAAGCTTGATGAAGGCTGGGGGGGGGGGAGGGGTGTCCTATAATGGGACTTGTCATTTGTTTGTGACTGACTTGTGATTGACTTGTGACTGACTTGTGACTGACTTGTGACTGGCTTGTGACTGACTTGTGGTTGACTTGTGACTGACTTGTGACCGACTTGTGACTGGCTTGTGACTGACTTGTGATTGACTTGTGACTGACTTGTGACCGACTTGTGACTGGCTTGTGACTGACTTGTGACTGGCTTGTGACTGACTTGTGACTGACTTGTGACTGGCTTGTGACTGACTTGTGACTGACTTGTATCTGACTTGTGACTGACTTGTGACTAACTTGTGATGACTGCGACTCACTTGTAACTCACCTGTGAGGACATTACTACCAATCTGGAAATACTCACGCTTGTTCTGTGTGGTGTGGTATCAGCCAGATCTTTCTTGTTCAGGATCAGGAGATGCGGCCTGACGGCAAAGATGTCCTTAAACATTGGGTTCCTACCGGCAAAAGGGATCTGGGTGAAAAGAAAAAAAAACAGAGTCAAAGTATGGACCATGTGATGCATTTCAAACATGTTTTAAAATTCACCTCTAACTTCTTGGGTATACATTTTTGTAAAACGTCATAAATCCTCCAAATCCACACAATGCAGTAATCATTTGGCACAATGTTTGTACTCTTGAAATGTGATTGTTATGTTATTGTTAAAGCAACATTTTTGGTATTATTATTTCTCATACATACCCTGGCATCATGAACTTCAACAATGCAATCCACATTCCGTAGTGAACTGCGCATTCGCTTGAGTCCTACCAGAAAAAAAAGAGGACAATAAAAAAATAACGCAACACAACTCATCGATCCAGTCATAAGTCAAGTCACAACAAGCTAAGCAAATGAACTATTATTGTTGATCCCGTGGAAAAAATTCCATACTCGGACGTCACTTTTTTCAATTAATTTTCTAGCGCCAAAAGTTACATCTTTTATGGTTATTCCTCCACTTTCCCTCCTCCACTCTCACCCTCTCCTTTCCTTAATTTCTATTTATTAATCAGTCAGTTACTTCATCGGGATTCGAACCTCTGACGCTTGCTTGACACACGAGACTCTTAACCGCTAGGCCGCGCACGATCGCTGTTGCAATAATCAATCTTTGGACGTATTTGAAGTATCCATTGAAATAAACTAAATATTCATGAGAAAATAAATATTCATAATGACGTATTGCACTATCATTGGCAGGCTCATGCGACGTCATGGTTGTTGATGTCACGTGTATAACGTACCGCTGTCTTTCAGCCACTACAATCAGTTTTGACCGGCTGCTTCAAGTTAGTTCTGCACGACGTATGCATCCAAAATGTGCTCTAAAAACACATTTTGAGTAAATTTTTTTCACCTTAACACAGCTTCCTGGATTTCTCTTGGTTCAAATGACAAGGTGAGGTGACAATTAATATGTTTGGCAGCAGATAAATTGGCATCCGAGTATGGAACTTTTCCCGATCCCGTTACTTGAGACCAAACTTCCGCTGTACTCGTGATCCATCACAAAAACAAACATCAAAACATCACTGCTGTTTGTTTGTTTGTTTGTTTACCTCTGGCCATGTGTGACGGGAACCAGTGAGTCAGCTCCTTACTCCCAAAGTTAAAGAACTCACGGAAGAGCCGTCCCATCGAGTTGGTTCCCTGCCCTGCCATACCAGCGATGCCGGCCGGGCAACGGAATTGATGTTTCCAAGTCTTGAAGATTTACATGCGGTCCACATCTAGTTAAATACACAGGTGTCCATGACTGTGAAGAACATAATGAAAAAAAGAGAAAATAATTATAAATTCAAATAAGAATGTTATGCAAATATCCATTTGTCCACCCCCCATCTATTCTAATCAATGCCTCTCCCCTTTGTTTACAATTAAGCCAACTTCAGTCAGCAGCATGCTTGACTCAGTTGTCAACCAGATTTACATATTTCTGAAACATATCGACAATAGTATAATTCAGCTTCAGTCCATAATCCACAAATGAAAGAATTAACAAAAAAGCAAAAAAAGTTATGCCATCAATGCATCATGCTACCTGCCCAAGTTTTCAGAACAGTAAATGTGCTTGTTTCTACCTCTTGAGGGCGTCACCACATAATAACACACCCAGTTGCGAATAGCTTGCAATTTGCGAATGGGTCTTTTCGTCCTGTGTTCGTGGGAGTATTAAAATTTGCAGCACCATTTCACTGGTACGTTGCACTCAATTTGTACGCTTTTTGAGGGGTAGCGTACCAGCGAAATGAAGATGAGACGGAAATTTCCGAAGCGCACCGAGTTTCAACATGGATGGGCTTTCTTTGTCATGACGGGAAAGTGAACATTTCATCGTCATTATTTCACGTAAGAATGGCCTTTTGATATTGAAAATGCATGTGTAAAAAAAGTTGAGTAAGCAAAGTTATTCGTGCAGATAATATCTGTTGTTCATATTGAATTTATCGAAGGGAAATTCAAGTTTCTTTTTGAGCTCTGCAAAAGTGCAATTCTTTGTTCAGTGAGGCCGACAAGGCCGATATGCAATACGTTGTGCATGCAGTCAACAAGGGAAGAATTCATGTTTATTGGTTTATTGGTTTAGCCATGTAACTTTGTACGAAGTGGCTATCGTTACGGCACTCGTTGTTTAGCGCCCTCTACGATATTTTTTTGATACGCACGCAGGTATATAATTATTTGTTTCCCCACGTTTTATCGAGCAGTGCGCCAGCTCAGCCGATAGAGGGTAGAATTTTGCACCGCGAGGTTGCGGGTTCGAATCTCAGTTTTGCACTCGAATTTTTTTCCTTTTCTAACCTGAGGCTTTGGAGGATTTTTTTTAAAAGGGAAATAAAGTCCGAATTTCATAAAGTTCAAATTCACTTTTTTCCTTCTAATTTTATATTTTCTTGTCATGTTTTTTTATAAAAGTTGCCAGGTTGCAGTCTACCGTAACGATAGAAAATGGGAAATGCGTTACGGCTGCCGTAACAATAGCCACTGCGAACTTTGTAAGAAGGGCATGGATTTGAACAATAATTGACAGACATGACAGTCAAAATGTTCACTTCGGTCATGTCAGTCACATTTTAAATGTTATGATTTGTTTTCATTAATTTTAATTTTCGCAGTGGCTATCGTTACGGCAGCCATAAAGCATTTCCCATTTTCTATCGTTACGGCCTACTGCAACTTTTATAAAAACATGAGAAGAAAATTTCAAATTAGAAGGAAAAAAGTGAATTTGAACGTTATGAAATTCGAACTTTATTTCCCTTTTAAAAAAAATCCTCCAAAGCCTCAGGTTAGAAAAGGAAAAAACTTCGAGTGCAAAACTGAGATGCGAACCCGCAACATCGCGGTGTAAAATCTTAGTATCTTACCCTCTATCGATTGAGCTGTCGCACTGCTCGCTAAAACGTGGGGAAACAAATAATTATATACCTGCGTGCGTATCAAAAAAGTATCGTAGAGGGCGCTAAACAACGGCTGCTGTAACGATAGCCACTTCGTTTAATTTTTATCATTTTATTATCATTCTGACATTGTTTTTGTCAGACTGACAATGACTGAACAGATGAAGGCCTAGTTGATGAACTATTTTACAAATCCTAAGAATTTTTAAAATATCAATCACGTGAAAGTTAAATTTTCTGTTTTTCATGCCTCATGGTAATATTTCACACTCATCACAAACTGAAAAGGTGTTGTTCACAATACTTTCATTTTGTTTGTCTTGATATTTCTATTTTTATAGCCTGAACTTGATGGAAGATGTCTGATGAAGCCATGGCAGTCTCGAGTCCCATGCAGGACTCTCTTGCCGACTTAGCCTCAATGCCTGCACCAGGACAGATGGCCGAACAGTCCCCGCTGCCGTCGCAACAAATGCCGGCCCCATCACCGATGTCACAATCAGGCATGCCCATGGAAAGCCCCCGCCCCATGCCCACGCCTAGCCCTAGTTCCATCCATGGTGGATCGATCGCTAGCCCCATGGGTGGCCCCATCCAAAGCCCTATGGCTGGCCCTGTTATGATGCATGCTAACAGCCCCATGGCCCAAATGTCACCAATGCCTAACCCTAACACCATGCCAGGACAGTCACCGATGCCGCCCAACCAAAGCCCAATGCAGCACCATCAAATGCCCATACAGCAGCAACAGCATCAAGGCCAGATGCCTATGGGAAACCAGGGAGCCATGATGAGCCAAGGACCTATGGGCAGCCAGGGTACTATGGGCAACCAAGGCCCGATGATGAACTTGAGCGCGACGGGGAACCAGGGAGGCATGGGCGTACATGCACCAATGATGACTCAAGGGCCAATGGGGAACCAACCGCCTATGGGGACCCAAGGTGCCATGATGAGCCAAGGTACCATGGACACCCCAGGACCAATGGGAAGCCAGGATTCCACCATGATGACTCAAGGACCTATGGGGAGCCAGGGACCCATGGCAGGTCAAGGGTCAGTCGGAAGTCAAGGGTCGATGGGGAACCAGGGGCCGACTGGACAGGGCTACATGGGCAGTCAACCTTACATGGGCAGTCAAGGTCCCATGGGGAGCCAGGGACATTCTGGTACTCAAGGGTACATGGGCAGCCAAGGCCCAATGGGCAGCCAGGGACACACGGGGAATCAGGGATACATGGGAAACCAAGGCCCGGTTGGAATGATGCCCAATCAAGGAGGCATGCCAAGTCAAGGAGGACATATGCCCAGTCAGGGACCCATGCAAGGTCCGGGATCCATGCAGGGATCGATGTCAACTTCCGGCCCCATGCCTAGTGGGGGCCCCATGCCCAGTGGGGGTCCCATGGCTAGTGGGGGTCCCATGGCTAGTGGGGGTCCCATGCCCAGTGGGGGCCCCATGCCCAGTGGGGGCCCCATGCCCAGTGGGGGCCCCATGCCCAGTGGGGGTCCCATGGCCAGTGGGGGTCCCATGGCTAGTGGGGGTCCCATGGCTAGTGGGGGTCCCATGGCTAGTGGGGGTCCCATGGCTAGTGGGGGTCCCATGCCCACGCCAAGCTCCATGCCTGTCCCAGGACCCATGCCTGGTCCAATGCAAGGCCCCGGACCAATGTCTGGCCCAGGATACATGCCAAGCCAAGACCCCATGGCCAACCAGATACCAATGATGAGCCAAGGCCCAGTTGGGAACACGGGCCCAAATCAGATGCCGCCCTCGATGCCACCCTCGATGCCAGGTCAAGGCGGGAGTATGCAGGGGCCGACACCCCCACCACCACAGCCACCGTCGGGACCCATGCATGGACCTCAACAACAAAGCTCCACCTTCCAGAATCAGTACAACACATTGCAGAGGGTAAGTCTTGGCCCAAAACTTGTCTATGTTGACCACAGAATGCTTTACTCATGACTTTCACTTTGTGCTTACAAATATTGCTCCAAACTCAAAATCCTCAATAACAGGATGCACACGTGCGAACAAGTCAGAATTCCTTGCTTACTTATCATAGACCAGAAATTGTTGCCATACTTACCCTTACCCTGCCAGATGCAGGCAGGATTGGAACCCGAGTCACAGGGGTCACACAGGCATGCAACTTTTCCTCGGATCTGCTGATTTCCTCGTTTTTTCACTTCTCACAAATGCCATTACAAATTGGAAAAAAATGTACAAAGGCTTGTGCGGTTTGGAATTTCCTCGTTTTTCTAAATTCGCAGTTGCATGCCTGGCGGTGGAAGGCGAGGGAAGTACCGCTACACAAACCTGAATTTTGTGTTTAAGTCTCTAGCCAATACCTTAGAGGGTTAGTGCTAATCAATGTTATTTTGGGGGTGTTTATTTCCCTTCTTAGGCCATTGAGACGATGCAGGAGCAGGGCATGCAGGGAGATCCTCGCTACAGTCAACTGATGGGTTTGGCTAAGCGAGCAAAGCAACACCAACACCAGCAGCAAGCTATGGGAGGTACGGCAGACCAGGGTGCACTCATTACTAACAGAGCGATTGAAGTTTGACCCTCCATCAAAACCTAACACTTTGTTTTGCCTGATTGTGATCGATTCCGGACTATAGAGGCTCACAACCATACATCAGGCACAGTATCACTTTTCTTTAACCTAACCGAACTCAACCCATCAAAGTTAAACAGCAGGTTTTGTTTAAATCTGTTGGGATAGGTACAGTACCCCTACACTTATGGTCTTTTACACTGGGGTTGGCATACCTCCAGAAACTAAGTCCAACAGTATGTGTGTACAATTTCCCATGTGGGTGTTGGAATTTGCCAGAATGGGTATGGTTCCTAGTAAATTAGGCGGGGGAGTTAGGGTTAATTGTGTTGTAGGTTTCTGCTCGCTCTTTTTCTTCAACTGATTTAGAAAAATTCCAGAATAAAATGTATAAATATTTTGTTTCCCATTAAATGTTCTCTAATGTTGGATGTCTGAAGTTATAGTAAGGTTACTAATGTAGGCCTATATACAGCATTTGTGTTCTGAAAACTCTTTAAACTTTTTGGAATACCAATGACCGGAAAAAAACCTGGTATTGCAAATAAGTCAGAAATATTGAAAATCCTGTATATATGATGTAAATAGATTTCACTATTTCTAGAAAATTCCTTATTAACCTGAAGAAAATGAAATGGAAGGTTTGAATTTGCAGATTTTTGGTGCCCTTTTTTAAATTGGTTCCAAGGGGTCAGTGGACTAAAAAAAAAAAAAAAAAAAAAAAAATATTGAGTAATCAATTTAATTTTGGCACTTTTTTCCACAGGTTACGGTGGGCCCATGGACACCAACGCCCCTCCCCCTACCAGCAGCCAGGGCCCAGGGATGGGCCCCACGCCCCCCGGGGGCCCACGTACCACCCCCTTCAGCCCGCCCCAACTCCACCAACTCAAGGCGCAGATCATGGCCTACAAGCTACTCTCCAGAAACCAGCTCATACCGGACAACCTGCGGCAAGCCGTCCAGGGCAAACACCAAGCCATGTACCCACGCTCCGGTGGTAGGTTAATAAGTAGGCTGTGTGAGTATTGTGTTTTCATTATTCTTAAAGAAGAAACAAAAGCAAAGAAAAGAGATGTGAGGCAAAACACGGTAAAGGGGTCAGTCAAGTTGGAGGTGTTACCATAATGGTTCTAAATTGTTGCCATTACTTGAAAATCTTAAAAGCTATACAAGTACACATGAATCAAAGTACAGGCTACAAGAAAGGTTTTGTTTTTGATCAATTTTATTCTTGTTTTTTAGTGAGTGGACTTTTCTGCCTGTCAATCAGATGGCGCACATTGACCAATTAGATCACACGTTTTGGTCAGGTGACCACTTGCTCTGTCAACTTGTTCACCAGCGTTGGGAGAAATTTATGCAACCCAAAAGTGGGCGGGACTTTTAGCAAAATCCAGATCAATCAAAATCCGAACCCAAAAGTTAAATGAATTTTTATCTGAATATTGCTATTAGTTTTTATTCAAAAACAGAAAATACTCTGGATTCATTCTAGTTGTAGCCTGCTTGTTGGTCCAGTTTACAACAGCTTTTGAAATGTTCAAGTCATGGCAAAAAAGTTTGAACCGCCATCGGACGTAGTCTTACTTGGTCCTCTTGCCGTGTTTTGTGTCCTGTCGCGCTTGCGAATTAGCACTTGCTTTGTAACGGGGCTGAACTCAACTGCTGTCCAAACCACCGCTATTCTGCAACTGACCCATGCTTATCACGATGCTGCACTCTGCAATCAGGTATTTATTTTTTTATGTTCCTTTCATTTTTCGCTGTAAAACTGAAATTCTGTTTGTGGCATAATGGGCCTTGATTCTTCTTTTGGGATGTTTAGCCAGTTCACTCCGGGTGACGTGTATATACGCAAAGGTTTTGCGGTATTTGAATGGATGACGGATAAACAAGTGGGGAGCGAAGCCAGAAATATCTGTCAGCGACCCGCTCGCAGCAAGCGAGGCCGGAAATATAAGTGTGCTGCCCAAGGGTGACGGCTTCAAACTGCCTGGCTTGTGGTCGAGTGAAAAATAATCCAGCGACTCGTTCCATTCTTATCAAAATAGTCCCGGCACGAACTGGTTAGGGGTTCTAAATTGGAAGATATTTACCTCTATGTAAATTAATTACAGTTGAACAATAAAAAAATCTCCATATTTCACTGCTTAAAATCACTTGATCTTTGATTCAGGGCCCTTGAATTTTTTTTCCTGCTCCTCAATCAAGACTGTAGTCCTTTTTCCGTTTGCTGAAAACTTTCTACAAATTAAAGCTATATTGTTTGGAACTAGAAGTTTTAATTTGGCACAATTTTCAAAATGCATTCAAGCATGGCACAAGCTTCAACTGCACAAGGAATCCCTCACTGCCATTCTGACTAATACAGCTCTCCACGCACACATTTTGTTCTTTTTGTTTTCTTTTCCACATTGTTGACAAGAGTAGTAATTTATCAATTGAACTTTCTTGCAATAAAAATCTATTTGACATATAAAATGCTCACTGCATCTTTAGAAACAAATTAATGTTGCATTTAAAAAAAAGAAGAAAAGTAACCAGTTTTTAAAACTCCAGACATGATTTGAAAAATTCCAAAACTTGTTACCTGAGATTTAAATGGAGAAAGTCCGACTTCGGCTACATCCGAATTAATTACTACGGCTGGCAAGTATGCACAAGTCTATGGAAGCGGCTGAATACGATTCCCATAGAGACGTGTGAAGATGGTAGCCGTAGTCAAATAAATCAGATGCGGCTTTGTGTTAAAATGTCCGACTATCAAGCCACTGAAAATTAATTTCTTTGAGATGAATTTGAAGGAGTATGATTTTTTTACTGATGGTGCGTTGTTCTTGTTTCTATAGCAGGGGGCAGTCACGGTCCTATGGCTGGACCCCCGAGCAGTGGGCCAGGGGGTCAGTCCACCACAGGGCCTATGCCAGGCCAATGGCAGCAACAACAACAACAACAACAACACCCAATGGGTGCCCCGCAGGGGGTCCCCCGGCCCACCATGCCGCAGATGTCCCCACAGCAGCAGCAGCAGCAACAACAGCAACAACAGCAGCAACAGCAGCAGCAGCAGCAGCAGCAGATACCACAGCCGCCACCACCCAAGCAGATTCAGACTGTCATGATGCTGCAGCCTAAGCAGAATCGCCTGATCACGATGACTAAACCCCAGGGGCTGGATCCCGTGGAGATCCTATCAGAGCGTGAAAACAGGTACCTGAAATCTGGCTGCACATTTCCGTTCAATTTAAATAATGGATCAGTTTTGTAGTCGAGAATGTCAGAAGTCAATCACAAGTCCTCGAAAATCCATCGCAAGTCCATCACAAGTCCATCACAAGTCCATCACAAGTCCATCACAAGTCCTCACAAGTCCATCACAAGTCCTTACAAGTCCATCACAAGTCCTTACAAGTCCCCACAAGTCCATCACAAGTCCATCACAAGTCCTCACAAGTCTATCAAGTCCATCACAAGTCCTTACAAGTCCATCACAAGTCCTCACAAGTCCACCACAAAACCTCGCAAGTCCATCACAAGTCCATCACAAGTCCATCACAAGTCCATCACAAGTCCTCACAAGTCTTTTAGTTCCAAATCACTAGCTATTCAAATGGACTGCGACAAGAACATTCCCGTATTATTGTTCATCCCCTGGTTTTTGTGACTTTGCTTGTGGAAGGACTTACGATTTACCTTGTGATGGACTCAACTCAGCTCCAGAATGGAGACAAGAACAAAGTTTGCGGAAAAGCACCATGTCAATTCTCTGCATGAAAAGTGCTGCCGAAAGTACCAGTGGTGCATGAATGAGGAGCGTGAGTCTTTATTCCAGTTCATTGTTTTCACCATTGTAGGGTCACCAGTCGTATAGCCTACCGCATCCAAGAGCTACAGTCTCTGCCTGGCTCCCTCCCGGAAGACCTGCGCATGAAAGCAACCATTGAACTCCGCGCTCTAAGACTTCTCAACTTCCAACGCCAGGTAGGTCATCTCTTCAACGTGTACAATTAATTGTTGTAATGAGATGGGTTATGAAGTTAAGGATATATGTGCTCCCATCTCTAAGAGTCTAAGAGTCGATGTGTGTTCACTACCTAAATAGTAAATACCTTTTACAAGACGTATTAGTTGGGCATGCCTGCATGCTGATGATTTTGTGACATTTATTCTTTGACAACAGCTTCGGCAGGAAGTAGTGAGCAGCATGCGGCGGGACACCACCCTGGAAACCGCCCTCAACTCCAAGGCCTACAAGCGCAGCAAGCGACAGTCGCTGCGGGAGGCTCGACTGACGGAGAAACTGGAGAAACAACAGAAGATGGAGCAGGAGAGGAAACGACGCCAGAAACATCAGGTATGGAACTCAGAGGGCTATCCTGGGCAACATGCTTACCTTGTTGGATGAAGAATTTGTTGGGATCCGTTGGATTCAGGTTGAATCTTTTGGAATTTGTTGGGTTCTGTTGGTTTCTGTTTGGCTCTGTTCTGTTTTGTTTTGTTGAGTTCTTTTGTGTTTTGTTGAGTTCTGTTGGTACTATGAAGTTCAGTTTGGTTCTGTTTGGTTTTGTTGGGTTCGTTTGACTTCTGTCAACTCTGTTGGATTCTCTCAGGTTCTGTTGGGTTCTGCTGGGCTATGTTCAATTTATATTGATTTTGATGGATTCCATTTTAAGTTAAGGTTTCTTTAGGAAAACGGTAAGAAACTTAAAAGTCATCAGGATTAGTATGAAATCAGTTGTGAATGCTCAATGGACCTTTTGACCTGTATTGACCTTTGACACACATTGACCTTTATTGGACCTTTATTGACCTCTGACCCCATAGGAGTACCTGAACTGCATCATGCAGCATTCCAAGGATTTCAAGGAGTATCACCGCAGCATACAGGCTAAGCTCAGCAAGCTGAACAAGGCTGTCATGACCTACCACACCAACACGGAGAGAGAGCAGAAGAAAGAGAGCGAACGTATCGAGAAGGAGCGTATGCGACGACTCATGGTAAGTGTCTGCACTGTCAGTATGAGGATCATTCTTTAAATTTGGGGTTCACTGTTGCCCTGTCCCTGTTACATCTGACATGTACGATTTTATAATTCTGATGCACTCCTTAATGCAGTTGTCCCCCAAGAGTGATAAGAAATAGCAAACTACCTAGCCAAGAAAAAAGAAATCGTTAAAGTCATTCTTAATGGTACTTGAATGACAACTTAAACAGTAGCAAGGTAACATGGACAGGAAAAATGTCACACAGTGGACCTTAAATTTATAGAATGACCCATATGCTTATCGTAGTTTCAGCTAAGCACAGAAGATATTTCCTTAGCAGGTTACCGACTAAAACATGCAAAGTACACTGTTCTTGACTGGTGCTCTGCAGATTTGTGCTCAGCGCATACATTTTCTAAGCAACATTGAAATTGAATCTCATCCTCGGATTTCAGGGCCCAACTTCACGGAGCTTGTTAACACAAGTATTTATATGCTAAGCACTATTTTGCTGAGTACCAGTCACATGTAATGTCAATTGTGTGACCTTTTGGCTGGTAACCTTTGTTTGCTTAACAGATATTGTTTGTGCTTAACAAATTTAGCAAGGTGTCAAGTTTGTGAAATCTAGCCAACGGTTTGAAGCCCCAGCTTTTGATCGTTTTCCCCGGTCTTTGTTTTAGGCTGAAGATGAAGAAGGGTACCGTCGTTTGATTGATGAGAAGAAGGACAAGCGTCTTGCCTACCTGCTGAGCCAGACTGACGCTTACATCAACAGCCTGGTGGACCTCGTCAAGGCTCACCAGGAGCAGCTACGCAAGAAGAAACGCGAGAAACGCAAGAAGAAAAAGGTAGAGTTGTCCGTAACCTTCTTTGGCTCTTTGCATGTTTGTGTCAATGTAGGCCAATACGTATTTGTGGTAATTTTAACGAGCTACAAGAGTGCAATTTTCGGGGAAGTTTGTGCCCTGCACAAATGGGTACCCGTTTTAGAAGAGATCATTTTTAATTCACATTGACACTGAACTTGTTAGATTGAGGCAAAACTTGGAAGTTTGGCTTGTGTGGTGAAAACACTGCACAGAGGAAACTTTGCTTTGTAATCAACCTGAGCAACATACAGGGTGAGTAAAAAAAAAACGACACACAAATGTCAGGACCATTGTTTTAGTGACGTTCTGCATGTAGCACTTTCAAAATCTAGGATATGAAAGCCCAATTCATAAGCTTTCTTTTAGTACAAGAATCATTCAAATCACTCATGTACTTTTCAAGTTACGGGGTTTTAAACTCAACCACCGTTTTAAAGTTCTGTCCACGGATCACTAAAAAGGAGGGCGTTCTTTCAGCAAAATGAAAACAATTCACACACATCCCTATATGATTTCTTTTCGTTTTGCTGAAAGAACACCCAACTTTTTTGTGATCCGTGGACAGAACCTTAAAACGGCGGTTGTGTTTAAAATTCCGTAACTTGAAAAGTACATAAGTGATTTGAATGATTCTTGTACTAAAAGAAAGCTTATGAATTGGGCTTTCATATCCTAGATTTTGAAAGTGCTACATGCAGAACTTCACTAAAAACAATGGTCCCGACATTTGGGTTTCAGGTTTTTTTTTACTCACCCTGTACTGAGTCGCAGATTTTCAGTTCTTTTCACACACTACTCTCCAGTGTAGATAACTGTTTTTCTAGTTCAAATTAACAGAAACGTAATTTTACCAAGTGTGAAATTTGCTGCCAAACCAGTCAGATTTGAAAATGATACCTCTGTTTTCTTATCGTATACCAGTTGCTTCTATGTAAACATTCTTTTCAATTGCTTTATGCATGAATGTATTTTCCCCCTGGTAATCATTCAAAACTTCCAAAGTAACTTGAATATGCTCCCCGGCGTCCATTGCTAAATAAGAGCAATGTAATGTTCAATTTTGTGTAAATAGTGCCTTCATTGAGCCACGCACTTTTAGGCCAAAAAAAAAAGTCTCCAGTTTCTGGTATGGAGCTTGCCCCAAAAGTGGTGCAGCGACGCGGCTTTTTTAAAATATTTTTTTAAAAACTTTTTTACCTTTTCTTTTCTTCAAATGTCGGCTGATGACTGCAAATGGTGCCCAACTAAATTTAGTGCAACATATATGGGAGTCCAGAGAGGCCACATAAAGCTTATACTCGATCGTAACCCCATCTAAAAACACGATAAAAAATTGGGCAGCAGCAGGATTCCAGTCAAACCAGTGAGTTTGGCAGTTTTGAGACATCGTCTTACATTGAAAAAAAACCGCCGACTTGCGCGAAAACCAGAAACTGGAGACTTTTTTTATTGGCCTTACAAAACATGTGCAGCTTTTTTTCTGTGATGGGATTTTGTTGGCAGTTACAGTTGGATTACCACTCTTTAGCTGGAAAGGTATTGATTTATTAGCAGGACGGCTGATTTGTGCTTAGTTTCACAAAGGAGCTAAGCATATTGCTTACCAATTTGTTTGCTTATGTAACGTTTAAGGAATCAGTCACAATTGGGTGGTCTCCGCTTTGCTTGGCGAATCAATTGTTATTTATTGGTCGCACAATTTACGTGCCAACCAGTGGACCGATCCATTCTTAAGCCCCGCCAAATGACACTTCGACTAATCACGGCCGTGATAAATGTCCGACTTGCGACACAAAAGTCTGACACGCGTGCACGCACGTATGACGTACGCGTCTTGAACTCACAGTATGGCATTGAAGTAGCGCACATGCTGTTACCCCCTAGTGGGCGGGGCCAAGTGAATCAGTCTATTGATGCGTATTCATCAAGTTTGTTTGTTTTTTTAAATATTTTTTTTGCATGAAAGTGTTGGAAGGATTTTTTTTGTTCTGAGTGGTGACTGAAATCGTTTTGTTTTGCTTTTGTTGTGGTCTTGTTTGCAGGCTGAGGTAAGCGAAGCCTTGCAAGATGGGGTAAGGAAAAACTAAACTAGGAGAGCCATTCCACTCATGATCAATTAAAAAAAAGTTTTTGTTCGACAATCTGAAATTTTTGGAATTCGCACTCATGAACCGAGTTTCATTTTCAGAGTCGTATTTTGAAACACTGATATGTTCAATTCTGTGTTGTTTTTTAGTCGCATTGGCTAGCTATGGATATGGAGCAAAAGGTCAAAAGTCATTTGCAGAGGGTCAAAGGTCATTTATAAAAGGTCAGAGGTCATTTCCATAAGGTCTCAGGTCGTTTGCACTTCCCCTTCAGACCTCAACCTTAAACAAGCACTCAGGAATTTCAACAAGCAGTCTGCCTCATCTTAACTTGCATCATAAAGCTCTCATTCATCCACAGAATTGAAAATTTGGTGTTGATAACATTCAACAAATATTTAAGAAGTTGATGATGCGGAAACAAAAAATTTGATCTGTGATTCAAACAAAGCAAGACTGGAGTGGTTCTTGATATGTAGACGTTTATTTCCTGAATCCCACGCCTATAAAACTGTCCCATTGAGGCCATTTTGTTTCGATGTGAAGTTGAAGAGCACACTGAGACTATAATTTTCTCCTTCCTCAAAAAAAAAATTCCCAAAGATCAATGAATGCTGTGGCAAAGCTGAGCTTTGCTTTGTGTTGTCGTCATTGATCAATTATGCAAATGAGCATGCAACACAAGGCTATAAATGAACGATATCACCCTTGTTTGTTTACAGGCTGCCCTCTGTTTGTTATCATCGGCAGGCAAAAACTTGTCTTTACTTGTGGACAGCTCTCCCTTTCCAAAATGAAGTTGTTGTTATTTTGTTTTTAAAACAAATGTACATGTTATCATATTCAAAATTTGCCTGCCAAAAGTCAACACGAGGTGTTCCAATCAAATTTGATAATTTTGCAAGTCTTGTCTGTGCAAAACCTAATTTTCAATCGCTTCCATTCGTTTTTGCTACGGGCTCATCTCTTTCTTCTATTTTCCAACGCGTAGTTGACGGACGAGAGCAGCCAGATGAGTGATATGACCATCAGGGTCATCAACCGCGAGACGGGACACATTGTGAGCGGGGAGGAGGCCCCCAAGGCCACACAGCTGGAGGCGTGGCTTGAGATGCATCCTGGGTACGAGGTGGCACCGAGAGACGAGGACGGCTCCGAGTACGAATCTGAAGACGGATCCGAAGAGGTATATTACACATTTTTCAAAATTGGGTATTTGCCGTTCACTTTTCTATTTTTAACACCTTAGCACCTGTGCGTGGAGTGCTTTGGCCTCGTGGTCTGGGGCGTTGAGCTCGTGGTCTGCGGGTAATTCTGCAGGTTGTGGGTTCGATTCCAGCCTAGGCGGTTTGTGACTCAAGGGTTAATAAGCACTCTATGAGTTACCACCGTCCAAAGCTTGTAAGAATAAATGATTTGGCGGGACTCGAACCCACAACGTGCTTATTTGTGCACTTAGCTTCCGGGAGTTGGTTATTGGTTCAAATCAATATTTAGCAGGTACCATAAACAGATGCTCTGCAACGCGTATACTGAAATTTGTATCCTTGTGGAGACATTTCTTTGTTCTCATGCAGTAAAGTTTTCGAGTTTGAAAGTGAAGTTTCAAAATGCTCTTATTTTTACCAGAATTAATTTCCTTGGCTGAAATTCGGACTTAATATCCTTTTTCAGAAACTCTTCCATCTGCGACAGATCAACCCACCTTGGAAATTCCTAGTTTTTGAGTAAAATCCATATATCTACTTCGTGAAAACATTGTGGAGACGTATTCATCTATAGAAATTGCCCTGTGGAGACGTATACAATCTTTTGTTCCCTATTGTGTGCACATCTCCAGAGGGCACAGTGTATCAGATCACTTGTGATGTGTACCTTAAATTCACTATTTCAGTTCCACTACTCAAGGTGTCCAAATTTACAATTACTATTTGAGTGCCGTTTTATAAATCGTAAGTTTTGTTGTGTTTTTTTGTTGCTTCTAACAGGAGGAAGAAGAAGAAGAAGAGGAGGAACAGCCACAGCCGCAGCTTGAGCAAAAGCCATTGACAGAGCAGTCCATTCAGTGAGTATCAATCCTTGATGTTTGAAACTTTGTCTGTGGCTGTGGCTTTATCTCTGACTTCAGACTAATAGATAGTCAAATCAAGTTGAAAGTCTCTAAACTATTGCCATTTTCTGCGGTGGCACGAGGCTCGTAAGAGTCTCGCTCAGGTAGTAGGCACGCACTCCGGGCTCCCTCGACCAATAGGGTTACCAAGATGCACCCACGCCTCGTCTTTAAGATTGCGTGCGGCATGCCTTCGGGCGTGGCACCACCGCAAAAATGGCTTCTCATTTTGTCCCTGAAACAGAATACGGACCTACATTGGGATTGATTCCCCAAGTCGGGGCCTCAAAACAATGAATGGATAAAACAATGCATGGGTTTTGCTGGTTTTTGTTTTGTTTTCTGGAAAATATTAACCCAAACTCCCTACTTTTACCAAAGTAGAAGACCATGTCCATCAAAATCCATCACTCACTCTGATTCACAGAATGCTTCAGGAACAAATCCATTGAAATCCACCATTGGTGCTGGTGGATTCTGATGGACTTGGTACACATGGCTTATCTGCCAGAATCCCCCCAAATAGGGAGATGATTTTGGTGGAATTGGTAAGGTTTAGGGTTTAAGAACAAGAATGAAACCACTAATCTCGCAAATAATATGCTTCATTCATTTCTCAGGGATGTCCATGCTGCTGACGATGAATACAACACCCAAAATGCGGGATACTACGGGATTGCCCACGGCATTCGGGAAGAAATCACCGTTCAGCCGGAGATGCTGGAGAACGGAACGCTGAAGGAATATCAGGTGGGTGTGGCTTGGAGAATTGGGTGGGTGTGGTTTAGAGCATCACGTGGGTGTGGCTTAATACGGGATTGCCCACGGCATACAGGAAGAAGTCACCGTTCAGCCGGAGATGCTGGAGAACGGAATGCTGAAGGAATATCAGGTGGGTGTGGCTTGGAGAATTGGGTGGGTGTGGTTTGGACCATCATGTGGGTGTGGCTTAATACGGGATTGCCCACGGCATATGGGAAGAAATCACCGTTCAGCCGGAGATGCTGGAGAACGGAACGCTAAAGGCATATCAGGTGGGTGTGGCTCAGAAAATTAGGTGGGTGTGGTTGAGTATATCAGGTGGATGTTATCAGGGGGTAATTAGTGAATTTTACTTGGGGAGTTGCAATGTGGTTTGAGTATGAAAGAAGTTAGGACTCGTGATGGGCGGTGTCTTATAACAAGATGAAAAATGGCTTCTTAAAAGACTGTGCTCTGTTCCCACAGATCAAGGGTTTGGAGTGGATGGTATCCCTGTACAACAACAACCTGAACGGCATCCTAGCCGATGAGATGGGTCTGGGCAAGACCATCCAGACCATTGCTCTCATCGCTTACTTGATTGAGAAGAAGAACGTCAAAGGGCCTTACCTCATCATTGTGCCCCTCTCGTGAGTAATCTCTTCATTGAGTTTGGTGAGACTTGAGTCTCGGACTCTTGACCCAATTGTGACCTCAAATAGCTCAGCTGTACCACAGAAGAAGTAGCCTAGTAGAGTCTAAAACCCTTTGCCGAATTTGAAATGTGTTCCAACTTATGTTAGTCGTCAATTGAAAGAGTTATTATATTTTTGGTAATGAAACAAAGGATTCCATAAAAGCCAACCCACAATATGATGAACAAATGTTCAAATGTATAAGAGGTAGGACAAAAACCCCAGAAGATAATTGTAGGAAAAAACCCATGGAATCAGGCAGGGACTGAAAAAAACCCAGGCAGGAATCGAACCGGGGTCATACAGGAGGAAGGCGAGGAATGGACCACTGCGCCAACTTGACTCCCCTAATTATCGATTTGTCAAACTTTGTCAAAACGATCCAAATTTGTTCTGTTATTTTCTTCTAGGACCTTGTCCAACTGGGTGATGGAGTTTGACAAGTGGACGCCAAACATCTCCAAGGTGTCCTACAAGGGGTCGCCCAGCTTACGCCGCACCCTCGCCACCAACCTCCGCACGATGAAGTTCAATGTTCTCCTGACCACCTACGAGTACGTCATGAAGGATAAATCTGTTTTGTCAAAGGTAGGAATCCACCAGAGGTCATCACAAAACATTCTTTGGTTGCTTTTTATAAACCGGATCAAAATCTTTTCTGAGAACATTTCATTGTTTTGGTTGAAGAAGGCTTAGTGAAAAGCCTGGTGAAGTAAAAATAGTCCAAATTAAAAAATTAACAAACTCTCCGATTTTTTTTAAAAACCAGGTCCTTAATGTTTTTCAAAATAATTTCACACCCAAATTTTTTACCATTCCCAAAAATTTGGTTAAGAAATTCATCAACGGCCATTTTTCATGGAATGACCATTCTGGAAACATTCGAAAAATGTTTTGCTCAGAAAGCAATCTGCTTAGCAACTCGATGAAATTAGATCCTGATAATCACAGATGAATCAGCTTTGGTTGTTTTGTTGTATTTTTGTTAGATTCGTTGGAAGTACATGATCGTTGATGAGGGTCACCGAATGAAGAACCATCACTGTAAGCTGACCCAGGTGTTGAACACTCACTACCTCGCGCCTCACCGAGTCCTCCTAACGGGAACTCCTCTGCAGGTAAAGTAGCATCTTAAGTCATCACAAGTCCATCGCAATCATCACAAGTCCATTACAATTCCATTACAAGTCATCACAAATCAATCACTTCTCCATCACAAGTCTATCAAAAGTCCATCAGAAGTCCATCAGAAGTCATCATTAGTCCATCACAAGTCCATCACAAGCCCATCACAAAGCCAACACAAGTCAACAAAACACGAGCTATTTTGTTGATATGTGGCAAAAGCATTTCTCTGTATTAAAATGTCATCCTCTGCTTCTTGTGCCTGGACTTGTGAATTGACTTGTGAATTGACTTATGATAGAGTTGTGACAGAAACCTTAACTACAACACTACTTTATTATTTCCTGAGCTGCAGGTCATTTATGATCATTTAGAAGACAGCGTAAGGCCCGGCAACTTAAACGATTGAGAACAGTATCAACAATCACACTGTCAGTTCCTTGACTTTTAAAAATCGTAACTTGATTTTGTTTGCAGAACAAGCTACCAGAGCTCTGGGCTCTGCTCAACTTCCTGCTGCCGACGATCTTCAAATGTTGCAGCACCTTTGATCAGTGGTTCAACGCGCCCTTCTATTCCACAGGAGAAAAGGTACAATTGCAGTAAACAATCTTGCTCTGGGACATAAGCAATGTAATCCCCTGGCACAGTTTGACTTCAACCTATATTCACAAATTTTGCTGCAATAGTTATTTCTATGTCACAGGAGAATTAACAAAAATTAAATCTGGATGGGTACCGAGAAGACATTATTGATGTAAAGAATCCTGCTTATGGACAATAGCAGTAAAACTCATTGAGTGAAACAGTTGAGTCGAACCCATTCTCAAACTATGGCTACCTCATTCTCAACAGTTGGCTTCACTTTTTGATCGCTGATTAAGACAGAAATCATATTTTTTTTCCTGCTAAATGAGACACAGAACACCTTTCATTTTTGTTCTGTTTATGAAAGACTTTTTTTTTTCTTTTATCTTTTTTCCCAGGTTGAGCTGAATGAGGAGGAGACTATTCTGATTATCCGTCGTCTGCACAAGGTGCTGCGTCCGTTCCTTCTCAGACGTCTCAAGAAAGAAGTCGAGTCCCAACTCCCAGAAAAGGTATCCAAGAAAGTCGGCCCCTGTGACTTCCTCATTCTGGAAAAAAAAAATGCAATTTTGAAATCCTTGCGCAAAGAAATAGACTTTGTCAAGTTTTGAACCCGTAACCCCTGAAAAATCGTTGTGGTGCTCCACCCACTGAAATATCCAAATCCATTCATTTACAGTCTTCTAATTTTCTTACACTCCTTTGGAGCTCTTGTGCAGAGAAATTGATTATGAGGATTTGAACCCGTAACCCCTGAAAAGATTGTTATGGTGCTCTTTCAACTGAGCTATCCAAATCAACCAAGTCTTCCAATTGGTCCATATTTTTTAGTTTATGGAGCGCAAGTCCGTCTAATATATGTTATTCTCAATGCTGTCATGGTTTGTGATTTTTCCGCAGGTTGAGTACGTGATCAAGTGCGACATGTCGGCGTTGCAGCGGCTGCTCTATCGTCACATGCAAATCAAGGGAGTGATGCTCACCGATGGATCAGAAAAAGACAAGAAGGTACGTGACCAAATATGGTATTGTTGGCTCAGAGCCAAGGCCACATCAAAATTTAAATACGTTTGGTGTTCCTACCCATTCCCATTTGGATCGCCATCTTTTTTTCTTTTTTGTTGTTGAAGTGCAATGTTCACAGTTTAATTGTTACTGTTGCAGTTATCGGAGTGGATTTTTTTTCTCAGATGTGTCTCTGATTAAATTCTGAACTTTAACCTTTGACCCACAGGGTCGCGGTGGGACCAAGATGCTGATGAACACTATCATGCAGCTTCGCAAGATCTGCAACCACCCCTTCATGTTCCAACACATTGAGGTAAGATTTATAATCCTTTTTTAAAAGTAATGTGGTGTGTATATAGCTCTTTCTACCAATGCCTCAAAGCGCTTCACAATTATTACCCCTGTTCATCAGGCCATGAGACCAGTTTTCTGCAGCAGCTCAAGATCAGCGTAATGTGGTCTCTACCCTCACAGGTACCCACGTACTCCTTGAGGGAGACAGGCAATCATTGTAAAGTGTCTTGCCCAACGACACAACCTCCATGTTCCTGTTAGGGTTGGAACCCACGTACCATCACATGGGAGTCGAACAGCGTAAACACTGGACCATAAGATGATAGCTTTTAGAAAATCAAGATACCATAACTGTAATGTTTTGTGTTTTGAGAAATTTAGGATATAATCGTGATGAAGTAAGATTTAATCACGAATTGTTTTTATTTTTTTTTCTTCATATTTGTGGATCAGTTCTCATTCTGTGAACATCTGGGCCAGTCTGGCGGCATCGTACAAGGGCCAGAAGTCTACCGCGTGGCCGGTAAATTTGAGCTCCTTGACCGCATCTTGCCCAAACTGAAGGCCGGCAAACATCGAACCTTGCTTTTCTGTCAGATGACTTCCCTCATGACGATCCTGGAAGATTACTTCATCTTTAGGGGTAAGGAGAAGAAGGCATGAATCCTAGACTCCCCCCCCCCCCCTTTTACGATTCTCAAAAACCTACTTAGAGGATTATATGCTCCGTGCGTGAACAAGAGAGGGCACTTTATGACCAATTGAATTCACTTTTCATACCATTGCCTAGGTTACCGATACCTACGTTTGGACGGTACCACCAAGGCAGATGATCGAGGTGAACTGTTGGTCAAATTCAACAACAAGGGGTCCGATTATTTCGTCTTCCTGCTCAGCACTCGAGCTGGTGGGCTGGGCCTCAATCTCCAGACAGCCGATACTGTGATCATCTTTGACAGTGATTGGAACCCTCATCAGGTAACAAAGATTAGCAGTAGTAGTCCTCACAAGTCCTCACATGTCCTCACAAGTCTTCACAAGTCCATCACATGTCCTCACAATTCCTCACAAGTTACCACAAGTCATCAATGTCCTCACAAGTCACCAAAAAAACACCAAAAGTCCTCACAAGTCCTCACAAGTCACCACAATTCCTCCCGAGTTACCATAAGTCATCAATGTCCTCACAAGTCACCAAAAACCACCGAAGTCCTCACAAATCACCACAAGTCCCCACAAGTCAAAAGTCCTCACAAATCACTGCCAGTCCTCACGAATCCTCACAAGTCCTCACAAGTCATAAGCCCTCAAAAGTCACCACAAGTCCTCACAAATCACCGCAAGTCCGCACAAATCCTCACACAAGTCCTCACAAGTTCATAAGGACTGTAAAAAGCCGTTCCTTTGTCAATGTTCATCCCTGTGACTTGGACTCCTTGTGAAATGACCTACAATTATCTTATGAGAACTTTGGGAAGCAAAAACATTTGAAATTCTTGTGACGGGAACTTCTCCGGCAATTCAGCAAACTAAATGTTTTTGATGGTTATAAAAGGGAATATACAGTGCACCATACAAAACATTGGCATGGAATCATTAACGTTCAAAGACATGAATTTGAGACTGGTACCTAGACTCTCTCCTTTATTTGCCAGGATCTGCAAGCCCAGGACCGCGCTCACCGCATCGGTCAGAAGAACGAAGTACGCGTCCTTCGCTTGATGACTGTACAGAGCGTAGAGGAGAAGATTCTGGCTGCGGCCAAGCACAAGCTGAATGTGGATAGTAAGGTCATCCAGGCTGGTATGTTTGACAACAAATCCACAGGGCAGGAACGTCGAGCTTTCTTGGTGGCACTGCTCGATCAAGACGCAGATCAGGACGAGGTTAGTTGGGCTTATATCATTTTATTTTTTTGCATTTCTTCTCTGATTTTGTAATTTTTTTCCCTTCAAAATTATAAATGAAGGACACACAAACTGTTGGTGTTTTTTTTTTTGGTGAATAACAGGAAGAAAACGAAGTCCCAGACGACGAGACCATCAACCAGATGATTGCCCGCACCGAGGAAGAATATGAAAGCTTCCAGCGGATGGACATCGAGCGACGTCGCCAGGAGGCCCGGGACCCGAACCGTAAACCTCGCCTGATGGAGGAAGAAGAACTGCCGGGATGGTTGGTCAAGAATGACAAGGAGGTGGAGCTGCTGACCCTCGAGGATGACGAGGAGAAATTGTTTGGCCGTGGGTCCAGACAGAGGAAGGATGTGGATTACAGCGACTCGCTGACAGAGAAAGAATGGCTTAGGGTATGGAGGCATTCCAACCTATTTTTATTTCCATTCCTTTTCTTTTTGTAACTCGCCATGCCAAAATCTTTTGATTCCTGGTCCACCGAAAAGAAGTTTTTACTTTCACCTTCCTGTCATTAACTGTAATTCAGAATATGTTTGAAGAAATTATACAAAGAAGGTTACCCATGCAAAATGTAAGAGATCCTTTAAATTCCATTATGTTAGATTTTGAAAGATTCTGTAGGATTGAGGAAGGTAGAACCTAGCCAATTTTATTTTACAGTGGACTTGATCGTCGTATCTTCAAAGTTTCACATCAAAGAATGTACCATTGGTTTTTCTGCACAATAATGATTTTGAAGGATTCAGGCAGGTTTCTGACAAAAATTCTATTGGAGTTAGGATTAATCTTGAGAATTTGATTGACTCGAAGGCCATCGAGGAAGGCAACCTGGACGAAGTAGAAGGCCTCAAGAAACTGAAGAAACAGCGCAAGCGCAACTACGACTACGTCGAAGACGAAGACGAGGACGATGATGAGGAGCCGCCTTCCAAGTCTCCCCACAAGGCTGAGAAGCCAGCCGTTAAGAAGAGACGGGGCAGGCCGCCTGTGGAGAAACCACAGCCTAACCCGCCCAAGCTTACAAATAATATGAAGAAACTGGTCGAGACTATGACAGGTTATAAAGATGGGTAAGTAACTTGATGTTCTTTAAATATTCTTCTACATCCAGCTGTTACGGTGTTCTTGGGCAAGACACTTTACCACAATTGTCTCTCTCCACCAAGCAGATCAGGCAAAACACTTTACGACAATTTTCTATCTTTCCCAGTATGGTGTGAACCTCAACAGAGATTGTGATGTTTGTGTTCTTGGCTTGACACTTTATGACAATTGTATCTCTACCCAGTGGGGTTTGCAACCCTGGATCGCAGTGCTTGTGTTCGTGGGCAAGACACTTTACAACAATTTTCTCTGTCTACATGCTTTGAACACCACTGAGCATGGTTTGAACACCATCAACTGCAAAGCGATTAGACAGAAGCCTTTGTTAAATCTTATGTTAATCTGTACTAACTGCATACTCATCAACATTTTGATCACAAACACCAACCCTTGTTTTCCTCCCCAGCCAAGGCAGGCCCCTAGCCCATCCTTTCCTCTCTCTACCCCCCAAGCGAGAGCTACCTGACTACTACGAGCTCATCCCCAAACCCATGGACTTCAAGAAGATCAAGGATCGCATCCGGCAGCATCGCTACCGCAGCATCAACGACCTGGAGAGAGACGTCAACCTCATGTTCAGGAACGCACAGACCTACAACCTGGAGGGGTCACAGGTAGGTCAAAGGTCATGGTCAAAGGTCATGGTCAAAGGTCATGGTCAAATAGATTGAGAAATTGCTTTGATATCTATTGTGTGATGACAATATCACAAGTGAAGTCACTTGGGTGCCATCTTGGGAGGCCAAAATATAAAACTCTGTACTTTAAACCTGGATCCGTGCATACATTATTTACATGCCCTTCAGCTTTTGTAGACTGAATTTCATTATTCAGTTTTTTTCTTTAAAAGCTTGATTATTTTATTCACTGTTTAATTGGAACTACAGTATGCTGTGCCAGCTGAATGTAGTAGCGGCCATATTGGGGGGCCAAACCTGCTAGTCCTTATTCTTATTCTCTTATTTTGTTCGGAATTCTGTTTATATGACTCAACTGTGCAATTGTATACGTCATCAGATCTATGAGGATTCCATTGTGCTTCAGTCAGTGTTTGCCAGCGCTCGTAGTTGCCTAGAGACCACGGGACGGCTGCCAAATTGTGGCGATGAAGATACCGATGAGGAAACGGAGGCGACATCGGACTCTGAATGTGAGTGAATTCACCATAATAATGGCCTTGTCCAAATTACGTGGCTACATTTGGAAAAAACACCTGGGTCTACGGCTGCTTCCATAGCGGCATGTGTAATTTCTAGCCGTAGCTGTAGTAATTTGGACGATTGTGTAGTGTAAGGCCCTGTTCCCTATAAGGGAACAAAAATCTTCTTGTAGGTTATTGGACTTATCAAACTAGTTAGCGACATATCAAACCAACAGGTATTCCGTAGATAGATAGATATGACAGACAGAGGGCAGGGTTTAATTTTTTGGAGGGAAATTTTGGGGTAAAGCGACGATGAAGATGACAAAATGCAACACGAAAACAAAGATGGTGATCACCATGACGCACAGTGAACATGTAAAACCCGATTGATTCACTGCACTGTTGGTGCACACTTTAATGAGAAAAAAAATGGCGGCACATTTTTATCTTGTTCACACTTAAAACATTTTGGTGACCGTTTCTCGAACCCTCTTCTCCCATTGCATTGTGGGACACAGCTCGCTCCTCCATGAAGATGAAGATCAAACTCAAGCAAGGCAAAGGCGAGAGCAAAGGGCGCGGCCGGGGGAAAGGCCGAGCCCAGCCCGTCAAGCGAGGGCGTCCTCCACGCAAGCCCGTCGTCAGTGACGACAACGATGAGGATGAAGATGAGTCAGCGAAGAAGGACTCGTCCTCCAGCAGCAGTAGCAGCGAATCTGATGAGGTACGTTTTGAATTTCTCCAAAAATGAAAAAAATGGTTACGAGTTCTTAACCCCGTGTGTAAAGTAGCATTACATTTTTTCGGTATTTTTTTTTCTTTTTTCGTGTTGGTGAAGTGGTACTTTCCTCGCCCTCCACTTTTGTGACTGTGGTTCGAATCCCGCAAAGGCACATTTGTGTGTAGATTTTTATTCCCTCCCTGTTTTCATGATTTTCTTCCAGAATATCTGGATTTTCCTTTCCCATCTCAAACTTAAAAATTTCTTCTCTGCCTGTTTCTCCAAATGTTTTTTTTTCTTTCTCTGGCTTACGACTTAGTTCTATTGGCTCTCTTGAGAAATTCCTTGGTTTTCATAAACAGAAATGATTACATTTTTAGAAGTAAATAAAAACAACTTTTTTTTCTGGGTTTTTTTTTCCGCAATCCAGGATGATTCTGGCAGCGACGGTAACCCAACTCCCGAGTCATCTCGTCCCTCGTCACGCGGCGCCTCCCCCGCAATGGGCCATAAAAAGCGTTGAAGCCCCGCCCCCAAGCGGAAACCTAAAACAAGCTCTCATCAGGATAGTGTCGAACCTAGCACCGTCAACATAAATTTGAGTTGTAGAGGTTACCATGTACAAATATTACAAAAAAAGATTAATAATACAGTTTCAAAAAGTTAAGTTCATTTATTTAGTCCAAAATGCATTTTATAGTGTTTGTAAGTTCTTTCCTTTGATTATTTGTTGGATATTTTTCTTTGTATTTTGTCTCCATTTATTCCTCCCGAAAAAGGATAAAAATAATGTACTGTGTTTTTTTGTAAATATAAATAGAGTAGATATTGTAGCTATCAGAGTGCTTAGAAAAAAATACTCACGGCTTATTATTCAAGTAAGCGTGTGCGTCTAGCATATTTTGCATTAATTTCACACTCTTCTATGGGCCGGTTTTTCCATACATGTATTTCCAACAGCCTTTCTATTTTCCATAAATATGTAATCGGTATTTTAGTGATTTTGCTGAGTGTGGTGGTGTTTCTTTGGGTCCAGATGTACTAAGTTGAAGGATAAAATGATTTCTTTAGAAGGAAAAGGAATATGGAATACTTTGATAATTTGTAGGAATTGATAGAAGTGAATTGAGGGAATGTAGTAACAGTTTCAAAAAAATATCAAATCACATTTTAAAAATTTTCGAAGAAATAAACCGGTCAATAGTTTTGGACAAGTGATCTTGATAAGGTATCTGTGGTTGTGGTCAGAAGCTGAATTTTGTTGGTTTCGTCAAAGATGTTCAAAATTGTGACAATTGTCTTGTGTTTTTTTTTTGGAAGACATTGTACCCAAATTGCATTCTACATGTACCTCCTCGCAGCATTTGGTAGAAAAAAATAAAGATACTAAGTGTATGTAAATTATAATTGTGTTTATGTTCGTCTTTATGCTGCCAACTTTAATTGCAACAGATCAATGGTTCTATACTGTCAAAATTTGCCTGTGGTCAGAACGTCCCATGTAATGCTGACACATATTTTTTTCCGAGAATTTCTTAAAAACCAATCGGTAAACTTGTGCAAGATACTAGAGGCCTCCAAGGTTTTAATTCCCAGCATTATACAACCATAGGGCAAGGAACAGACATAATCCACATTCCCTACCTTTATTCATGTTACTCCCAGATACAAAGCCGACTTTTCAAGGCACAAACGTAAATATTGGCTAAATAACGGCAACCAGACGGATTATTATTTCTCAACAAAACCTACATGACGTAATGATTGCTTACTGCTAGCATGGAGAAATAAAACATTTCTCCATGCTGCTAGCGATGTACCAAGCACTGCATGGCAAGAACTTGTCTGTCAGCAAACAGGCGGTACCTAAATGCAAATCTTTCCTCCCGCGCCGAGCAACACACAGCAAAACTTCTCTGAAAATTTCACAACCCATTGAGTCTGCAGATAAGCCGAGTCTGCAAACAAAGAAACACGAGAATATAAGACCGCTGAAAGGCGAGGTTTCTCATCATACCGAGCTAAGACTTCAGCGCCGTACTTCTGATCAAAATGAAGAGCTCTACCGTGTTCGTTGGGCTGCTGTTCGCCGTGTTTGCCGCCTGCTGCCAGGCGCAAGTCTTCTCCTGGGGTAACTGCCCAAGAGTGCAAGTGAAGGAAGACTTCAACGCCACCAAGTATTTCGGTAAGAAACGATTTATATCGTCCATATTCCAGCTCACAAGCAGAATAATACGACGCGGACAAGACCTAAACCGACATGCAGTATTAGTACCGTAACAGTTTGTTTCCACTGGGAGATCCCTACTTAAATTGATCTGAATTATGTGAATACTGTCATTAAATTGTCTAAAAAAAAATCCAAGAATTTTCTTTCAGTATACAAAAAAATCTGAATACCTGGTCCTCAAAATAGTTAAGTACCCCTCTGAAACTATTGTCCCCCCCCCCCCAATAAACATCACAGTATCAAACCTATAATCACTACATGTGTATTTGGGGGAAAAACTGCATCATGATCATAATAATGGTCGATATTTCCTCCTGATTCTGTAGGAAAATGGTATGAGATTATGCGCTTCAACAAGACATCATTCGAGGAAGGAACTCGCTGCATCTACGCCGTGTACTCCAACGGCACGCGGCCCGGTACAGTGGGCGTGCGGAACGCCGCCCTGCGAGGCACAGAGGTGGAAACGGCCGAGGGGTACGCCTACGCCCCGGACCCCACCCAGCCCGGCAAACTCAAAGTCAGGCTCTGTAAGTATTCTTGCAAAAATAGAACAAGATCGTTGAACCACATTGTTTTATTTAACATTCAGTTCTGTGTGCTTGTATTATATAGTTAGGAATAAAGGGGTGGGCATATGGGCGTGCCTCCCCGGCTCGAGGCCAGAGCCCCCTCGAGCCTCACCCCGGCGCAGAATTTTGAGGAATTAAAAAAATGAGCTATTATTGCTCAAGCCCTAATGAGTGGTCCTCTCGTGAAAAAATTGAATCCCTATGTGCCTCCCATAAATTGGAACCTGGTTTAATTAATTAACACCAGTGGTTAGGAAAGAATTTTAGAAACGAGTACACAGTAAATACTTTGAAGGCTATCGTTCACTTATACTTAAGCCAAACAACTTTTTATTTTGACGTTTCTATGAGCTGTGTGGGTATAAAGTCATGATCCATTATGCAAACACTCTTCATTTTCATACGTCAACTTTGCCTAGCCTTCGAAAAACACGTTTGGTCTTTTTCGACCATGAAAGCCCTGATTCATGGCTTTTAGCATTATCCTGCTATTGAGGGCGTGGCGGCAGAACCTCTAGTCTGAGTATTACCCGTAATCCACGGAGCAAGTCTCCTGATAATGGAGTAGGCTTGGGCCATAAAATATTGGGATCTCGTCCCGCACAAGAAGACAAAGTACAAATGTAGGCCCTATCTCAAATCGTTGACAAAACTTACTTTACGGGCTTCGTTTTCGCATATGGGTGCAAAGGGGGCATCCAAACAAGGCTATGTTGCCCCCCCCCTCCCCATCTTAGGTATACATCACTAATGCGCTAGGCCTTCAATAATTCAGTGAATTAATGTTATTTTATTTTATATTTATTTCAAATAACAAAAATAGCTGAGTCGTGGTTCGCCGGCAACTACTGGGTTTTGGACACCGACTACCGTTCCTACGCCATGGTTCACTCCTGCACCGGATTCTGGCTGTTCAATTTCCAGCTGAACTGGCTCCTGAGCCCCATCCGGAACGTCACCAGCGACGTGGTGGAAAGCGCCCTCCAGCGGTTCGAGACCTCTGGCATCGACATCTCCAACTTCATCCGTGCCAATCAGACACGTTGTCCTGACTTTTAAAGTTGTAGGCGTGGGCACAAAACGCTCTACAAAAGTTTTTTGAATGATTTTCTGAGCAGAAATTTGATAAAAAACTACCTATTTGTTATTTTTTTTGGCAAGAAAGAGCAATTGGTTAATTCAAACTTAATACAAATTTCCCCACATTTCAAAAACCACCTTAACAAAAAGGGGAGAAATGAGAAAGGTAGAAATAATGAGAACATGTTATTTTGAGCGAGAAGGATAAGAACGTATAGGCCTATTAGGCCACAAAAAAAAATAAGTCGGTCTCTGGTCAGCGCGCGCGTCGATTTTAATCATGCGCGTCGATCTTTTTTTTTTACAAAATGTTCCGCAGTAGCTCCAACAGCGCCCTCTATTTCCTCACCTCCTCATTTTTTTTTAACCAAAGAGCACCAAGGAATGGGAAATTGCACCAAGGCAAATGATCGAAAGCACCAAGGCAAATTATGGAGGACACCAATGTACATGAGGACACAAAAAAAGCAAAATAGTACCCACCTTGTCTGTACAATCCAAGCTTGAAAAAAAAAAAAAAAAAGCCCCCCCCCCAAAAAAAAGCCGCGTGGCCGCGTCAATTCCGGAACTTTGGTCTGACCAGAGACCGAATATTTTTTTTTTTGGCCTTATACTCGGTTGTTCTTACTATGAGCGTCAAATAAAGCATATACACTGAAAAGATTTTGTGAGTGACACATAATTTATTTTACGGCATTCGAGAAAAGGCATTGCAACATTAAAGGCAGATAATGGAGACTAGATAAGACACTGTTTAGGTTTAGAGTAATTTTACTGGTTTTTTTCAAATGATAAATCTTACTTATTTTAAGGTTTATGAAGGTAATGCATTAACTTTAAAGCGTCGATCCATGAAAAGCGACATTGGTTTGGCGCCCTCTGTTGACAGTTAAGCCCATTGCACTAGGGGAAAAAGAGCCCCAAACTTGGGTAAACTTTGGCATATTGCCAGTTCGACCTTTGGCTTAAATCAGCTCCAGGATTTTAGGTCCCAGCTGAGGCCCTTCTGCTCAACAGAGCCTCGAATTTCTGACACATAGTAACCGAAGTATTTTCATTTAGTTCGAACTGGAGCACCGTAAGCCGGGGATGAAGCCGGAATGCAGACGAGAATTGGAAAATGGCCAAAAAACGAAAGCTAAAGTGTAGAAACACCTGTCGACCATAATGCCTACGGGATTAAAGCAGATCTAGTGGAATCATCGTGGATTTAGAATGAAGGAAGGAAGAAGATACCGGTCGAGAATAACATTTAAAAAACCCATAAGGTTAACCTGTCAAAACCAATTCAATGTAATTCGCACTGCATTGATACAACTCCCTTTAAATTACAGATAGTTACACTGCGATCGTATTAAGGCATACGCCTATCTTACTATACTGCAAGAATCGGGTCGGTCCCATGCAGGGCCATACAACTTATCTGGTTCGGTTTATTTCATACCAGGGATCGAGCAAAAAATCCAAGAGGTATTTAGAGAACTATTTGGATTAAAAAAGTCTCGGGACAAAAATTTGGAAGCCAATTTTAAGTAAAGACGTAGGCCTACGTACAGTTAGTTTGTCATTGAACGCCAAATTGTACCATTTCCCGCTAAAATCTGGTCAAGAGCTGAGAACCTGGATGCGTTCCAACAACATTACTCCGTTAATGCGCACCTGGGATGATGAATCAACGTTTCGATCTGTGCCGAATTTCCTGCTCTGTCAGCGGGACAAGTATAATTCCTTTCCGTGGGTTTACCGTGCGATGGGGAAATGACTAGGCCGTGAATAGGTACGATTAGACGGCATATGTTGCCACCAACATGCACGCTAGCAGAAGTGTCAACGACATGCTATAAACCACACCTCCAGAGTCTGCAAAAAAGAATAAATAAACATACTTTATATTTTAAGCTTTTGCATCTTCCAACAGTAACTAGCTTTCCCGACCAAAATTCAAATACACTTCTTATATAAAGCCTATTAATTACCTTAATTAATTATTAACTAGCATGGGTTGAAGAACTTGTTGCATTTCTTATAGAAAAGTGCTCAAATAAGTTTTTTTAAATCTGCCAATGGCACGATCGGATTCATATCTTATAGTGAGACCTACCCCATCCGATCGTCTCTCCGTTCTTCCTATTGGTCTCTTCCAACCACGTCATCAATGGCGCAAAGTAGTCGTTGATGGCGTCGGCTGACATTGACCTTTGACCCGTAATGGCTTCCATTGCGTCTGGCCACGGCTTGCTAGAGCCCAACTTCAACATGTGGCTTCAAAAAGAGAACGACAAAAATAAGCAGAAATTATAAAACATAAATGCATCATAATAAAAACAACATGTGATGAAAGTGGCATGTTAAAAATGCACGAAACGAATGCTGAAGGCCAGTGTGCCAATGATATAGTTTAAAACTTTGCAACACTAAATGATAGTTGTTTTAAGAATTTCCGTGCTGTCACAGTACAATGCTTACGCCAGTTTGTCTCCAGCCGCCGTGGATTTGTAGATATCACACCGGTGGAGCGGCCCAGTGTGCCCGGCAGCATCGCAGAGACCTTTGTGGAACTGGAATTGGATGATGGTTCGTATGAAATATCTAAGGAATAAGAATATGGAAAAGATTTTCACTTGTTTAAGACACCACAACCAATCAACAGATAATTCAATTCAAAACAACAGGTTTATTTCACGAGTTGTGGTATGGATAACATACCACATGGAGTACATGTATATCGTTTTTGTTCCATTCAAATTCGGATTGCATTTTTTTTTCGCGCTTGTTGTTTTGGTTGTAGGCCTATTACATTTAATGTTTAACACTTTAGTTTTGACATATCAAAGGTGTATTTAAGACAACACGACATATCAATAAGCAGAAGTTTTATACAACAGGTATTTCTTCATTTATCGTCTGGACAACGAGTGTATTGTTTTTGTTCAATTAATGTTGACATCAGCTGGGCAGGTGTTCCTTGTGTTGACAATAATCCTTTACGTTGGTGGCCATTTTGTTTCGCAATTCACTAGGCCTACCTGGAGACACGTGTATATTAGGGAACAAAAGATTGTATACGTCTCCACTGGGCCTTGGTGAATACGTCTCCACAAAGTTATGCACGAAATAGATTTATGGATTTTACTCAAAAAAACATAGCAGGAATTTCCAAGGTGTGTTGAATGTGATCAGTCGCAAATTGAAGTGTTTTATGTAAAGGATACTAAGTCCGAATTTCAGCCCAGGAAATTAACTCTGGTTAAAATAGGAGCATTTTGAAAGTAGATTTTCACATTCCAAATTTTTAGTACACGAGAACAAAGAGATGGCTCCACAATGATACAAATTCCAGTATGCGTGTTTGTGTAGCGCGTCCACTTTTGAAAGAAAATGTTAATAGTTGGCAAAGGAGTGCGGATAATGCTCTTTATTTTGAGGCAAGCGTTCCATAAAGATCTTCAAAAGAATGTCTCGCAAATCTGTATTCCAGAAATAGATATGTTTACCTGAGAAAGGAGTAGTCAACGAGAATGTGAAACATGGCGCCAGGTTCGAAATCTTCCTCAGTTCGATCCACAGGCGCCTTGACACCGACAAGATCATGTCTTGAAAAGGAACAAAATGTCAAAGAAATACAACCATTTCGTCATGACGAGCCTCTTTTTCAATTTGCATAAACTTCACTATTGACAAAAGTGCTATATCCCCGCTATATCCCCGCTATATCCCTTAAAGGCCAGAGACTTGCTGGAACATTCACGACATTTTTGGGTGTGGCAAAATTAGCCAAATCATTACGTCCAATATTATGCAACAAACGTCTTTCAATTTTACACAATTTGTATGGAACTATTTTTGTGGTCACTCAAAGGGTGCATAGACCGTGCACTATTGACCTCATGGGAAGTCAATCAGAGTTTTTCTCAGCACAATTGTTTTTTTTTATTGACATATTTGAGTTTTTTTTTAAATTAACATACTTGAGCTGCCACCACCGTTCGTTCCATTTGCCCTGCTCCACCGTACCGGCAAACGCGTCCCATCGCCACTGTTCTAATGCCAAGCTGAACGGTAGAGTACCGATGGTGTTCAGTGAAGTTTTCAGAAGAAAGTTGATGTCCGTTTCTGGAAACAAAAATCAAAGACAATTTCGTTGTGTTCAATCCCGTCTTAAACTTTTTAGTGGCTATGAAAAATAGTTCACTTTTTAATGTCGAACCAAAACTTTACGACAGTTAGTGGGGTGGCGGTATACAGGCCAATTTCGCAGTGACACCTAGCTCGCGTGCAGATTGAACGCGCACTTCAATGCTCCTTCAACCAATAGCCTTGCTAAATGCGCGCGCCTCAACTTCAGAAGCGCGCACAACATGCGTGCAAGCGCACGTGATACCACCTAGACCACGCCTATTCACTCACCTTGACTATCAACCTCGCCCATGGTGTCGTTCAACAGCCCAACATCCGGGTGTGACAGGTGAGTGGGCGTGGCTACCGACAAGGTAATGACCTCCCCAACTGCCTCATGGAAGGCACGATTGGCTCCATCACGGAAGGACGTGGGCAAGTCAGCGTACTGTAGGTAGTACTGTATATGCCCCATCTCATGATGAACAATCTGGAAATACTCCATGTTCACCTCTGTACACATCTTTATTCTGCCAAAAGAAAGAATATTTTACTTCTTAAACAAAAACATGAACCACTCCCAACATTAACCAACTATAGTCCCGCCAATATATAGACGCTTCTTGTCTGTTAATCAATCAGTGCGCGTTAACCAATAAGATCACGAATCTTGATCAGGTGATCACAATAGCTCGGAGAAACTCGGTCAGATGCATTGTGAGAAAAATACATGTGTAATTTATGAACACGGCACAAAATAATGGCCGAAATAATGGTCTATAATCAGCGAGCTATATAGAAATTTGTCAAACATTGATAAAGGAGCCGCTTGCGGTTGTTTGCATTATACAAATATAACATGGTTTGAGGGTCACGAATATGTATGAGGTATAGTAATGTTATTTGTTTGTTGGAGCCTCTTGCTGTTGTTTACATTACTTGTTTGTATGTCATCGGTTTTCTGTCACTGTCATTGTCGTCGTGTCATTGTTTGTTGACAACATTTACCTGACATCCTGTTCGTTGCCCATGTCCCAAGCGGAGGGGTGGCACACCACCTCCCGACCATCGGAGGGTTTCTCCAGCATGGAGTAGTTCCAGAACTTCTGGTTGACTCTCTTGAGTCCGCAAGACGCGAAGAAATCGTCGGCAAGTTGGAACATTCGCAGTGGGGTAAATCCCTGCCGGAGTGATCGGGAAAAATATTTATTTTAAAAATAAAAAAAATCAAATGAAGTTGACTTTTAAAAATAACGATGGGGATATCATAAACAGGGCTTCATTTACAAAACAACACAAAATGCATTCAGTTTCGTTTAATCATGTCGTCACTTGTGGGTATGTGTCTTTACTTTGATCATTGTTACCTTGGCAACCATAGTGTCAGTGACGTCAATATCTGGTGTGTCCGGATAAGGCAACACCTGTTTATAAATGTTGCCCCAAAAGCGCCCCCACATGTCACCTGTAAAACAAAACCAAGAAAAATCGTCACTTTGCGATTTACTTCCATTACCAGCTGCTCTAAAATTTGATTTCAGATGGACATTATTTTTCCCGTTGTACACAATAAAAGAATAGGGGGTGGGGTCATTGTTCCTTTATCGCACGATACCTAATAGGTTAGATGGAATACGCCCCTTGATGTCAACTTTATCCCCATGGGTTTTGTGCATGATTCCCCGGACGTAGGCATGGAGTTGCTTGTACAGCGGGAGGATGTCGTTGTATAATTTGTAAGCTTGCCCAACTAAATCCTCGACCTCGTAGTATGAACGCCAGTACGCTCCTGTATCGGGATATCCTGTAAAAATAAAAATAAATTAACAATAAAGAGTAAACAAAAACAAATTTTAACTATTTTCCCCTCATGTTCCATACGCACCCTCACCAAAATGGATCTGTCCCATACGTGGTTGGACTAGTTCCGCCCCGACGTCAAAGCGATAGTGAGGAACCGGGAACCAGTCTATTGCGTGACCTCTGCAAAATGATTGGCGCAAAGTAGTGTTAAACGCGTGACGTTGCGCCAATCAGATTGCAGATGCCTGAATAGTGGGCTGGCCCAGACTTACCATTGAGACGAGCTGCTTCATTGCTAAGTTCAATATAACGGGCATACAGAGGTTTGTTGGGAACGCCAACTCGGTCCCGAAATCCTTCCCATGCCCAGACCAGCTCATTCCAATCTCGGGAATTGGCCATTACTCGAGTCAACCCTAAAATAGTGAGAAAAAAAACAGGGGGAAAAATAATCGTCATTAAAACCAATAAACAGCACTCAGTACCGGTATTATATCTTCCATCATCAGACTGCCCATGATCCTCTATCTGTACGTTTCCTTTGGTGATTTCTGAGCTGAAGGGCCTAAACATTGCTCTGAAAAACTCTTGGGTTCATTTCAGTAAAGAGTTCGAATTATCTGAAAATAAAAACAACTTTTTTACCAGGTTCAAGTTGCAGACATACGCTCGCATTCTCCGGCCGGCATACCGTGCCAGTGCTGTAGTTATCGGTCATAGAATTGATCAATTCATTCAACTGTATAGCAGGAGAGATGAAAATCAAAGATTTGTTTGTGAAAATTTGAAACAAAAGAGGGTAACAAAAATCCAAAATATATAGAAGAATGTAAATCAAAAAAGATGGGGAAAATTGATGATTGTCAATATAGAGGGGCAACCCTTTAAACCAATCATGACGGTGGTCCGTTACGGGAACAGGTGAGCTTGTAATTTACAATTAAAATTAGAGAGTTAATAACCTCTTCCACTTTGGCCGAATCGAGCGCCGCCGTCCCAATGTCACGTATCTTGCTCAGTCGTCGTCTGACGTCATCGGGGAAAGTTGTATCGTCGAAACGGCTGGCGTTCTGTCCCGCTTCATTGATAAACGCCGCGTACACCAAATTCGCTTCCACCTTTCCCAAAACATATGGGTCAAAATAACAACTGTTTTAAAACTCACAGACTTTAAATTATCAAGAAAGAAAGAATACATCTAGAACGTTTCTTTTGTTGAGCGAGATTTTATAAATGTTGTTTTCAATTGATGCACATTTTAAGAAGGAATAGTTATGTCCTTGTTATTGGGTACAGATACTATTGCAAACTACTTTGCAGGAAACAGTATTGGTCCGTGTGTAATGATAATTCTGACCTCGAAAAGCAGTGTGACTTCACCGAGTTAGTCATCAGTCCAGTTAGTCATGCTGCGTACATATTCATTAGGGCTGATTTGAAACCATGCATGTCTTGGAGTATCCAGGTATTTTCCCCCACGGGATCGTCAAATTTAGTACCGAAGCCAGGAGTTCAGGTTGACGCAGTGGTTAGGCTTTCCTCGCCTTCCACGAACCACTATGACCCGGGTTTGATTCCTTCCCAGACCACATGTGGATTGGGTTTTCAGTCCCTGCCTGATTCCGTGGGTTTTCCCATCAGAATATTCTTCTGGGGTTTTCCTCCCACCTGCTAAAACTGCAATTTCTTCTCCTTGTCTCCTCTCTACAGGTTTCTTCAGGCTTTCGAGCCACAGTGCCCAGTGCACTGTTGAGGAATCCTTGGTTTCATTATAGAAAGAAATAACATAAATTAACAGACTAAATAAATTTCAAGTTCCGGAATATATTGAAGTCATCAATCTTGGATAACAGTATATCTGGAACACTAAAACCGCCGAGAGTGTCACGTGTTGGTCCTCTTGGAAAAAGTTCCCTCCTTATTTCGTTTGCAGGACAAACTTCGTTGAAATTATTTTTTCAGCAGAGCGCTGTCAGTACTAGTGACATAAATCGATGGAGAAAGGTGATTATTTCCTTTTCCCAAGGAAAATTTGAATAATATATCTTATGGCCTCCCTCAAACGTCTACAACCAAAACAAACTTGTGAGGGTAAAATCTTTTCTAGAGTTGCAGACATTCAATTGGCAACCTTTCACAAGATGGCAATTTTGAATTTCTCAATCATGAGAAAAATTCTCAAGCCTTGCGAGTTTTTGGCGCCGGTGTGAAAAAGGTTTCAGCCGACCTCGGACTATATGGACTATAGGCTACACTACCACGGATTTTCTCGCACTTGGGTTGAAAAAGATGACTGTACTGCCAGGCTTTTGCCCCTTGAATGAAATCTTACGTAACTACTCAGAAACGGTGCTAATATAGAGTCCTGGTTTTTGCTAGTTTGACCTCGCTTTCGTTACGTTTCAATATGACGGTATGCAAAAAAAAAAAGCTAAAATACACCCACCTCCTTCTGCTCGTTGTGATCCGAGATATTGGTGGAAAACTCCCAGCCAGCTAGAGTGGCTTCATACTCCAGCACCGATAAACTCTCGTTGTAGCTGGCTAAGAACTCCCTAGCCTGGTTCAAATCAGTAATAAGTTCCTGATGGTGATCCCCGCCTCCATGAGCAGTCGATACAGCTGGGAAAATCACGAGGAGAAGAACAAACGACCACATTTTGGTCACAAATTGGGACTAAAGTTCGCACGCTTGTCGTTTAGTGGATGCAATAAGACGAACTGTGCCTGGCTGAGCTTGCCAGATGTTTTGCCTTTTGATTCCACGGTCGAGTCATCATTACCAGACGTCATGCTAACATCCCCGCACTCATAGGTCAAGGCTGGTCGTACGAGTCTTATAAATTATTGGATGCATTAAAGAGATTTGAGGCTGGGTCCTTTCTAGATGCTTAGTCAAGGTCTTTCAAGTATGGTGGCTGGCCCCTAAGTTGTTTATCCCAAAGCGTTTGTCTAGCTTAACCCAGCTGACTTAAAACATGGTACCGATTCCTTTTTAAATAAATAAACAAAAAGTTCCATGAAATTTTTATATTGGAGGACCGAAAGTGAATCAACTAAACCTAGAATTTTATCATGATTTATGCATTTGGGTTATTGACATGCTTATCAGGTATTGACTGGATAACTGATCATCAATAATAAAACTTATCAGTTATCGATAGTTAATGCACAGAGAATGGGCCAATTAGAACAATGATTGGCACTGATTAACTGATTGATCAATTGATGATCTATTTGATTGCTGATTGATTGACTTATTGGTTGATTGATCGATCAATTGATGATCTGTTTGATTGCTGATTGATTGATTAATTGATTGACTAATTGATTGACTGATCAATTGGCTGATTTGCTTAATATTAATTACATTAATTGAGTGTATAATTAGCATATGATTGCTGATTGATTGATTAATTGATTGACTGATCAATTGATTGATGATTGATCAATCGATCAATCAATTGATTGATTGAATGATTAACTGACTGACCGACTAGTAAATTGACTGATTTGACTCACTAATTGGCTGATTTGCATAATATTAATTAATTACATTCGTTAAGTGCATAATTAGCATATGATTGATGATTGATTGATTAATTGACTGATCAATTGATTGATGATTGATTAATCGATCAATCAATTGATTGATTGAATGATTAACTGACTGACCGACTAGTAAATTGACTGATTTGACTTACTAATTGGCTGATTTGCTTAAAGGGAAAATACAACATTTGCAAACATAAAAAAAAAACCTACCAAATCATTTTGAAATAACTTGCTGGGCTGTTAGTGAATGACAGTGTAAAGCACCCTGTAAATCATGACACCTGGTATACTGTCATTTTCAAGAAAAGTGGTATTTTTGTATCAATTTCCAACGCTGATCGGCCGATCAGCGTTGGAAACAACTGGCTTTTTTTCAAATACTGGCCCCAATTGACCATCGCACTTGTTTGCAATCGATTACAAACCTATGAACGGGTACGAGCCAGCTAGACTGGTTCCCTGACCTTACAATTCCCCAATGTATGTAAACTGCTCTGTTTCTTCTTATATGGAGTCAGGGAACCAGACTACAGGAAAATGATCGTTTTTCTTGGTTTTTATTGCATTTTCGAACCCAAAACCTCAAAAAAGTCAGTGTAACTATATTTGCTATATATTTCCAACCCCCCAATTCCATCCATTTCTGAAAATCACAGCAAAAGCAAATGATGTATATTCCCTTTAATATTAATTAATTACATTCATTAAGTGTATAATTAGCATACGCAAATTTGCTAAAGACCAATTCAAAGATTCACACATGATCACAAGAGTAAAATGTCATGAAAAAGAATTTAATTCAAATTATCCCCAAAGTAAAAAATTTAATCACTCATAATCAAAATCATTTACCTGTAAATTTGTAATGATATTGACAAGAGAAAATAAATTTAATCCATGTACAGTTTTCAGTGTTTGAAAATGTTTTATTTACACTTTCTTTTGGTTTTATCAGGACTTCTTGGAAAAAATCTGATCCAGTTGCCAGTTCCTGAACAGAATCTTGCAAGGAAATGCAAAGGATTGTGGATTGTGGTGGAGTACTGTGGCCTGGTGGTTAAGGGCACTGATTCGTGGTCTGTGGGTAAAGCTGCAGGTTGTGGGTTCGAGTCCTGGCGGGGTCATGGTGCGTGTGCCCTTGGGCAAGGCACTTTGTCACTCATTGCTTCTCTCCACCCAGGAGTAAATGGGTACCTGTGAGGGCAGAGATGGTTATTGTGATTGAATTAGCTTCCTTGCGCCTAACAGGCTGCATCGAGCTGTATACTCCCCAGGGAGCTGAGATGGTATTTGTAATGTTTCATGGGCCCAATGAGCAGGGGTAATAATGATGTAGCGCCTTGAGCACCAGTCCTGGTGGATACGTGCGCTTTATAAATATCCACTATTATTATTATTATTAAGCCAACTGTTTGTCAATGGCGCAAACAATCAAAAATGATCTTTTTGCATGACGACACACTTGACAACTAATCAATGAAAATATTCCTGTCCAACAGGTTTCAAGTTTGGAATTCAGATATTCTGAATTTGGTGATATTTCACAACTCCTTATCTCCATCGAAATTTCTAATAAATATACAAGGATTTCAGGCTAAGTTGACAGAAACATTGTTGTAAGTCTCGAGTCTTAACTGAAGTCAGAGTCTTTTTACAAACTTAGGACTTGGAATTGGAGACAGAGTCTGATGTTGTGAACTGCACTACAACAGTATATGAGTGTTACTTATTCAGCTGAGGTACTTTAAAACATACGCAAAATTGACTGAGGGTTATTTGACGCTGATGCTGATTATTTTGATCTCATCCAGCGGCTTGTCTGTCTTAGAATGTGTCTTGACCTCGCTGATCTTCTGCGCCACCTCCATGCCTCTCGTGACCCGGCCGAAGACCGTGTGCTTGTTGTCCAACCAGGGCTGAGGAAAACAAAAAGAAAAAATTGTAACTTTCATTGAAATTGAAAACTTCTAAATTTGTGCTATGTTGTCAATCACCCATTTTACCATATGTAATACGAGATTATCCTATTTCAAATTTTGGGCCGTAGGCTTGCCCATCTATGACCAGCCAGAAAACATGAGTAACGGTCGGAGAACTTACACATGGCACGACCGTGATGAAGAACTGGGATCCGTTAGTGTTGGGTCCCGCGTTGGCCATACTGAGCGTGTAGGGTAGGTTGTGTTTTAACGTTGGATGAAACTCGTCGGCAAACTCACCACCCCAGATGGACTCACCTCCCGTGCCATCCCCTGAAAAGTGGAAACGATAATCAGCAGGTGCATGATGGGACAAAATGGCGGCTCAAGGCCGAGTTTGTATTGGACTTGGCTATGTGTTGTAGTTATACATGAGCTGGCTGAAGCAGCTGAAAGCCACTTCCCATTTTTAGATTGGATCCTGTCCTTACCTTCCACAGTCTCAACAATAATTGAGAGACTAGGTACCAGTTTACCTAGCTCCAACTGTTTAGCCGTGTCCGATTTACGTGGCTACGGCTAGAAATTACAAACACGCCTATGGAAGCCGCTGCAGCCACTTCCCATAGACCAGTGTGTTATTTCCAGCCATAGCCAAGTACTCAGGCAAAACATTCCCGGTACTCAAGCAGCCATTCCCAAAGATTTCATTGGATAAATACGTGGACCAGTGAAATGGAAGAGCCCTTCACTAGCCCTTGTTGCTAGGCAACAGAGCGCCCTCTTTAGGTCCTGCATAGAACCATTGATAGTCAGTTAAATATGAATTTATTCTCAAACTTTGCAGAACTTACCGAGAGGGTCGCCGGTCTGTATCATAAACTGCTTGATGACGCGGTGTATGATGTGTCCGTTGTAGTAACCGTTCCTACTGTGAACACAGAAGTTCTCAACCGTCTTTGGACATCTGTAAAAAGTTGAAATTTAGTTTTTTATTAAATATGTCAATCAAGAAACTAACACATATGAAAACATTCTGAACTTTTTTTTTTTTTTTTTTTTTTACAGGAACTCGATGCTGCGGCCAAACCTGGAAAGTAAGTACTACTCTTTCAAAATTCCCCCCCCCCCCAAAAAAAACAGGATAAAAGTAGGACTTTTGCAGGCTTTCAGGAGAAGTTTTCGTTGATAATCACCAATGTCCACAGCATCATAAGCCTCATTTGGCATGTTCTGTACTCACAACACTTGTGCTCCATCCTCAACAAAGCTCTTGGAAGTACAGTTGCAGTACTCCTGCGCCCAAGCCCTTCATTGTGTGATTTACATATGACAGTGTGTCGTCACATATCATTTTTTCAGAGTTGTGGGACAAAAAAGTAGGAAAAAGAAGGAATTTCAAGAAAAAAGTAGGAAAACCTGAAAGCCTAATTCTAACAACAGTAACAAAAGAAGGAGATTAACTCTCAGTATTGTAATAGTAAGCATTGTCAATTAGGGTCACTTTCCAAAAAAGATTTAACGTAAAAAGTGCATTTTGTTTTAACTATCCAACTGCATACATGTCTTCCGAAAAAAATTCTGACATTAAAATATTTGTTTTGTCTACATTTTTTAGAATGTAATCATAAATATTTGGTTCTTATCAAGTCGGTATCAGCGTGAGAATGACTTACTCTGTCTGGAAGAGCTGCACGGTGACATCTCCCATGGATGTGTGTATGCAGGCTTGGTTAGATAACCTCTGTGCGGTCGTACCCTGGGTAGACAAAACAGAAAAAGTCAAATAGAGCAAGCTTTATCACTGATGTCTTTGGATGGAATTTAGGTAAGGTGAAGTTATTTTTTAGTCCTACCCAAGTAAGATTGTGATTTTTTTTTCTCTCTTTCGGAAATATGGAGCATTGTATGCTTATGACATTACACTGGCACATTCCAATTTAAAAAAAAATATTACATTTTCAAACGGCAATTTGTGCAATGCATTTTTAATCACAACTGTTTGATATTGATTAGAATTATTGTCCACTTTGGTGGAAAGAATTTAAGAGAGCATTTAGCAATTCGTTTGAAATGCAAGTCAATATTGGGTTTTTGCCCTTCAGCGACGTATAAACACTGTACACTCAGTGTGTAACCTCCCGAGTGAAAGTTGGAAAAAATCACTCGGGTGGGACTCGAACCCACAACCTCCTGCTATCTAGTGCAGACGTCTTACCACTCGACCATCGAGCTAACGGGATCGGTTGGCTGGTTCGAATCTGATGTACATGGCAGCGGGTACCGCAGTTGGCTATTTATCAGATGGAATTTGCGTCGGGGTGATGTAAATCAATATTAGGAAATGCAAGTGTTAATACAAACCTGTGTGGCGGCCATTTGCTCTTCTTTGGACGGCTTTTCATTGAAAACGTCTCGCTCCGCGTCCGCGCTAAAACAAACAACAAAACAGTTTGTCAACATATTTGCAATTATTTCTTTTGAATAAAATAATACCACATATCAGTGCACAGAACAAAGTTATGCCAACTTGTTTAGTTGTATGATATTGGGCCCAATGCTTGGCCAAAATCAACGAATTTACAAAACTTGCAAAAATGACAACGAACCTTTTGGCGTCGTCCGGCCCGCGTAAGCTGAACAGGTAGAATCGATTTTTCTTGAAGGCAGTGCAGACCAGCGTGGGGTCCAAGTTCAGATTGATCAGAGCGGGGTTGTCTGAGGCTTGCATCTCCACTGAAAGGGCGGCCTTCGTGGGTTTGGAGACACCCTGGTGGAGGGCGAGCTGTAAGAAGCGAATATTCTCCGGCTACATGGGGGGGGGGGGGGGGAAGACAGATAACATGAATAATAATATGATGCTTAAAGAGCAATATTACCCAGTTTCATCAGGCCATAGGACTAGTTTTCTGTGGCATGAGAACACACGTGCAGATGAAGCAAACTGTCGTTTTTGTTTTCATGCTGTAAAAATATTTTCATGAATTGTTTTATATTTTCGGCGTTTCAGATTTCAACCCACCTTTCCCAACATTCTTGAGCACTTGTTGGTGTACAGGTTCAGGATCTTGATGCCCAGCATTGTAGCGTACAGAACAAAGTTTCCGGTCTCGTCAAAAACTGCCCAAAAAAAAAGAAGAAAAAAAATTCAACTTGAGCAAATTTGTAGCTTGGATATATCACGTTACATCACAAATTCTCGTTTGTGTTGGCCCTGGTAAACCCACCGATGTTTGCTAATGAGAATGACTCTGATTTCTGCAGGTCCCTCTCAGCCGCCATTCGACGACCAAACTCCATGTCAGGTAGCTGTTGTCTCATCTGCTGCAACTCACTGAATGTCTGCAACGACTCGTCAAAGACTCGCGTCAGTTTGCCTGTCAGAAACTTGAAGACCCGCACCTAGGAAACAACACCAAATTTGTAATAGGTTGGTGAATGTTTTCTTTGTTTGAGGGGGGTATGGTTTAGTGGTCAGAGTTTGAGAGGGGATTCAGGGTTTGAATCTTGCTACCGGACATATGTTGTGTCCTTGGGCAAGCCATTTTACCCCATTCACCCTCTATAGTGATTATATTGGCCTTTAAAGGGGCATGCGCATTGCATGGATAACCCACCCGACTTTTAAATAGAACTTTAATTTTGAAATACCTTCCGGTCTTTGGCAAGAGTGGCAAAGAGTTTGCCGTTGGGTGAAAACGCAACTCCCATCGGAACGGTCTTGCACTGTCACAATAAAAGGAAAAAAAGATTCCAGTTTATTAAAATCATTTGAATTTAGCTTTTAAACCAATGATGTAGTGGTCAGCATTAGTTCCTTAATAAACAAAAGTTTTAACAGAAATTGGGAGGGTCAGAAGAATTCTGGATGGGATTACCACCTATTCAAACTGTTTCAATTTTTGATGAAATGTTGATTTTAATTGCCTTGATTATGCAAACTAGAAGAAACACTTTTAATTGAGAAAAAAAAATATGTTCCGGTGAGTACAATGAATAGGGGCAACAGTTTGCTGTAGCTGTTTGCCAAAACACAATTTGTAATTCACACCATTTTCAAATGTTCCAAATAGTCCGAACCCTTGTAAAAGAAATGTTCTAAACCTACCTTAACAAACTCATAGAGGTCAGTATCTGTCTTGTACTTGAAGGCAACTTGTGTGGGAAACTTGTAGTCTTTCTTGGGTCCCGTCCAGTATTCAACAATGCCCTGTTTGTCGACTGACAACATCACCTCATAGATGGGGTTATACTGTAGAAAGTAAGGTACCAAAATAATGGTCATAAACATGTGTATAGAAAATGCTTACGACATTAAAACAATTTATTTATGCCTCATATTTATACTTTTTAGATAACACTTTTTTGTAATATTTAAATTTAGACGAATTAAGTGTTGGAAATCACGCCTGTCACTTTGTGACTTGAGCCAACAGAGGGCGTCATCTCTTGCGAACGATGTATCATACCTTCATGACGATGACGGGGCTACTGTGCAGTGAGCTGAGTGTGTGGATTGCAATGCTGCTTGACCGACCATCGTAGATGTGAATGTTGCCGGTATTTTTCTCCGAACTATAAAGTATTTAAAAAAAGGGTAAATTTAAAAACAAGAAAGTGCTACAAGTTTCTTACAGATATATTTATTTACTACTGCACTCTCTGATAAACCAAGAAAACTATGGCATTGTGGTTTCAAATAGGGCTAGGGTTAAATTTTCACAAATTCTTTTGAAGATTCAAGGTTGCAGAGAACATTTTTTCCGGCTTACCAAGCTAATGCAGAGATGGCGTCACCTGACCTATATACCCACTCACAACATCCCGGCTCATAATCAATCTTCATCATGTTGATCATATCTATCAATTAAACAAAAAATAATTGTGAATATTTGGCATTATACACTCTTAAAAATGACAACTTAAGTTTGGGTAATTGAAAAACAAGATGCAGAAATGCAACCGAGACTAAATTTTTATTACTTGAAAAAAATACACAACCTAAAATTTAAGCAAAGTCTCAAGGGAGTTTCACATTTAAAAGTTTCTGAATCTCGCAAAATTCTACACTACAGGTCTGCAGCCAACTAACGATCCGTTTTTTCTACCGAAAAACATTTGGGAAGATAAGCCCCTTATAGTAGCTGGGCTATACAGTCCTGATTCCATCAAAATCAACCAAAATCCAGGTGTTGGATTTTCATGGAATTTCAAGGGTTGGAGTTAAAGGTTGTACTCACCAAAATTGACAACATCAAATATTTTCATGGATTTGTCGTCAGCAACTGTGCAGAGTAGCATGCCGTCCACACTGACTGATATACTCCCAATCCGTCCTGTGCCAAAAACAAAAAAGTTTCAAATATGAAATTCACAAATATTCGCCCAAGTGACAAAGTGAAACACAATGGTGGACAAACAATATTGTTAAGATCTTTACTGCTTACCCAGATGTGCTCTGAAATGCTTCACAAACTCAATACCGAGGTCCTGTTTTTTCCAGAATTTCACATGGCCATCGCAACTCGCTGTGATTATATACTCTGTCCTGAAAGAAATCAAAGATGAAAAAGCTTGACATCCATTGACATAGGCCTAAATATTCAGTAAAATATTTAACGCTTAATAGTAGTAGCAAACTTGGGAAAGCCCCATATCTTTCGATGAACAAGAAAGGCTGTAATCATCAATACTCATGAAATTTAATTATCTTCAAAATCAACGAAGCTATTAATTTGGTTTGATTTCATCTGACCGGTAAGTGCTAATTATAAGCACATCTTAAGCATACTTGCTGACTGCGATGTGTGTTATGACGTCCCGGTGCATGTAGCTTTTCTCATACAGCTCTGCCGATGGTAGATTCCTTAGATACGTATCCTCAAACTCAAGAACTGTAATGAAGAAAAGCGAAAGTTGATGGATTTTCATAGACTTATGAAGATTTGGAATTGCAATTCCCTTGTCAGAAATTTTAAAATTTTACAAAATTTAGGCCTACTGTAGTACTGACTGATCATAAAGCTATATGGCTGAAAAATATTTGTATTTCCAAACAAAACCGTATCTTTTTGGTGGAAAATTTAAACTATACGATATCTTGATTCTTATTATTTTTATTTAGCACTTCAAAAAAAGTTCAAAATTTGTTCAAATTAGTATGGTGCCTACTCAAATTCACCTTGCATAATAACACGAGAGGTCTAGGTACAGCACCTAACAAAGCAATGAAAAAAACACACTGCCATATCTCCCCTTTTTTCTTTAAATTTTCCACTTGCCTTTTCGTTTCTTTGGTTTGACTGCCTCGGCAGGCATAGGACCAATCCATTCTTCATCTCCCTCCTCTTCGATCTGTCGTTTTCCTCCTGATTCTGACGATAGTTGCGCTGGTTCTTCCATGTTTGTAGTTGTCGACGGTGCTTTCGCGTTTTCAATGTTTTCAATGTTTCCCAATCGGGAATTTGACCCGTTTACGCCGCCCGTCTGCGAATAGCGCACTTGGTATTTTTTTACTTGTAAACATTTTGCTTGGTGACACCCATTTGCTTTTTAGTGGGCGGTTCGTGTGATCGTGGTGTGTGGGGGGAGGGACTTTGTTCTTTACCCTCTTTATTAAATGCAATAATTGACCCATTTTCTCTAGTCTTTTTTTTTTTATTATAAATTGGTCTAGAGGAAAATAAGGAATAGAACATAATTTCTAATCCTGCCCAAAATTGGTAAGAAAACACTAAAATTATAATAATTTGTGCCAGTCTAATCAGCTGGCCGTCCGGTGCCAATAGAGGGCGTAACACTACCGCTCCATGTTTCGCGTCCGCGTAAATGTGAATGAAATGTCACAGAAAAAAACTAGATTTAGGAGTAATATTTGAATTTTATTTTCACAATGGATGGTCAACCGAAAACACCCGATGGTAAGTTGTTACTTGTAGGAATTATGGTACGTTTTTAGTGGCAGTAAATGACTTTAGACTTCGGCTGAATAAAACTGAAAAGTGGCTTGCACTCGACTCGCTCAGTTGCAGATTAATGGCCACCTTTTGGGGGCGGGGGAATATTGGGGGGGGGGTAATAATGTTTTCTAACTTTTCCTTTTTTTAGCATGCAGGGAATCTATAATCAGAGCACACTGTCCGTACAAACATTTCGTGTAGAGTTATGTGTAATTAAACAAGTTTTGAAGCAATAAGATAAAATGTTAATTTTGTTAGGATATTTTGTTTCTCTGTTTTGTTTGTTTGGGTATTAAAGGGAATATACAACATTTGCAAACATCGAAAAATAAAACTACCAAGTTTTTGCGAAATACCTTAATAGGATGTTGGTAAATGACAGTCTAAAGCATCCTGTAAAATTATGGCACCTGGTATACTGTCATTTTCAAGAAAAGTGGTATTTTTGTATCAATTTCCAACGCTGATCGGCCGATCAGCGTTGGAAACAACTGGCTTTTTTTTCAAATACTGGCCCCAATGGACCATTGCACTTGTTTGCAATCGATTACAAACCTATGAACGGGTACGAGCCAGCTAGACTGGTTCCCTGACCTTACAATTCCCCAATGTATGTAAACTGCTCTGTTTCTTCCATTGATCTCCATATACTGTGTATATGAGATCAATGGTTTCTTCTTATATGGAGTCAAGGAACCAGACTACAGGAAAATGATCGTTTTTCTTGGTTTTTATAGCATTTTCGAACCCAAAACCTCCAAAAAGTCAGTGTAACTATATTTGCTTTATTTTTCCAACCCCCCAATTCCATCCATTTCTGAAAATTACAGCCAAAGCAAATGATGTATATTCCCTTTAAACCGTGTAGTTTCGGCACTTTATGTTTTGGGACTAAAACTTAAACATTAGGCTATGATACAAGTAGGAAAAGTGTTTGTGTTTGAATATCAGCTAGCTTGATTTTATGGAAAGACTAAAGAGGGCAGGGTTTTGATTTAGGCCTATAAATGGATCTTGTTGTAAAACATTAGATTATAATTTAGTAGCTCTACTGAGTGGAGCGTTGAATTACGGGTACCCCTCCATACAAACGCTCCACCGATTTGCCATACTTTGGTAGCACTTACACGGTCGTCATGACGGTATGCATTTTGTGCATGCCCTCGCGAGGACAAGGCCCAAAAAAACTGATAAAGAAAATGCAAATGAGAAAGACAGTAACCCTGGATAGATCCACACATTCATGACATTCCATATGAACCCTCAAATTGTTTCAAACAACCGGTAATTTTGAAAAAAGAACAAAATAGTCTGAACTTACCGCTCACAATTAAATGTGTCTGCTGAGTTGCACAGTCTATTTCACTGACATGACTGATGCATAATTCATTGCGCGCGTGTGTGACGTCACTATTGAAGAAAAACAAGTCGCGCTTAATCAATGACTGTTTCATGTACTGATATGTGCCCCGCACCAAAAACCCACAGTCAGATGGCGCAGGGCACATATGACTACATGAAACAGCAATTGAGTAGGCGCAACTTGTTTTTATTTAATAGTTACGTCACACACGCGCGCAATGAATTATGCATCAGTCATGTCAGTGAAATAGACTGTGCAACTCGGCAGACACATTTAATTGTGAGCGGTAAGTTCAGACTATTTTGTTCTTTTTTCAAAATTACCGGTTGTTTGAAACAATTTGAGGGGTCATATGGAATGTCATGAATGTGTGGATCTATCCAGGGTTACTGTCTTTCTCATTTGTATTTTCTTTATCAGTTTTTTTGGGCCTTGTCCTCGCGAGGGCATGCACAAAATGCATACCGTCATGACGACCGTGTAAGTGCTACCAAAGTATGGCAAATCGGTGGAGCGTTTGTATGGAGGGGTACCCGTAATTCAACGCTCCACTCAGTAGAGCTAATAATTTAGAGGTGTCCTAAACTACACGATTACCTTTGTTTGTTTGCTTGATTTTAACACATTCTTTACATTAAATTTGCAATTACAGATCTTCATAAAAATAGCTCAGAATGTTTTTTTTGCATTCTTTAAAAATATAATTTAGAAAAACGAACAGTGCCCATTTTTGTCCGAAGATATATTTGAGCAGTTTATTTTAACTAATTGTTTTATCCTGTTTTTTTTTCTCCAAAAACTCAGACCCCGAGCTCAAGAACATCATCGACAAACTGGCCAACTTTGTGGCTCGGAATGGGCCGGAGTTTGAAAAGATGACAAAACACAAGCAGATGAACAACCCCAAATTCAACTTCCTGTATGGCGGAGAATACTTCAACTACTACCAGTGTAAAGTTGCCACTGAACAACAGAGTAAGTTGAATTAAATCTAACAATTTCATAACCCTTACTTTATAGCCATAACCGTCCCAAATCCCTGAAACGACCAAGTTCTTGTTTGGTTCTATTTTGTTGGGTTTAGAAAGGGAAAGCAAACTATTGTCCAAGTATGACTATTTTTTGTGTGATTGTTACAGTCATCCGACAACGAAAAGAGAAGGTGGCACAGCAACAAGCGATCATTCAGGAAGTCATCACCCAGAAAGCCATCCAGACTGCACCCTGGCAGCAGCAAGCACAGCAGCAACAGCAGCATCTGCCAATGCCGCCGCAGCTTCCAGGGCCGCAGATGCAGCAACCCCCGCCACAGATGGCCCCACCACCCTGGCAGCAGCCCCAGCCGCAACCCCAGCCCCAAGCCCTACCACCCTTGCCCCACCCTCCCCAGCAGCTGCCCGGGCCGCACCACCCATCCTTGCAGCAGCAACAGCAACAACTGCAGATGCAGCAGCAGCACTTGCAGCAGCAGATTCAGGTCGAGAAAGAGAAGCAAGAACTGCTGCTGAAGGAACGGCAGGAGAAGGAGCGACTGGAACAAGAACAGCAGCTGATCCAGAGGGAGCGAGATCAGTTACAGGCACAGATCAAGGAGAGCGAGGAGAACCTACAGAAACAGCACGAAGTTTACCTCCTTCAACAACAGGTGCGATCGAAAAATTACTGTTTTTAAATTGATTTATAAAGCTAAATTCTTGAGTAATCTCATGACCTTTCACCATTTTTTTTCAGACAAAAGAGTCTCTGCTTAGCACTTTTCTTAGCAGGTTTTCTTCTATACAACTGATGCAAATGCAAAAACCTATCCATTGTTGAGATGGTCCCTTAGCACAGTATTTCATATCCTTTCTGATTTGTCTTAATTTTTTTCAGGAACAAATCGAGTTAGGGATCGCCTCGGCGCAGGATCAGCAGCTCCAGAATTTAGCCAAGGAACTGGAAGTGGACATCGGCGAGTTTGACAACCGACTACAGGTCATCATAGAATCCTGTACAAAGGACGCCATTTCGGTGAGGAAGTTTTAATTTCTTATTGAATTCGTGTATGAATGCTTCAAATCCTTGTCTATAATAATGTGTTGCATTTAATGCGCTTTATACCATGTCTCATAGGCTTCACAATTATTACCCCTGCTGATTGGGCCATTAGACCAGTTCTCTGCAGCAGCTCAAGATCAGCGCAATCTGGCCTCTACCCTCACAGGTACCCATATATACTCCTGGGTGGAGACAGGCAATTGTAGTAAAGTGTCTTGCCCAAGAACACAAGCATCAGTGCAATCTGGCCTCTGCCCTCACATGTACCCATTTATACTCCTGGGTGGAGAGAGGCAATTGTAGTAAAGTGTCTTGTCCAAGAACACAAGCATCAGTGCAATCTGGCCTCTACCTTCACATGTGTACCCATTTATACTCCTGGGTGGAGAGAGGCAATTGTAGTAAAGTGTCTTGCCCAAGAACACAAGCATCAGTGCAATCTGGCCTCTACCCTCACATGTACCCATTTATACTCCTGGGTGGAGAGAGACAATTGTAGTAAAGTGTCTTGCCCAAGAACACAAGCATCAGCGCAATCTGGCCTCTACCCTCACAGGTACCCATATATACTCCTCAGTGGAGAGAGGCAACTGTAGTAAAGTGTCTTGCCCAAGAACACAAGCATCAGTGCAATCTGGCCTCAGGCCTCACATGTACCCATATATACTCCTGGGTGGAGACAGGCAATTGTAGTAAAGTGTCTTGCCCAAGAACACAAGCATCAGTGCAATCTGGCCTCTGCCCTCATCTGTACCCATTTATGCTCCTGGATGGAGAGAGGCAATTGTAGCTAAGTGTCTTGCCCAAGGACACAAATACCACCCTCCCGTCCAGGATTCGAACCCACATTGAACCCACGTGGATCAGACATCATAGCCATTGGACCACTGCGTTCCACACCACAGTGCATTCCGACATGAAATGGATGGGTTCTTACCAGTTTTATTAAAACAATATTTTTAACAAGTTCACATTTTTTTTTCGCCAACAGAACGGAAAGCTTTGGATTTTTTCCACCTCCAAGTCCAACCGGCATTGCTTACTGGTTACCCGGTATCTCTTGCATAAGATTATCCCCGAAGGAACTCCCTTCGAGGCCAAGCTCCATCTTATATACCTCATCAACGATGTTACCCATCACTGGTAAGGCTTGAAACAAAAACACAAGTGAAATCTCACAGAGGACATATAGTGTTCTTGCAAAGGGAAATTCAAAGGCTTACATTGCTAGCCATAAACCATGCAAGGAATTTTTCCTCGGATCAGCTGATTTCCTATGTGTTTTTTTTCATATTCCCATGTCTGCCATTAAACATAAAAAAAAACACTTTACAAAGTTTTCTGAAGCCTTGGAATTTCCTCTTTTGTGGCTTTTCAGTTGTTTTGTACACATCAGGGCTTTCTTGTTCTTAGTCCGTGTAGTGGTCTTCATGGATATAGTCGTGTTCCCTAACGTGGCGCACTTCGAAGCTTACCCAACTTTCCTCGTGTAGTGTTGCCAAACCTCTTTGTTGACAAACCTCAAATTCATGCAGTAAAATAATGGTACTTTTACCTTATTAATGCTTGCTATTTAACCTCCGTGAACAATTTCGGTTTCATAAAATTTAAGCCGAAATTAAAAAACGGTGGCGTCCGGAAATTGGGCACAAATTGGCGGAGTGTTCCCTAACGTGGCGCACTTAAATAAATCTCAGAAAATTCCAAATTAACATTTAAGAATTTCTGTAAACTTGATCAATTCTGATAAATCATTATTATTTCTACTTACATACCCAGCCAGATGTTTGTCAGAAAATTATTTTCTTATTTTTCGGGGCTTTTTCAAAGGTTTCACTTTGCACTCGAAAATAAAATCGGAAAATCACGCCAAAATAAATTTTTCTTTTAACTTTGTAGCGGGTAAATAAACTCGCAATTTATGAACGGGAGTGTTTAGAACTTGATGAAATTTCACTTTCTGTGAAATTTCAGTTAAAACTTTTGCTCTAGCTAGGCGCTACAGGCAAAAAATCAAAGTGCACCACGTTAGGGGCCGCGCCACGTTAGGGTACATCAACAATACAAACATTGAAATGCACGTCCTTTTTCATAAAATTTCAAAATGGTTAAAGTTGCTGGGCCTTATATTTTGAACTCAACAGATATTTATGAAAGCCAAACGACACGAGATGACATGTTGCAATAAATATTTGTGCATGGTTTAAAGGGAATATTGAGTTTGAGGGCATAGATTTGGTGTTAAATTTTCAACGGACTTTTGACTCTTTTACAAATTTTTGTAGCATGCGCAGAGGTGCGGAAGAACTTCAGTTGGCCTTGGGGCAAGTGGTGGGCCCCATCTTCTGCTCGACATACCTCCTTGCAGACGAGGGAAAAAAGCAAAAATTGGAAAAGGTATTCATACAGCACACAGTAAATTTATCAGTGACACACTCCAATAAATTGAGAGTAAAAAGTGTCTCATTGAAGGCAAATTAAACACACAAACTGCATGGATAAAAATCAATCATTTTGAAATAAAGTTTCTTCATTATCTTAGAGTGCAAATACAGTACAAAATTTATCCATATTTGATCGGACAATACCGGTAAGAAAATATCAGACATCTGGCCATAATTTCATCGTGTGTTTAAGCATCCTCCATTAACTTCCTGGTTTGTTCACCGGTCTTTTGTCTTTGTGACTTTCTTATCGACAGGTTCTGAAACTGTGGGAGACAAACAAGTACTTTGACGAAAGCGTCATGACGGCACTGAAAAGTCCCAAGAGCTCCATGTCTGCATTCCTTGTAAGAATTTGTTGGATTTTTTTTAAAACTGTCTCCATAAAGGGCTTTACATTTGCTGGCACTGCGTCACTATTACCCCTGCTCAGCAGGCCATTAAAATATTCCTGAGACAATGTCAGCTCCTTTGGAAATAAACAGCTCAAAGCTGCCTTTGCTGAACGTTTAACAACCATCGCTGCCCTCACAGGTACCCATTTACTCCTCTCAAGGAATAGCAAATAGGACAAAGTGCCTTGCCCAAGGACACACGCCACAATTCCACAGGCTGGACTTGAACCCGCAACCTGCAGAATAACCCACAGATCTTGTGCTAGACACACCAGCCAGTGATAACCTTGATGTCCCTTGAACCTTGGTTTTCCCAGAACCTCAACAACTCTAAGGAAGGAACACAAATGGTTCTCCCTCCTTGAACATTTTCTTTCAAGCTTCTCTTCTCTTCCCTGTTTCAGGCCGGCCAACTGGAAGAGTTCTCCGAGGTGGTGTCCCACGTCCGTGAGAGCATCGCTGAGCAGTTGTCTCGTCTGCAGAAGCAACACGATGAGTTTGTGGAGCATGTCGAAGGCATGATTCAGACGCTGGACGCCCGTCTAGAGAAGTTGGCCAGCGAGGAGCAGAAGGAACTGGAAGCTAGACAGGTAAGCTACAAACAATTTTAAAAATTACTAGTTTTGTAGCTGTTCTAAAAAACCTGAAAAAGTCATGGAAACCTGTAAAACTCATGGAAAACCTGGAAAAGTCAGGGAAAACCTGAACAAATCCTGGAGAACACCAGAACATCCTGGAAAAGTAGTGGATTTCTAGAAAAAAATCCTAGAGAGCTCTTAAGAAAAATTTTAGTCCTGGAAGTAGTATGAGTAATTTGTCCAAAATTTTTCCCTGAATTTTTAGGACTCCTACAAAAGTCGCTGATAATTCCAGGTCAGATCTAATACGATTTGGATCATTTTTAGAATATCTTGAATGATTTGATGAATTTTCTGAATGTTATTAACTGAAGTATTCTGACCGTTTTGTCTAATGCAGGAATCTGATGAGCAGAGACCAGAAGACAATGATGTCCCAACATCCATGCCGCCAACCAACATACCTATCATGGGTAGGTACCAAATCTGCTTACCACAGACACATGACTACAGCATGCAAATTTGCTAAGCACAAAAAAAAAACACCTCGGAAAAATCAAAAACGTGACTTCTTTCAATTTTTGTTTAGGAGCAGGTGGAGTGCCAGGCATGATGCCTGGAGCCCCAGGCAACCTACCCTCAGGTCCCGGTTTGCCCCCTGTCACTGGCATGCCCCCAGGTACGTACCGACAAAAATTCAAAACTTATTTGGATGTAAAAATGAAATTTCCACTGAGACAAATATTGAGTTTATTTTGAGAACATTGGGCATACTGCGTTTTTTTTATATCACACTTGCACATTAACCAGTTCGCGCCGGGATTATTTTGACATTGACCAGACCCAGGCGCGGGATTGTTTTCCACAAACCTCGATGCCAGACGGGTTCAGGCCGTCATCTGTGGGTAGCACACCCTGATATTTCTGGCCTCGCTCGCTGCGAGCAGATCGCTGACAGATGTTTCCGGCCTCCCTCGTTGCGTGTATGCACGTCATCCGACGTGAACTGCTTAACAAACATTTTCTTGATTTTTCACTTTTCAGTTCCCATGGATCCAAGTGCCATGGCAACCATGTTCCCGAACTTCGACCCCTCCGTGCCCCCGCCAGGATTTGGCGGCATGCCAAGAGTTCCTTTCCAACCAGGTAAGATTGTGAAGATGATGAGCTCATAGTGATCGAAACGTCGAATGTAATCCGTAATTAGTTTTTGTCACAACTTTCTTCTAACCACTCAAAAATATAATACTATTTGTGACTAATTATTACATTTTCCCCCCTCTCCCATAGGTATGCCTCCCCCTAACTTCCCCCCTCCCCAGCCCGGTATGCCCCCACCCCCAATGCACATGATGCACCCCCCTAACCACCCCCGCGGGCCGATGCCCCCCATGCCAGACTTCTCCAAACCCCCTCCTGGTTTCGGCGACTTCCCCCAGGACTTTCCGCCTGATTTCCAGCCCAACATTCCCCCTCCTGACATGGAGATCATGCCGCTAGATCCCAACGACCCTTCCTTGATGCCAACGGTGCCGTACTACGACCTCCCGGCAGGACTCATGGCTCCGCTCGTCAAGGTACAGTTTCTATTTATTTTTCGTAATTCCTTCAGTTGTCAAAACTTCCTTTGTATCCTAAAAGTGCTGTTTTTTTCCTTTCGTTTTCATGGCCCCGTAGATGTTGGATTTGATTGAAAAATGATATTTTGTAAAAATACTGTTTGCAGTACATCCCTTTTTGTTTTATTGAAAGCTGTTCACATTATAGTCTGTGAGTCAGCACTTATTCTGTGCACAGTCAACATAAAGTCAACACTTTATTTTTACCCCCCAAAAAATCAAAAGCGAATCCTTCAAAGTACTAGAGAGTGGTCAACTCTTAAATTTGAGGTACAGTAATATGTCCATTGGTGTCTAAACCACCATCACAGCAAATAGGAAGAGTCTAAAAACTCAAAACAATTGGAATGGTCCACATGAAGTCTTGCACAAGATTTCTCAAATGCCAAAAATAAAGCGACGTCAAGTCGTCAACATCTCTGTAATCAGTTTCTGTGGATCATCATCAATGGCTCTGACAAGTTAAGCAGTTCCAGAATTTGATACTAAGCAAAGTTTCATTATCCTCGACAACTTGCAGCTGGAAGACACTGAATACGAACCCCTGGATGCAGAGGACATCCGCTTACCCCCTCCACAGCCCCCCAGCAAGAGACTCCTAGCTGCTGTGGAGGCCTTCTATGCTCCGCCGTCCAGAGAAGCACCAAGAAACAGGTACGAGAAAAGTCGATAGTCTCCTCACAGAGGATGGTGCTTATGACTACACCTAAGAGATCTGTAGAGGAGACGTATTGTGTGCACCCATGCACTGGTTCACATGTGAATTGCGCGAAGTACACATGATTAATTTTATTTTTAATGTTATAAATCCGTATCCTGCTCTTGGAATTCAGAGTGGGATGCCTCAAATTGATAATCGAAACTTGATTAATATGTTACTTTAACTAATAGCTGATTTTGTGTAAAGCTCATAACTTAGCTAATGCTTGAAAATTAACCTATTATTCCCTATAAATACCGCCCAAAACAACCTTGTCTGTTGCCCCCTGTAGAACCTAGAATGGCCCCAGTAGTGTATGATTGTATTAGATTGTATAGATTCATCAGAGAATAAGTACAATGAAATATAATGACGTACGGTTGCTAAAATTGTTCGAAATAATGCTGGTTATTCGGTGATTGTTTCAGCGAGGGCTGGGAGCAGAATGGTCTATTTGAGTTCTTCAAAGCCAAGCAGAAATACTCCAAACTGAAGAAAGAAAGACTAGAGCGTGACGGTCTGCCCAGAAAAGTCCACGTCCCCTCACCCATCCGTCGAGAAAGCTCCTCGTCTAGATCACCATCCCCGCAGAAGGAAGAAGAGATGCAGAAATCCAGAAGAAGATACAGGTAGGTTCAGACAAAGTAGTGTCACATCTGCCATCTTGGTCTTGTGCCCTTTGTCGGCATTGCTGTAAGCTGTGGAGTTTGTGATGCCGACTAGGCACCAGACTATTCTGGTTGGGTAGTCCTGCTGCTAGCTTGGAAGTATGGTTGGCAGTGTTCATGTTCTTGTTTGTGCCCTCATGCAGTAAAAAACCTCAAAACTCTGCTGCAATGAATATCACTTTAAAATGTTTTGTTGAACATATGGATGCATGCTACCAGATAAGTTGAATAAAATTACGTAAAAAAATACCATTTGTATTCTTCACAGGTCAAGATCCAGATCACGTTCCCGTTCCAAGTCCCCGGTTCGTCGCCGGCGTTCCCTCTCACGGTCCCGTTCACGGTCCATGTCACCCCTTACAGAAGGCGGAGTGACTCTAGATCTCCGCCCCCACGTAGGAGGAACAGGTCACCTGATGGGTCACATGACAGGTCACGTGACAGGTCGCGATCTAGGTCACGCTCACGGACGCCGCCGCGGAGACGAAGAGACCGGTCTCGGAGTCCGTCACCAGACTTTGGAATGTAAGTACAGGGATTACTCAGTGTAGTATGTTTAAGGTTACCACTGAAAAAGTCACAGGATTTATATTGCATGTAACTGGTACTCGGTTGTTAACACATAAACTATTCCAAGTAATATTTTCTGCTATTAAGGAGCTTGATTAATTTGAGTTTTCTGTAACTGTTTTATGAATTGTTTTGGTTGCAGACAACCTTTTTACCAGACCAACACCAACACCAGGCTAGGCGATGAAAACAAAGGAGCTTTGTTGATGAAGAAAATGGGTAAAGATCCAAACTCTTAATTAATCATTATATTAATTTAACCCTTGCCTGTCCAGACTTGTGCTTCACATGTAAACTCTGTGACATTACAGCAATATTCAGTATTAGGTTTTGCCCTGCACTGACATATTTTATAAACACTGTCTACTCAGTGTTGCCCCCTGAGTGATTGTGAGAAAAAAAATCACTCGGGTGGGACTCAAACCCACGACCTCCTGCTTACTAGTGCAGACGTCTTACCACTCAACCACTGAGCTTGCCGGGGTTGGCTGGCTGGTTCGAATCTGAAATAGCAGCGGGTACCGCAAGGATGTTATTCAAAATTTGGAATTTGCGTCGGAAGGATGTGAAGTCAGTAGTGGGTTGTGGCCTACACCTCTGTTCTCCAACGCCACCAATTCCTTTTTTTTTTTGCTTGGCTTTTTAGGTTGGGGAGGCCAGGGGCTAGGAGCCAGAGAGCAAGGCATCGTGGATCCAGTCTCGGGCGGTGAGGTCCGAGACAAGGTGGACATGTACCGTGGCGTCGGCGTGGAGATGAACGATCCGTTTGAGAGCTTCCGCAAGAACAAGAGTAGCAGCTTCATGACCAGGATGAAAGCTAGAGGTGAGTTGGGAGGAGGGTCATACACCGATGGGAGAGGTTCGAGTCGGGTAAAGAAAAAGACATGAGCGTGGAGTCCAGTTCCTTCAGGATTTCCAGAGTTAGTCCAATTGATTTAACCCTTCCTCTCTGGCTGGCAATTACAACAAGACCAGCCCAGCAGTCAAAATCAATCCAGTGACTGTTTTGAACAGTTGAGTGCTCCCTGCCTTCATAAAGCAGGATTGACTGGCTGTGATTGTTATGAAGCCTGATATAGCCATGCTTTGACTGTAGGAGATTGATAAGCCAGCTGTGCCTACCAGTCACCTGCTTTTGTCTGTTGATGGAATTTGATACAGTGCCGACAAGAAATATGATTTGACTGTTGGTGACTGGCCTATGTTAAAGGAGTGGTAGGGGAACAGGATTGAATTTTTGACTGTCTGTGACTGATAAAATAAAAGAATGGTTAATTTACAACTGTAAAACTATAAGGCACTAGACAATCTCTTCGGCTAGCAGTGTTACTCAAAGGTCCCGACTTTTTAATCATGTGACAAATAAAAACTTATAAAAAAAACCCACAAACTATTTGGGGTCTGTGGCTTTGCTGCATTTTTTTGTCGGGTTTTAATTTTTTAGACTTATTGTGTTAAGATCTTGATTTTGTCTTCATTTTTTACAGCAGCAAAGTCGGCAAAATAAACGGTTACCAACAGCAACGAAGTACTAGCAGTCATCAGAACGATTGAAGAAATCCAGAACAGGGGACACTTTTGGAGGAATTATGATTTACATTTTCATTCTCTTATTCAGATATCTTTCCAACAATGGCAATTATCGGCTGTTTTACAATTATGTACATAATATGGTTAATACAAAAAAACCAAGCTAAGTTGATTAAATCAAAGCATAAGGACTCTGCGTTTATATGCCCTGTAGCCATAGTGCACCCATGGAGAGAATTTTTGAAGTAATTTTGTGAAGTCAATTTTTTACAACGTCATTACGATACAACTGCTATACCAGACGTCTGCACTAGCAAGTAGGAGGTCGTGGGTTCGAGTCGAGTGGTGATTTTTATTCTTCGCATGGTCTTGGAAAACACTAACCGAGTGATTTGCATTACATCAGTGTGTAGCAAAGTCAGTGATGAACAATAAAGATATTCCTACCTTTGTGTAAAAATCATCAATTTTTGAAATAAAAATAACAGTTTTGACTGATCTTACCCCAAATTTCCGATGCAGTTCTCCTTTCTAAAGCATGTCTGTTCAGAGGTCTCGTTGGAATGTATTCTAGGGCCCTTTAGGCATATTCCTAGCAAGTTTCAAGCAATTCAAATGTACTTTTCTCAAAACAACAAAAGAAATGCCCTTTTTTAACCGATTTTACCCCAAATTCTCAAATTTCATTTTTCCTTTGAATAGCACAACGCTCCAGCTATGAAGTTGGAATGTGTTCTAGGGCCCTTTAGGAAATATTCTCCAGCAAGTTTCAAGCAATTTCATTTTAAATCAAAAGTGAAAAAAATGCCTTACATTTTCATCAAAATTGGCCAAAAATTGACTTTTCTCCAAACATTGCAGAAATTCTTTTGAAAGTCAGAGGAGCACCAATCTATACTCAAACACCTAATATTTAGAAGATTTTGGCAAAAAACCATCTATTTTGTGAGAAATAAATTAACGTTTTTGACTGATTTTACCCCATATTTTCGTCCAAATTTTCTTTGGCAAAGCAAATCTTTCTAAAAATGGAATTGGAATGTGTTCTAGGGTCCCTGAGGCATCTTTCTAGCAAGTTTCAAGGAATTCCATTTTTCGGTCAAAATTGAAAAAAATGCAAGGGGTTAGCCTTGCATTTTTCATCAAAATTGGCCAAAAATTGACTTTTCTCCAAACAATGCAGAAATTCCTTTGGAAGTCGGAGGAGCACCAATCAATACTCAAACACCCAATGTTTTGAAGATTTGGGCAAAAAGCATCGTTTTTGTGAGAAATAAATTAACATTTTTGACTGATTTTACCCAATATTTTTGTCCAAATTTTCTTTAGAAAAGCAAATCTTTCTACAAATGGAATTGGAATGTGTTCTAGGGTCCCTTAGGCATCTTTCTAGCAAGTTTCAAGGAATTCCATTTTTCGGTCAAAATTGAAAAAAATGCATGGGGTTAGCCTTGCATTTTTCATCAAAATTTGGCAAAAATTGACTTTTCTCCAAACAATGCAGAAATTCCTTTGGAAGACGGAGGAGCACCAATCAATACTCAAACACCCAATGTTTTGAAGATTTGGGCAAAAAGCATCGTTTTTGTGAGAAATAAATTAACATTTTTGACTGATTTTACCCAATATTTTTGTCCAAATTTTCTTTAGAAAAGCAAATCTTTCTACAAATGGAATTGGAATGTGTTCTAGGGTCCCTTAGGCATCTTTCTAGCAAGTTTCACGGAATTCCATTTTTCGGTCAAAATTGAAAAAAATGCAAGGGGTTAGCCTTGCATTTTTCATCAAAATTGGGCAAAAATTGACTTTTCTCCAAACAATGCAGAAATTCCTTTGGAAGTCGGAGGAGCACCAATCAATACTCAAACACCCAATGTTTTGAAGATTTGGGCAAAAAGCATCGTTTTTGTGAGAAATAAATTAACATTTTTGACTGATTTTACCCAATATTTTTGTCCAAATTTTCTTTAGAAAAGCAAATCTTTCTACAAATGGAACTGGAATGTGTTCTAGGGTCCCTTAGGCATCTTTCTAGCAAGTTTCAAGGAATTCCATTTTTCGGTCAAAATTGAAAAAAATGCAAGGGGTTAGCCTTGCATTTTTCATCAAAATTGGGCAAAAATTGACTTTTCTCCAAACAATGCAGAAATTCCTTTGGAAGACGGAGGAGCACCAATCAATACTCAAACACCCAATATTTTGAAGATTTGGGCAAAAAGCATAGTTTTTGTGAGAAATAAATTAACATCTTTGACTGATTTTACCCCATATTTTCGTCCAAATAATCTTTAGAAAAGCAAATCTTTCTAAAAATGAAATTGGAATGTGTTCTAGGGTTCCTTAGGCATCTTTCTACCAAGTTTCACGGAATTCCATTTTTCGGTCAAAATTGAAAAAAATGCAAGGGGTTAGCCTTGCATTTTTCATCAAAATTGGCCAAAAATTGACTTTTCTCCAAACAATGCAGAAATTCCTTTGGAAGACGGAGGAGCACCAATCAATACTCAAACACCCAATGTTTTGAAGATTTGGGCAAAAAGCATCGTTTTTGTGAGAAATAAATTAACATTTTTGACTGATTTTACCCAATATTTTTGTCCAAATTTTCTTTAGAAAAGCAAATCTTTCTACAAATGGAATTGGAATGTGTTCTAGGGTCCCTTAGGCATCTTTCTAGCAAGTTTCAAGGAATTCCATTTTTCGGTCAAAATTGAAAAAAATGCAAGGGGTTAGCCTTGCATTTTTCATCAAAATTGGGCAAAAATTGACTTTTCTCCAAACAATGCAGAAATTCCTTTGGAAGACGGAGGAGCACCAATCAATACTCAAACACCCAATATTTTGAAGATTTGGGCAAAAAGCATAGTTTTTGTGAGAAATAAATTAACATCTTTGACTGATTTTACCCCATATTTTCGTCCAAATAATCTTTAGAAAAGCAAATCTTTCTAAAAATGGAATTGGAATGTGTTCTAGGGTTCCTTAGGCATCTTTCTACCAAGTTTCACGGAATTCCATTTTTCGGTCAAAATTGAAAAAAATGCAAGGGGTTAGCCTTGCATTTTTCATCAAAATTGGCCAAAAATTGACTTTTCTCCAAACAATGCAGAAATTCCTTTGGAAGTCGGAGGAGCACCAATCAATACTCAAACACCCAATGTTTTGAAGATTTGGGCAAAAAGCATCGTTTTTGTGAGAAATAAATTAACATTTTTGACTGATTTTACCCAATATTTTTGTCCAAATTTTCTTTAGAAAAGCAAATCTTTCTACAAATGGAATTGGAATGTGTTCTAGGGTCCCTTAGGCATCTTTCTAGCAAGTTTCAAGGAATTCCATTTTTCGGTCAAAATTGAAAAAAATGCAAGGGGTTAGCCTTGCATTTTTCATCAAAATTGGGCAAAAATTGACTTTTCTCCAAACAATGCAGAAATTCCTTTGGAAGACGGAAAAGCACCAATCAATACTCAAACACCCAATATTTTGAAGATTTGGGCAAAAAGCATCGCTTTTGTGAGAAATAAATTAACATCTTTGACTGATTTTACCCAATATTTTTGTCCAAATTTTCTTTAGAAAAGCAAATCTTTCTACAAATGGAATTGGAATGTGTTCTAGGGTTCCTTAGGCATCTTTCTACCAAGTTTCACGGAATTCCATTTTTCGGTCAAAATTGAAAAAAATGCAAGGGGTTAGCCTTGCATTTTTCATCAAAATTGGCCAAAAATTGACTTTTCTCCAAACAATGCAGAAATTCCTTTGGAAGTCGGAGGAGCACCAATCAATACTCAAACACCCAATGTTTTGAAGATTTGGGCAAAAAGCATCGTTTTTGTGAGAAATAAATTAACATTTTTGACTGATTTTACCCAATATTTTTGTCCAAATTTTCTTTAGAAAAGCAAATCTTTCTACAAATGGAATTGGAATGTGTTCTAGGGTCCCTTAGGCATCTTTCTAGCAAGTTTCAAGGAATTCCATTTTTCGGTCAAAATTGAAAAAAATGCAAGGGGTTAGCCTTGCATTTTTCATCAAAATTGGCCAAAAATTGACTTTTCTCCAAACAATGCAGAAATTCCTTTGGAAGACGGAAAAGCACCAATCAATACTCAAACACCCAATATTTTGAAGATTTGGGCAAAAAGCATCGCTTTTGTGAGAAATAAATTAACATCTTTGACTGATTTTACCCAATATTTTTGTCCAAATTTTCTTTAGAAAAGCAAATCTTTCTACAAATGGAATTGGAATGTGTTCTAGGGTTCCTTAGGCATCTTTCTACCAAGTTTCACGGAATTCCATTTTTCGGTCAAAATTGAAAAAAATGCAAGGGGTTAGCCTTGCATTTTTCATCAAAATTGGCCAAAAATTGACTTTTCTCCAAACAATGCAGAAATTCCTTTGGAAGACGGAGGAGCACCAATCAATACTCAAACACCCAATATTTTGAAGATTTGGGCAAAAAGCATCGTTTTTGTGAGAAATAAATTAACATCTTTGACTGATTTTACCCCATATTTTCGTCCAAATAATCTTTAGAAAAGCAAATCTTTCTAAAAATGGAATTGGAATGTGTTCTAGGGTTCCTTAGGCATCTTTCTACCAAGTTTCACGGAATTCCATTTTTCGGTCAAAATTTAAAAAAATGCAAGGGGTTAGCCTTGCATTTTTCATCAAAATTGGCCAAAAATTGACTTTTCTCCAAACAATGCAGAAATTCCTTTGGAAGTCGGAGGAGCACCAATCAATACTCAAACACCCAATGTTTTGAAGATTTGGGCAAAAAGCATCGTTTTTGTGAGAAATAAATTAACATTTTTGACTGATTTTACCCAATATTTTTGTCCAAATTTTCTTTAGAAAAGCAAATCTTTCTACAAATGGAATTGGAATGTGTTTTAGGGTCCCTTAGGCATCTTTCTAGCAAGTTTCAAGGAATTCCATTTTTCGGTCAAAATTGAAAAAAATGCAAGGGGTTAGCCTTGCATTTTTCATCAAAATTGGCCAAAAATTGACTTTTCTCCAAACAATGCAGAAATTCCTTTGGAAGACGGAGGAGCACCAATCAATACTCAAACACCCAATATTTTGAAGATTTGGGCAAAAAGCATAGTTTTTGTGAGAAATAAATTAACATCTTTGACTGATTTTACCCCATATTTTCGTCCAAATAATCTTTAGAAAAGCAAATCTTTCTAAAAATGGAATTGGAATGTGTACTAGGGTTCCTTAGGCATCTTTCTACCAAGTTTCACGGAATTCCATTTTTCGGTCAAAATTGAAAAAAATGCAAGGGGTTAGCCTTGCATTTTTCATCAAAATTGGCCAAAAATTGACTTTTCTCCAAACAATGCAGAAATTCCTTTGGAAGACGGAGGAGCACCAATCAATACTCAAACACCCAATGTTTTGAAGATTTGGGCAAAAAGCATCGTTTTTGTGAGAAATAAATTAACATTTTTGACTGATTTTACCCAATATTTTTGTCCAAATTTTCTTTAGAAAAGCAA